GCCTGGTTTGCTCTGCTCTGGCAGATCCTTTGCCAGATCCAGATGCATTGGCAGAAGCCAATCCAGAACCTCTGGCCCTTCCTGGGAGCTCGAGTTCTGGTGGAAAGTGAGTTATTTTTGAAGATTTATATTATTCATGGAAGCATCTCCTGTCCTGCGTGGGTTTATGTTTTTCCACCATCCTCAAATGGCTGCACATTGTGACAAGATTGCTTCACTAGTTATTGAAATCCAATTACAGAATATGACTGAAGGGACAAAAAGGTTATTTGAAGGAGGAAAGTGTTTGCTTAGTGTTTGCTTCTTGGGAAAGACTGAGTTATGTCTTGGATAGAGAGTGGCACTGAAAAAGCTGACGTTTTTCAAAAATCTCTAGCATCTGAACTAAATGAAAAAATACTTTAAAAAGGTGCCAAATCAGAGAGAAAAGTTTACAAAAATTTAAATCTCTAAAGCTTTTCCAACTATCAGTGATGAATTTAGCAGCAGACAAATTCAGACTTTACAATCTTTCAAAGAGTACTTGGATTTTAATGTCTAAAAAATGGTTTTACAAGCAATTTGGAAGAGATTGAGGGAGAATTTTGGATGTATCAATTCTTTTACCCTTACTAGCTTGACAATCAAATGATTGATTATTTTAAATAGTTTGTAAAATAAAACTTGTTTTGAGCAGTTTGAAGTGGTGAATAACTTAATGATTTGTATCTTTGGTAGTATAGTAATTTTAGTGTAGGTTCCCTACACTACAATTTGTAATTGAGATTATGAGTTTATTCTCTCTTTTTGGTTTAGAGTAAGTTGACCACCTCTCGTTCCAGAAGATCATCAGGTTAACAAGAATAATTGACCTTCACTGGTCTTTGAAGGAACCTTTAAGAGGTTCCCCTACACTACATATTGTACTGATGATTCAGTAAAACTTATTAATACTCAAACAGGCAGTACTTTTTTCCCTGCTTTCAAGTTTGGCAGAAATGCAATTCAATAGTTTCAGATCGCATATAAGCTATTCCTGAATTTTATGTTTTAATGCTGGATGTGGCCGTCGGTTTTCAATCACCACAGCTATAATAATCAGGCCTTTTAGAAGTTACTTTTTCCTTGAGAATCAGTTTTATTACATACTAAACCCAAGCAAGTGTGCATTTAATAGATTCATTAATGGAAAATTTGATGTGAAACTTGATTGTAATTTAACCATCCTGAAGCAAATAAAAAGGTTTGCACACCAAAATTGAAAGCAACGCATGAAAATCGGGGTACCTGATGTTCATTTCAAAAACCCTCATAGGAATTTGACTTCAATTCATTTGGATTCTCTTACTGCCAAAAATGCATGATGTCTCCTGGATGCCACGATGTTCTTATAAAAACAATACTCCTCAAGATTTTCAGATAAACTATTACACTCATGATGCTAGGTTTTTTTTTCAATTTGCATTGTTCTGCTTTTGTCAAAGAAATAATTGATGCTTGACCCAATTTTTTTGGGTCGTCATAATTGAACCGAAAACTAGTTTTAGTTGCATTAGCTTTCATAGAAGTGCAAACGGGTTGAGGCGACATCTACTCGCCAAAAATTAGTATGATTCCGTGGCAGTTCACTAGAGTTTGATAGATGAGCGAGTGAGTCAGTTTCTGGCGAACGCTTTTGATGCCGAGTCACCACGAATAATCGACGTCTGCTGATTCATTCCTGAGCTAATTATCTTCTCACGCCATTTCTTTGCAGAGTGTATTTGCACAAACACAAGCATTCCCACCACCACAAGCACAAGCACGATCATCATCACAAGCATAAGCACGGACACAAGCACGGACACAAGCATGGGCACAAGCACGGCCACAAACACGGCCACAAGGAGTCCCATAAGCACGGCCACAAACACGGGCATAAACACGGACACGGCCACAAACACGGGCACAAGCACGGCCACAAACACGGACACAGCTCCAGCTCTAGCAGGTGCAGTATTTCATGCAAAATTATTTTACTAAAATGGTCGATTTTGTTCCTCATTCATGAAATTGTCTCGTCCACAGCTCTGGGAAATAAAGAAGTATGCATACGATCGAAAGCACATGATTTGTATAACGGATGCTCAAAACAATAAAGAAGCTTCGTCTGCACCGTGAAGTGGACACCATGCAAAAGTATATTGCTCAGTTACATCACCGAATGATTTCTACCATTCCAGGTTATTATCTACTTGAATATACGCTAGCTCGGGATTTATAGAACGCGAAGACGAGTTATAGTTTCTAGTCACTTTTCATCGCTTTTTCTCGAAATCTATTTTCTTTCAGTGTTTCTATATTTGTTGCAACATATTTTTTTTAGACTGTATTTGCGACTGCTGATGTTGATGTCCTCGCGCTCGCCGCGTCTGAATTGTTACCACGTTGTTTATCGAGTTCAGTGTTTATTTTTTCTACCGAGACCTTTTGCTGGAGTTGTGCAGTTTTTTTGGGTTATGAAATAAAAGTTGCTCTACATGGGCTGATGCTCGCAAGCTTCCTCTGTTTGGCATCTTACGAATGTTTCTAAAAACTGACGCAGTATTTTTTAAAGTCCTTGGAATTTCTCTGTAACTCGCACAATGTTGTTCTAAAATTCTTCTAAATGCAGGTGGACTCTACAATAAAATGCAGGGGACCAGAACAAATTTTGAGATAATTTTGTTGCTGACAACCTCTATATATAGGATTAGACATCTATGTATAGGATTAGAATTAGAGACATGCAGGGGATAAAAATTGCTTTAGTGTACCAAGAAAATTGTTTGAGACAAAACTGTTACAGAGAGAGTCTACCTATATAAATATTTTTCAATGCCACTTTTGGTGCTTGATCATTCGTATTTTACCCTTTTCATCCTGATTGAACTTTTTGCTTATCAGGGTGACGTACTGATAGTTTTTGTAAAATAGTCATAGATCATGGTGAATGCCCCTCAAATGCTTTAGCAGTGTGAAGTGTAGTACAGTGAGTAGAGTATTTTCAATTTCTTAAGGGAGACTACTTATACAATCCAGCGTAGTTGTTGTGTTGCGTGGCTTGATTCACAAAATTTCTAGAGTTAAAGAAAAACGTCAGTGATACAATCATTGAGTTTTTCTGAATCCTCCCCCCTATATGGCGCCCTACTATGATTTACGCAAACGCAATGGAGCAGCAGCAGTTAGCATTGTTGACTAGGGAAGAATATTCGGAAGGACCTGGCAGAACTTCAAAAGATTTTTTAAAACTGTAATGATAAGCAGCATCAACAAGTTCAAGATAAGAATTTTTATCGCATTGAAAAAAAGTTTCGTTAAAACTTTTGGAGAGCCCCTCGTCACCTAAATTGCGTGTTAGGGACGTTGTGTTTAGACATCCACAAGCCTTCAGATTGATTTTACAGACAGGTGTACAGATGTCGCAAGCAGTATCATGTTGTTCATAATGGTCCATTCATTCTCCGTGCATCCAGGCAATGCAAGTCGCGTGTCGAGTGCGGTGTACTTAATTCCTTGAACATATTCTAGAAATCCCTTACGTCTGGGTTGTGGATTTCCAGAAGATGGGGAGATTCTCGAAGACGGAGCAGATGCTTAGATTTTCAATGGCTGGATGTACGGCAATTTTGGCCCTCCAACGATGTATAAATGATTCCGTGTACGCGGTTGTGGTAAACGTGTTCTTATCACTGTTCTTGGAAGAACGGCTGTCAGTGTGACCTAAGTGCCAGGTTTACTTTTGTTTTCAGTTAATTGAGGAAGTGTTTGTGTTCGTGAAAACATGCCTCCATCGATGGCGACTGCTGACAAGAACGAACCAGATGAATTGTTCGATGTTCGGAATGCATATCATGTCGGAAATTATCAGCAGTGCATCACTGAGGCCAACAAGGTTAACGTAAGTCAACTTCTTTCTCTTAGCCAAACCATCACTAATCATTATTTGGAATCATCAGCCCAGCTCTGTGGAGCTGAAGGTTGAAAAGGATGTCTTCATGTATCGGGCGTACATTGCCCAGCGCAAATTTGCGGTCGTGTTGGGCGAGATTAATTTGGGCTCATCTCCTGAACTATTGGCCGTGCGGAGGTACGCTGAGTATCTCTCAGCGAACAGCGAGAAAAAGTACGTCTTTTTTATTACGCCGAGGCACACCCTGGGCATACTTTCGATTTCGTGTTCCAGACGGTCAATAGTGGAGAAGTTGGAACAAGATGTGAAGAAAATTGATGCGAACTCGACCTATGAAGTTGTACTTGCGGCTACGATTTTTACATTGGAAGAAATGTTTGAAGTTGCCTTGCGATTGCTGCACAATGCCGAAGCCCTAGAGTGGTAAGTTGAAGCCTCCTTGTCATACAAAATCACCAAGGTGGAAAGAGTTCAGTGACCAATTTTTTCATTATACGGAATTTTTTATCTCGTATGTTGGATTTATTAAAGATGGATCATAGCATGACCGATCCAAATACTTTATATACGAAGAGTCCTGAAGACGAAATGACGAATTACTTTCTCGTATTTTTAACGTGAGTCTTGCTCGTAATTCGCAAATTTTTTTCTGTCCGATGCAGAACACTAAGGTATCCTCGTTTGTTGTTTTGTTCAAGTCCACTTCCGAAGGTATATCTTGTGCGTGAGTAAGCGGAAGGGAAGTTTCAAGAGAGACAAAATGTCGACCCTATTTTAAAATGTGTTATATGATGTTTTCTGGGGTAGTTCCTTTCGCAAGAATTTATCTTGTCATGCAATTAACTTGAGCATTTTTTCAGTCGTGCCATGGTGATGTACATCTTGCTGAAAATGAACCGCCCGGATCTTGCCCGGAAAGAACTGAAAAACATGCAAGACAAGGATGACGACGCTTCTTTGACGCAACTCGCTCAAGGATGGTTGAATCTGTCCTCGGGTGGTGATAAGCTGCAAGACGCCTATTACGTCTTCCAAGAAATGGCTGACAAATACGGCAGCTCCCCGCTTTTACTCAACGGACAAGCCTGCGCGTTGATTGGACAGGGTAAATTCGAAGAAGCCGAATCCGCTCTTCAAGAGAGCCTGGAAAAGGATCCCAACAATGCCGATACACTCGTCAACATGATCGTCCTGTCGCAGAGTCAGGGTAAAGCTCCTGAAGTGGCCAACAGGTATCTGAATCAGTTGAAGGATTCCCATGCTGAGCATCCATTCGTGAAGGCCTTCGGGGCAAAGGAGAGCGACTTCGAGCGAGTCACGAAGCTTTACGCTCCTTCAGTTGTCTCGTGAGAGCAATGTATCGTTCCGGATCATTCGTTGAAGTGGATTTTTTTTTCTTTGTTGGTTTCGAAACTTGCACGCGTTTGAAAGTGAAGGATTATTTAATCCGCTGGACTGCAGTTCCTTCTATTGTTTTTCCTTCGGTTACATTCAGCTGATGATGGCGCACGATTGGAGATTGTGTGAATTATTTTTCTGGATAAATGGGATTGTGTCTTGCGGGCACTTCGTTGCAAATTGGATATCCTGGGAAATTTTCTGCCCTGGGACTTACCGTATCTACGCAAATCTAAGCTAAATTCTAAAATTTGGTAAAAAGGGCTTATATTCGCGTGAATACAGTACAGTCGCACCTCTTGAAGTCGAATTCCGAGGGACCAGCAAAAAATTCGAGATAGAAAGGTTTTGACCTGGGGGAAAAATATTTTTGTTGTGCAAAATAAAGAATTACAGGAACTTATAATTGGTGATATTCTCTGGGCTGTGAATTGCTTCTTAAATAAGTCGACAGGATCCAGAATTAGTAGGCAAGGGTTTATTTGCCCTATTAGTCTCTCGCTTCCTTTCAAGATACATCGTTATTTTTTTATTGTCATTCTCGTTCCCGTGTCAATTGAAAACAGTAGCTAATGCCTTTGGAAAATTCGATTTGCAGAGGTTTAAGAGGAAAAGCCTTCGAGTTCTTAATTCATTGTTTCTAAGGGAATTAAGACAACTATTTGAAAAATATTTGACACGGGGAAGCATTCGACTTCAAGAGGCTCAGTCATCGAGATTCAACTGTATTTGTTGAGGCTGCTTCCGTAAAATTTTCTCAAGAGCTTCCGTTGTGACGTTGAAACTCCTACAAATTTTACCATTCTCAGAATTCAAAAATAATTTAGTCTTTCGCCGAACTAAGAAATTCTAAATATGACGGGGGCAGCTTCAATGAAAAGGTCTTTCACTTGAGTAAATGTATTTCAATATTGTTGCAGCATTTATTTTATTTTGAAATTCCGCCGTTTTCCACAGGGAGCGCCGGGGCGTGCTTGCTTCTTTTTCGCGCGTCTGTGTACCGTGACAATGTCGTGGAAAGTCGGGCTTCAAGACACCGATTTTGACCCCGAAATCCACGGCGATGTCGACTTTTCGTTCTTCTCGGAAGACGGAAGCAGCGGAGCATCGTCTGTCGCTGTCAAAGTCACCACGGACAAGAAGCCGCCTGAACCCATCAAACTCACGCCCCCGGACATCACAATTTCTTCTTCTTCCGACACCAAAAAAATCACCATACCCGCCGTGAATGGAGCATCTGCTCTTGACGTGAGCTACAGTGACGAAGAATTCGAATCCAGTTCCGGCGACTGCGCGACGGAATCAGACTCCGAGGGCGGTGATATCACGGAAGTCTCCCCGCTTTCGTCGCCCAATCTGAGCCCGTTTTTGCCTCGAAGGAAGAAAATCGGAGCCATTCACCGAAAGCTGCGACTGGAGAGTGAATCTGAAGAGGATTCGGATGCCAATCGTGTTTCTCGTGATCCCTTGAGTAACATGAAGTCTCTGACGGATACCCTGAATCAAATAGAAACCAAGCGCCATCATCGTCATCTCACGCCGACACCGAAACGTACTCGGAGGTTCAACATGTCCTTTTCGAACGACGAAGTTGTGCGGATAGACAGGGACAACCAGATATTGTTGCGTAAAATTTTGCAGTGTCATAATCGACCCGCGAGTTTACCAGTGAGGGCTGCGACCCGCGCCTTGACTAGGTCAGCAAATTCCCTGTCCACTTCGAAGGCTGTTACGAAGGCCAAGGAGCAGCGCCGCATTGACTACGAAAATTTTGTGAGTTTGCTCGTTCATTTATTGAAACAGTTCTGATGGTGAAACTTGAATAAGCGTTGAATGAAACCCACAAGTGCTGCTTCACGTCGGCAGTTCCCCGAGCTCTGACAGTCTTTTGCTTGGTGAAATAGGATGGGTTTATTTCGAGGAAGAGCTTCCTTGATGCGGAAAGGTTTGTTTGAAAGCCTTCTGGTGTGTGCGGATGGTTTCAAATAAGACGAAAATTTGATCGTGTGAATGAGTGAGTTTGGTAGTGTGGAACCTCTTCAAGTCACACTTCAAGAAATAATTCGAGTTGAAGTGATTTCGGGTTGAGGAGAAAAACATTTGTGTTCGAGCGAAAGAAAGAATTGCTGGAAATTGTGATCGGTGACATTGTAGGCCTTGAAATGCTTCTAAATGAGCTGACAGGTGATGCTACGCTTGGCGGCAAGAGAAACGAACATTTTCTGTTGCCAGAGAAGAAGAATTACAGGAAATTGCGATTGGTGATAACCTGGGACTTGAATTGCTTCATAAATGAGTTTACAGGGGATGCTGAACTTCGAGGGACGGATTTCCTGGTGTTGATAGTTATTATTGCTTTTCTCTTTCCTGTTTCAATCAAATAATATCCGAAAGGCCTCCAGAAAATTCGAGTTATGTAGGGAGGGAAAGCCTTTAAATCAAGGAGGTCTTTAATGCATTGTTTCTAAGGGATTTCAGACAAGGAATCTAAAAAAGGATAGACTTGAGGAGTTTCAGGTTATTCGGGTTCAACTTTAGTAAATTTGTTGCATGTCGGGACGGGAGGGGATTTTCGTTCTGAGCTTCTTTTCTGCTACCGAATCATGAAAACCGGTCTGAGGAGAAATAATGGACTCGTTTCCTTCAGATACTGCTCAAGAAGATTCAGTCTGCGAGGCCGTCATCGGAGATCGAGGAGAGTTTGCGACGTGGCGCATCGTCGCGGAGTAATGGAATCCGCAGCGGTTCGTCTCATTCGAAAGAGCGCCATCATTCGGTGTCATCTGCCTCTGCCATGTCGAAACCTGGTCACGACTCTAGCACAGACATTGGATGGATCTCGTGGTGATGTGGTGTTGTGTGCTGTTTTTTTCTTTTGTGGCATTTTCCGTTGAGCAAGGATCTCCCGAAGGACGTGACGTTCAAGGGGCAGCGTGGGAATTTGGATCATTGTCGGTAATTATTTCAATTGCCCTCTTTCTCGGGGACTTTCTGGCCTTTTCTCTCTCCCATTTACTCTCGCAAATTGATTGGGATTGTCGTCTTGACGTTTTAATGATCGCCTCTTTTTTTTTTCTTGACGACTTCTGATGCATTTCTGAACTGTTGTCTCAAATTGTGCTTTGTACAATTCGTACCGTAGAAAGCATTTGTCCAAGAATTCCAGCTTTTCCCACTTGAACACTTCCAACTAAATTTATTTGTTCTGGCAGTAAGTACCGTATTCACTCAAGTACCATGTGCACGTGCGTGGGATGCGCCGTTAGATTATTCAGTCGAATTTTTGGCAAAGGAGTTTTTGAATGAAGCCTCTACCAAGTAATCATGATTATTTTTATGTCTGGAATATTGAGTGTTTAAGTTTTCATTTAATGGTACTTTCAGCTCAATCTGTTCCTTCTATCTTTTGTTTCATATCTTGTTCGAAAATATTCCTGAATTTCCACGGTAGAATCTCGCTACAACGAAATAATGCTCACAACGATTTTTGTTCGGTCCCTGTCCAATAGCCACAATGGTATTTGTATTTCGTTTAATTTTTTGACGACGAAGCATTTTTAAGGTTCCAAATGATACCTTGTCACGAGATTCTACTGGATCTTCTTGAAAATTTTATTTAATCCAATCTAATTCAAGTTTTATTTGAGCTTTGCAAAATTCAGTTTGTAATTTTTACGAATTTCATTATTGTGATTTGAACATGGCATGCACTAAATTTTGAAAACTTATTGGAAAAATTCGCTACCGAGGATGAGGCAGCCCTTATTTATAATCTGGATTTCTGAGGGAAAACGTACATGTGGTATTTGATCAAATAACAGCTGTATTAAATCCTGCTGTGTTCATCGACAGTGAATCAAAAGCCATTAACTTTTGCACAACTTTTACTAGTTGAAGCCTAAATTTTTTGTGTTCCTAATTTAACTTCATCTCCATTCTCCTGACTATTTAAAAATTAACTTCTGTGAATGAGAAAGAAATTGAGAAATTCGTGCTATATGGATAGAATAAGGAAAATCTGCTCGCCAATGATCAGGCTTTGCAAACGCTGGTTCTCGCGGGGGAAACAAAGAAAAATATTGTGCTGAGATTGGATTTTAAAATTGCCAGCATGATTCTTGAAGTGAATTGTTTTACGGTTCAAGTGGAAAAACCCCGATTTCTTGGAGGAAACGTTCTCCTTCGACGCTTTCGAATGCCAAAAAAAATATATTGGAGTTTTCCAATGAACAAAAAGAAAGCGGAAGCTTGATGAAACGCATCGCCTGAAGTGCACCTGTTGAGTGCTTGTGATAGCCTTTTTGCGGGATGCATAAGTTACTGGGTGTCTTTGTGTATGGATCCTCGGTGTTGAGTGTTCAGTGAACCATTTTCATGTGTCGCCAAAAAGAAAGAAAAAAAGACGTTGAACTCTCGGCAGTGGCGCATTTATCCAAACTATGCCAAGATCTCGTTTAGCCACTTGCTTCTTAGCTACTGTTGATCCTCGCGCTGCTGCCGTCTGTTCCTTCGAAGTCTCTCCTCGTACCTCTTGTAAGTGGCGATGTGTGTGTTGCATATTTCGCGGTTGTCTGACGTGAAGGGATGGGCCATGGAAAGTCGACCTTTTTTGTGACAAAGATGAACAAGCGAGGAGATTGTTGAGCAATTTTATCGCGAAACCTTGTCATTCCTAAAAGTAAGGTACAGTATATGCTAGGCCCCCATGCATTAAAAATCTGGTTACATGGGTGTGGATAGTGAATGGCGCTTCGTTTCTGGACTTCTCAGGTTTTCCTTCCATGTCTTCAAATTTCTTCATTGATGGTTTTTTGGCTAACTAAAAAAATGATGTAACATTTCCCAGTGAATTTGTGATCATCTCTTCGCAGTAGATTTACAGGTGAACCTCAATGAGGGGAACCTCCCTAAGTTGAATTTTTTTTCCAGTCCCTGTCTGAATTCCCTTAGTATCAATACATTGAAAACCTTCCAAATTTTTTATAAAACATTTGTAAGTCGAATTTTCTAAGGCCTTCTGGTCATTATTTTATTGAAATATGGAAGATAAAATGATTAAAGCATGATTTAGAATTTGATGCATATTGAAAGGAATTGAAAGACAAATACCGTATAGCAAATGAACCCCTGCCTCCAAGTTCAGCAAGGTGTACCCCAGAATATCCTCATTTATGATTTCCCAAATTTGTTTCAATTCTAACAACAAAAGTGTTTGTTTCCTCAACTAGAAACCTAAAAAAATGCAAACCTCCCTACATCAATTTTTTTCCCTGGTCCCTAGAAATTCGACTTAGAGAGGTTGAACTGTAATAGATTGAACGTGATGTCTAATAGGTTTTTTTTTTGCCCAACAATAAATGAATGGTACACAAAATTTTCCTTTGAATCGATTTCCTTTTCAAGCATTGTGTCGCAAAATGATGGACGTTTTTGAATTTTAAGTACGGTAGAAGGAATTCCAATTCACATTCTCGAAGAATTGCCGCATTTACTAGACTAAGTACAGATTGTTACTATGAAGAAAGGGAACTTCACTTGTGCGTGCCAGTTGCTAAAATTTGCTTCCTTGTAATTTTGAAAATGCCCGTGGGGTGAGTGAAACGGAACAATCCACTGGCTTGTCCACCTGGTTACATAGTATCGAAAGGGGTCAACATTCTTGTGGCCCAGCCTGCTTAAACCGCTGGCTGGCTTTTTCGGTGTGTGCGGTTCAGAATTACGCGCTGCGTGGGCATAAGATGACAGACAACAAGGTGCACGGGTGAGCAGATCAATTTATTTTCTGTTTTATCACCGTGCTATCCTGTGCATGCTCTCGAGTTGTGCTTTGAGAAAAATGTCGACTTCCCTGATGTTTACGAAAAGATTGGCCTGCGTGTGCAAACGTTCAAGTCGAAAGATTCTGGATGCCGTGAAGAAAGAGATAAGTGTCACAGAAAGACGGTCTTGTGCTACCTGAGCGTGCGATCTCGTGAAAGCGGTTTAATTGTGCTAGTAACGAAAAAGAACAGTAGATGACGTTGTTATTCAAAATGCACCTGCTGACGGGTGTCAAGTGTGAATCCATTAGTACTGAAGTGGAAAAATTAATTCAGCGACAAACTGCACAAATGAATCTAGTCAAAATGACCGATACACAAATTCTTGAGTGACGGTGTCTCGACTTTGGATCCACAAGCAAAAATCAAACTTTTTCGAGACAAGCCATTACTGTGTTTCCCATGCGATGCTTTGCGATTATAGTGTCAAATTGAAAGCATTTGCACATGGAGTTCGCGTTGATGTACTCGAGAATGAAAATAGATAATTGCGGTTTCCTAGCATGTTCGCGAATTATTTCACCGCTTGAAAGAGCAACAGGGTCAATTCAAAGTGGAAGTTGCAAAATTATTGTGTTTGACTGACTGACATAATTTTACATTTTTGCTCATTCCTAGAAAAAATCGAGTGAATCTCGCGATCAGCATTGTACTAGGAGTATGATGAACATTCTTGGAAGTTGGAATAGAAATTTAAATGTCAGAATTCATCCTGGCCTCTTCTGCTCTTCACTGCAGAACGACGTGCACTTTTTTTACTGTACCCCAGCTTTCTATTCAGAATTCAGCATGGCATTAATTTGAAGGTTTCCGCCTCCACAGCCGACATTTGGGATAAGAATGTGTCGGATGTCAATGAAAATGGTAGAAGTACCTTGGAAGTTTTTACGGAAATCCTAGGAATGTTTATTTCAAGAATTAGAAAAGCTGGTTTACACCAAAAAATGTGCGAGATTGACACTAGTGGATAGCAAAAATATGCCACGGTGAATTCTGAATTTTTTCTTACGCCAAAGATGATTCTTCAGAAAACATTCTTTAGATATCTCGAACTAAATGAGGGGAAAAAAAGCCAAGGAATGATATGGAAATATTTGAATGCGCAATTTATTCTACACTCACGATTTTAAATGTTGCAAATGCCTTCACTTTCTTACCAATTGAGCGCGTTATTTTAGGGTATTTTAGAACAGTTCATATGCATGTAATGTATAAGTAATGTTCGTTTGAGAAATATCGTAGCTTCAGGCCGAAAAGATGTGTGAATTGGAAAGGTTGCCACCCTTTGGGTAAGACCTTGATAACTTCTAGAGTAGATTTAATTGTAAAAATAATTGGATCTAGTTTATTTCAGTTTCTGGTTTCTTTTCAAATTTTAATTTACTTCATGATAATGAAAGAAAACTCTCCAGTTATGGTTAGAATACACCACCCATGTTACAGGGTGCTAGAAATTCAGCTACTCAGGCCAGTTGAAAATGTTACCTTGTTTTAGACACTATCTAAAATATAGGAAAGACTGCTTAAAGCAAAATTTAAATTTTAGCACCCGGATATATGGGCGGTGAAGTTCATCCTTGATTGGAAAGTTGTATTCGTCCAATTTTTAAATCCATAATAATCCCAGAATTTGGCAATATCACAGACCATATTATACTTTTTGTAAGTCATACCTATACCCTAGGAGTAATCAAGGTCACGTCGTAATTGAGCACTTCGCACTGTTTATTTTAATCAAAAAGTAAATTCCAATTTAAAATAATTTCCTCTTAGTAATTGATCACTATTGAAAGTTCAAATCACATTTCTAGATTTTTCACGGAGGTACAATATTAAATTAAATCTAACATATTTAACCGAGTTGAAAGCTTGTTTGCATTGCTTAAAGATTATTTTAATCAATCGACATACAAAAGTACTAGAACACTACTTCGGACGCATCCAAAGAAGAGGCATTTAACAAGTTCTCACGCGAATGAACTGCTAAGAGGTGTTTCTTCGATGGAAGAAAAAGGCCGCAATTCCCTCCCGTAATGTTTCCTGAATGTACCAACGATGTGAGAAACTTTGTCAGGATTACAAACGATTGCACAGCGGGACTTCTCCGGATCAAACAACGCCAGCATGTGCGATTTCCCAGCTGCAATCATTGACTCCAGCTTCACTTCATTGACATCAGTCAAAAAGTTGCGAAAAAAGTCCACTGCTCGGCTTTGAAAGGCGGCCAGAAGCGATTGCGTCACCACTGAAGAAATGCTACTTTCTCGTTCAACCAGATCGTAGATCAAGGAACTTTTCGCAGATTCAAAAAGTAGATTGTTCCACTTTTCTTTACCATCCAGATGAGACCGCTTTGGAGGAAAAAAAAAAAAAACAGGATCAATTTACCTGACACGCGTAAGTACTATACATTAATAGGGTACTTACTCTGTCAGATATGCACCTTTTGTTCTCGAATTCGAGAGGGGATATAGGGAAGTTTAAATTTTTCTTCAACTATTTATTTTTTATTTGAAATTTTAGATCACGTTAAACAGAATACAAATTTAAAGGGAAAACAATTGAAAATTATTTGAATTAACGTTCACTTTACGTCGAAATTCAAATTTGGGAAATATTCTATATTTTTCATTTCGGAGATATTGTGGTTCTAGAAAGTCACTGAAAATGGGGAGCGCGTCTTGGGGATAATCGTATCAAACTGATGAACCCATTTATTACTCTAAGATGCATAGTACTCAAACACGTTGGTTATGTTAAACCAGGGAGCGAAAAATTAGATTAAACAAAGCCGATTTTGTGAAATTTTCAAGTTCATCGCATTCTTAATACTAATTTACAATAGTTGACTCACAAAAATCTTCTCCGTTTCGGCGTAAGCATCCAGTATGTTACTAGCCATACCGAGGGATAAATGCATCAGTCCTTCGTCTACTCCAAGGTTGAAATTATACGAGTAAGCCAACCCTTTTCCACGGACGGCTTTCCAGATGGGACCCTACAATAGAAAAATATTATTCATTATAAGACGAAAACAAACACTGCTTTTTTTTTTTACCTCCAATTGCTTGAAATACTGGAGGAAAACTAGCATCGGAGCATAGCTTTCGTGGTAATACGAAAGAATATCCGTCTTCACAGTCTGATAAAGATAGGCCGATTCCACTGACCCCATCCCAAGAACAACATCTGGTCGACCAAGTAAGTCTTCCTTCGAGAACTGCGCCACACTCTGATCCAATCTGAGTGCCGGCTCAGATTTTGGCTGGATTTGGAGTCGGTCTGGCGCAGGAAGCCAGTCACTAGAATGTGATAAAAACAAATACATTTGATCAATGGAAACATATTCCAAATGTCACAATGCCCAGAAAATTGTGTTGGGCAGAATGGTCTAGCAACAGTGATGTTGATAGAATTCATAAAATTGGAGAATTCCAAAAAAAAACTGAATAGAATTTTCAAACTTCAAATTGTGAATTCAGCAGTAATTTATTGAATGAAGTTCAACCTCTCCAAGTTAAATGCCTCCCTAAGTCAAAGCTTGCAGCCGCTATCCTGCTCAAATGAATTTTCCACAACCCTACACATTTAGCATGTGCTAAATTTTGAAACCTCATTCAGGACAATCCCATATTTTATGTTTTCACAAAGGAAGGATTTGGCAACATCCTGCAGGTAGGGCATTTGAAAAAGATGAACTGTTATATTCTGATTATTAAACCAGAAACTTCAAGTTGTAGAAACACTTTAAAACCAAAAGTCTCAGTACTTCAGAACAATTTTTCAAAAAGTTTTTCCCTAGGATATTGTTTCAACAAGATTTCACAGCAATTTAAATTCATTATCCTGCGCATATCAGGCTATATTTTGTTGAAACTTCTGAACTTAAATTTCTGGAGTAACATGAAATTCAACTCAATAAAAGGCAATATAAATAATAATTGAGGTTCACCCGCAAAACAAGTACAGAAGTTCTTCCTTTTTTTCTTACAAAAAGTACAGTACGTAAAGTACTGTACAACCATTAGAGCCTGTACTCACTGTTTCGCCTCATGGACACTCAGGCGCGCACCAGAGGACGGTATTCTTTCCTCAGCCTCTGCCTTGTTGGGCACATTCAGAGACGCCACAGCGAATGTCTCCAACCAGGCATCTTCAAGTCCAGTTTTCCTCAAGCTTTTCAGCTTGCACAAGTCAGTGGCCATGTGTATCACCATGGAGGATGCGGAATTGATCAAGGCCTTCTGCAACTCTTTGAGCTTCAACAAGTGTGCAGCTGATGCTTCCAGAGACTGTTCATTCACGGGACTGTCCAGACGTTTGCTCTTGGTCAGTGGAGCATCTCTGGTTTTTGTGAAACTATCCGATATTTCCAACAGTAGCCGTTGTTGTCGAATCATCCCAGATACCCAGACATTGCTTTCTGTATAAAAAAAACATGATTTATAGCAATCATCTCAGTTTCAGAATAGTAAACAGAGTACACTGCCCATTTCCACAAAAATCAGACAGGCCTTGTACAACATTTTCTCAAAATTAGACTTTTCATCAGAAGGTGGGTCACATTTTTCAATAAAAATAAATTGATGACTGAAAATTGAAATTCATTTGTGTCATGCAGGAGGGGTGATCTATTTTGGGGAATATTCCAAGTTTATCAGAAGGAAGCAGAATTCAAAAGGTATTCTTTTTAATACAGGTGGACTCCCTCTACAACAAAATTCAAGGGACTATAAAAGTGCTGTTGCAGAGAACCCCTCCATTATGGTGAGAGAACCATATGGGACCACAAAAAAGAATTATACTGTACAGGGAAACAAGTTGTAGACAAGATTTTTGTACAAAGAGAGTTCACCTGCATAGAGGAGGCATCTCTTTGTGTTAAATTGATGATAAATTCTGCTTTTATTACACATTTTCGGGGTTCAATTTATATTTTATTTCCAGTTTCAGTTACCATCTTCATATGAAACAATGCCAACAGAAATCACAAACAGTTTTGCGTCTTCGAATTTTACATTTTAGTAAAAATTTGCATTCAGTACTGTACAGTAATTATGATTTTTAACAACTTTACTGCAAAATATTGTCTCGGTGGGGATGAATCATGAACTTCAGATGCTGATCGTCTTAAAATTCAAGGCGCAATTTCTCGAGGAACTTCGCGAAGAAAAATCGGGATGCCTTTCGTCTTCATGCTGATAAGTTGAAATAAGATATGGCACAAGGTCTTGTCACTCACTCCGAGAATAGTTGAGATCTTTGATGAGTGCGAGAGCAACTCCTCGGCCTTCTTTGCGCTTTTGAGCAACGCTCTGAGCGAGTTTGGAGGCAACAATTTGAACACGACTCGGTTCCAGGTGAGGATAGAAAACGAGGTTTCGAAGCCATTGCACTCCTTCCACATACTTCTCCATTTCAACCTGACCAACCATCACGGGATGCTAATTCAATTTCTCGATCGACGTCAGTAAGTGTAACAAGTCCAACAACGACAAGTTCAACAACAAAAAAGGGATAAGGACGAGAAAATATTCACACACCTGAACGTTGAAGACGGCATACTGCGAAAAGGCCCCCGGAGAAAATGCGTTTTTGCTTTCGATCCCCAATCCCGCAGAGGCAACTTGCGTGTCAATGTTCAACTGCGTAACGACCGTTTCGTGAGGAACAATTCTGAAACTGTCACAGATCACATCCATGCTGGCTCCAGCCAAAGGTTGACCAGAAGGACACTGTTCTAGACAAGGCTGTTTAGGGGCATCATCATCCCTCAGCCACGAAACCTTGGACGGTAACTTCAAACCAGTTTCCTTCACACATTTCAGGTACAGGGGCAGATACGATCGGAGATCGTCACTGATCTCTGAAGTATTGATTATCAGCGACATCTAGGGGTGAAATCGAGAAAACAATTACAGGTGGACTCCACAATAAAATTCAAGGGAGTTTTTTCTTCTGGACACATCATCATACTTGCAAAAAATTACGAAGTATCTCAGCAGAATAGCACATTTCTCATGGCAGAACAGTAACAAAGTTTTTAAAGTAAAAAAAATTTTTTCTTCATTCCCATAGGAACGTGTAAAACTATTGAAAAAGAATTTGCTGCACAGAATGGTGAAGTGTAGTTCTAGCGTTTGACTTATAAATTTTTGCCGGGGCAATGAAAATACAGGTGGGCTCTCTCTACAAAAAATTCAAGGTACCAGAAAAAATTTCGTTTGAGAGAATTTCGTTGTAGACAACCCCCTTTAACATGGGGAAAGGACCCTATGGAAACAAAACAAAAATCGTTCTACGCAGAAAATCGATGCAGACAAGATCATTGAAGAGAGAGAGTCTACCTGTATTCAAAACTATAATTTTTAAAGAATTACTGTACTCCGAAAAGGAATCTACATGGGGGTCCCTAAACGTGAATATAATTAATTCCTCTACTGTGTCCATACCGTACGTTAGAACATCTGCATATCGGATAAAATTTTCCCATTGACTTCGATGAAAACATTAATAATTCTGATGTTCAGCAAAAAATAGAAAAAAATCCTTTTAAAAGTACTACAAAAATTGTTCCTTCGTTTTGAAATGCGGAAAATAACTGGGCAAAAGAAGCCCGCACATAACCGGAAATGTTCAATTTGATCTTTTTTTCAGTTTTAAATGGAACAATACTGTAATAAATGGCAGGAAAATCGAGCGCTCTTTTATAATGAAAGCGCAGCTATCAGCTTAAAGTGCACAGAAATTAATGCGGGACACCACGTCCAACACTGAACGTGCCGAATTTTGCATCTATACTCATGATCGTAAAGTTTCAAATTTTGCGCAAGTGAAAGTTCAACATACGGCAATGAAGCTGGAGTTCACGTCATCGATTCTCATTTTGAAAGGAATCAACCCCAAATCGAAATTTGGCGCTAACGATTCAATGCGGCCAGCGTCCATATTGAAATTCGCATACGAAGTGATGGGGTGAAATCGAATGCCTTTCACGCTCGGAACTGGGATTGATTCCAGTATCTCCTGATCAGGGGCCACCTGATGGAATTAGATGTTATTCGCAGAAATGCTCGTCACTGCATCAGTAACTAAAAAGCTTACAATCAAAAACATTCGCCGGAACGCAATAAAATTGAACAAGTTGTCATAAACAAGTTGTCTATACCTCCGATGAAAAGATTCGAGAGTAAATCTCTCAAATATATAAAAGAAAACTATCCAAAATGTCACCTCTTTTGCTTTTTTTTAATTTAGGAAAAACAAAAAAGTTGTCCGCATCCAATTCAAAATTCGAGAGAATCTCAAAAATATACATGAAAAAAAGAAGATCCAAAATGTCACCTCGTTCGCTTTCACCGCCTTCGTCAGCAGTTTTTCCTTCAATTCCATTCCAGCCTTGCCAAGCTTCTGCTTCTGAGCATTCAGCCTGGATGCTTCCTTTGAAGCATTTTCTTGCTTCATAGCAATTGAAGGGCATCCACGAACAATAACATGAGGTAAAGCGGGATCAAAATATTTCCTCAACAAAGCGACCCAGAATTTCTTGCTTTTCCCCATCAGCTGCTCGATCGTATCCATTCTGTTCAAACGGTCTCTGAACTGAAACGCAAGCGTGAAACATATAACCAATAAATTGAGAAAATTCGTTTTTTTTTCGAACTTACTTGGTTGATGTGTGTACCATACAACATATGACCGATGGTTTCACTTGCCAAGAGTAAACTGGGATTCGACTCGAGTAGAAGCATGAAATCGATTTTCGTGCGATGCAAAATGTTCGACATGCGTTTCATGTCAAACGTGGAAGATTTCACGCTCTTCAGACACTCCATCAACTTTGGCGCAATCAGATCCAACTTGCTTATGGGTACGTTGTGGAACATGAAAATCAAACTTGACGCTGCGTTGTCCAGTATATCAGTACCGACCTGTATAGAAGAACAACACGGGAACAAGTTCGAAGTTTTCGCAACAATGAAAAATAATACCGTAGAAGCTGGATCAACATATTCACAATGCGTCCTCTCACAAATCGCACACGTTGGCTTTTATAAGCAGTAAATTTTCGTAAAATTCATTCCTTCAAAACATAGGCACACACATTTTCTGGCCGAAAATGCTTGATTTACACCGGAGTTAAAATTTAAACTTCATAATGGAATATATGCATAAATTAATTATATTATTATTTGCTGCGGTTATAAAATTATTTTGGTTGCTTCGAAGTTCTTGAAAATACTGTTGTTTCAAATTACATGCACATTTTCAAAAAAGTGTGCTGCATTTATTGAGTTGTCGTTATTCGTTATTTTCCCTAAATATGAAGTATTCTGGAATCGCGCCAAATAAAATATTTATATTCTTTCGAGACACTGGAACTGTTCAGTGTTGACACGTACAATTGAAATACATTCATCTGAATGATTTTCAACGATTTCTTGACTGTGTTCGTAATTTCTCCCGATGAGTTGGAAAGGAGTGCAATTGTATCCTATCTTCATGTCGAAGAGGAGTTCACCTATGACACGTGCATCTTATTCTATCAATTAGCACAAAGGTGTTTTATACAATACAGTTTTATATTAATACAGTATCGGAAAAGTGAGGTCAACACAGGAGTAGTGCTGAAAACCATGTGCCGATTGAAGCTTCGTCTTCTTGGCAATATTTGTGTCAGTTGAGGTAAACTCTATGAATTCCTTAAAATTTTGACGAGTGCGCAGAATTTGTTCGTAGCTGCAATATGGGAGACGCTAGAGTATAACTAAGTATTTGGAAACCCAAAAACTTGGGGAACCAGCATTTCTGTTTAAATTGATGGAAGTTCAAAAATGCCTTCAACGTTATTTGAGAACAACATACATTATAAGAAAAACGCTGAAGCCAAGTTGGTTAAGAGATGATGCAGAGAAATAAGCTTTCGCAGCATCCCCAAGATGTCGCGTTGAATGTTCTTACATTAGGAGCGGAACCAGTTCTGGGATTGCAAAAAATACCATGTACATCAGTAGAATTTATTGTTGAGATTGAAAGCGACAGAAGATTCAGAGGAAGGCCACCGAGTATCACTTACACGACTCGCAAGAGGGCAATCCATCTCGACGAAGGCCTTCCTCAGCGGACTAATCGCAGTGTCAACCATATAATCCATCAGCAGACTTAGACCGAAGATTCTGCAAGAACATCGAAGCACCTGAAGCTGTTTCAAACCTGTCACTTGACTTCGTGAATGCGAAATAAAACTGGAATGAAAAAACGAAATGCTCGTCTTACTCATCAACACCTTTCTTAATGAAAGGTCCCCTCCAACCGACTTCCACCATCCCGAAATCTTCCTCATTTGCAGGAAAAAGAACTTTCACGTCCGACGTCTTCTTCAAATCTTCGACATTCGACGACCACGGACGAACAAATGGATCATTCACCTTCTAAAAAGAAATAATTTTTCTCATTGTGAGCATGCTTACTCTGTAAAACTCTAAAAGAAAATAAGCAATGCTAAAACTCGCAACAAGTCTCATCTTCGGTCTCCACAGATTTCCATCAATTTCAGCTCAGACTAATATAGCATTTTTTCTGAATTACAGTGGGGCCCCGAGATGCGGAAGTAATCGTTGCTTGAACCTTGATCCTATGACAGGGCGTCCGCATGTCGGATCATATTTACTTTCCCTTAGCTTAGACTTTAATGGGAACTTTTCAATTGGTCCTCACGTTTATCAAATTTGGGAGGAAGTCCCCGAAAATTAAAAAAAAGTGTTCTCAACTTTAAAAAGGATAAGATACAGAAAATAATCTTCCAGAAGAAGACCAAAGAAAATCTTATTTTTTGGCATGAAAAATAACCCTAAAAGCAAATAACAAACAAGTCTTTCTATACTACAGGTACAGGTGATGAATAACTCTGAAATTAAGAAGGAAAAGAATAGTTAATATCATCATGAATTAGAGAAATTCGTCATAGAATTTATTTTTAATCCTTGGGAATATAAAAAATCGTCTTCCACTGCACATGATTACGTCCATATACATAAATCAAAATTGAAACAGGGCATGACCGAAAACACTCACGAACAAATCCTTGCATGTTACGAAACGTTTAAACAGGATACCAACCTAAAGAAAACATTTTTTTGGAATTCGGTCAGGCTAGCTTAATTTTTTTAAGTTCGCGATTCAAGCGACACCTCCCCAACATTCCAGAAATCGGATTCGCGAGCAGAAATCAGAAGATTCGAAGACGGAACTGCCTGACGTGAGACCGAACGACACGATGTCGACAGATTTGGACGCTGTACTGTACACGTAAGAAAAGAAAAGAAATTGAACCTTCTTCACGAGCTTCCTTTCAATCGGCTCAATCGCATCCATGACCTCAACAGCAGTCACATGCCCCGTGACGATAAGCCACACATTCTCCGGTCGATAAAAGGCCCTGTGAAACGCTTTCACCTTGACATTGTTGCACGATTCCCGCAAATTCTTCAACGATCCTCCACTGCACACGTTGTAGCCCGTTTTCCCCGGGTACATGTGGGTTTTCATGGCATGGTGAACCATGGTACCGGCGGTGTTTTCTATCGACTGCATTTCCGAGTAGACGATTCCTCCGTCGTCGCCGATACCGTTGATGTGGTGGATTTCGGTCAAGTAGGACGAATCCTGTCATAAGAAAAGACACGACGGTTAGTCCTAAAGCTTGTAATCGTTCTTCATGCCAATAATAAAGCTGAATTACCGGTGTTCTCATTCACGTTCAAATATCAATAAATTTCAAAACATTGTATTCCAATTGTAAGTTATGTTCGCCTTGAGTCAGTTGACAATAAAAGCAATACACAACTGGGTGCGCTTCTGGTTTCCGAAAGTCGAATGAAATTCAACCCCAAGCGTTTAAAAATTGTTGCGTCAATTATTGTAAGTAATTTTCACGAAGTTTCGACGAATCCGAACCCATTTTTTCCGCTCGGGACACGAGAATTCGAATATTGCAGGTACTTTTGGCTTAATTTAACTCAAAATTACCACTTTTGCACATTAAATACTGTTCTTCCTCATTGGGCATCATGATACAGAGAAGGTTTGGATTTATTTTTGAAACTTACTGCGGTGGATCATAGCAATGTAGTCGGAAATGGTCGACAAACTCTTGAATTTTGCACATTTGGAAAAGATAATGGGTGATTTTGGCGTGAAGGGATGACGGCAGAAAAATAATCACCGTATTTCTTAGTAGCGGGTGGAACACTACATAGAAAATGTGGACTACGGCACTGTACAGGAGAAAGATACATAGAGATAAATACATAGTTGAGTTGATGTGATAATCGCAATAACTGTCCCAGTTCAGTAACGAACAACTGTTCGAAAAATAGTTCAACCTCGAAACCCAAACCTTCCTAAATCGAATTCTTTCGAGGCCTTTCGGCTAATCTTCTATTGACACGGGAAAGATAAACGGAATAAAACATTAACTCAATGTATTTTGAAAGGAAGCCAAAGACTAATTGAGCAAATGAATCCTTGCCTGCAAGTTCAGCATCCCCTCAGCTCATTTAAGAAGCAATTTGAGGCCCGGAATATCACAAATTACAATTTCCTCGAATTCTTCCTTTCTTTCACGCCAAAAAAATGCTCCTTTCCCTAACTCGAATTTGTTTGCTGGCTCATTCGGAAGAGGTTCAACTGTGAATTTAAGAGCGCGCAGAAACCAGACACCTCATTCATCCACACAAATTTGTGATTGCCAAAAACATTTTTTCGGAAAAAAATTACGCAGAATACGAGAACATTCGGTCGGAAATTCGAGAGACATTAAAAAGATGATTGCATGCACACGTTTATAAACTACGAGACAAAACAAAAACGATTCTCACTTGAAGCGTAGGAAAAAATATGTGGTCCAAATAAATCGGGAGCAAGTTACAGAAGCCTCCGCTGCCGGCAGTTTTCATCGTGTAAGCCGTGTGATCCTGCGCTGGAATACGGATTTCGAGAAACCCCGACGAACAACTGGGTTCAATTTATTTTTGCGTCACTAACCAGTCCATGCGTTCGTGCCCGAGGCGAAACACCTGTTGGCCACTAAATCCAACATGCCCTTCCACGGGTACTCATCACTGCCCATGAAAACCAAGTGCTCCAGCGTGTGAGGGAGTCCATCATCGTCGAGAGGTTCAGTCGCTAAAAGCGAGTTTTCGGGGATTCAACATCAATAACGGAACGTGTAGTTCTGTAAACTCCATTAAGACCGTTTGCCGAGAGGATTATAATTTCCTCAGTTCATCATTTATTGCTTCGAGCAACTTTTTATTTCAGAGGAATTCCAGTTTTACTTGTTTTGCTCATCCTTCCCAACAGTTTTTTGGTGACTTATCTGTTGCGATCATTGAAGGGATGTTTCCGAAAACAGGTTATAATGAACAATACTCAGAGAATATTAAATAACACATGACACGCCCTTTCGTGCTTCTTTCAATTCTGATATCTTCACCCTACAGTTGGAACGCGTTCATTGTTTCAACACTAACTTTTCCGTGCAAAAACGCCTTGTACACTAACAAATTCTAGAGACACTAGAATTTGGCTGTATTCTAAAACTTAGCTAATTCTTAAACTACAGTCACATTTGAAGCGACTGAAAAAAAATCAAACTCCAAGAGTTTTTGAGTGGGGAATTTTTTCATTTTCGTCAGATTAATCAATGGAAATTATTTTCAGGCAAAATTATTAAATCTGCTCATTATTCCTAGATGTCCTATACGCACTAAAATGCATAATCCCATGAATAAAGCTTAAAAATATAAGATTGTATCTCTCTTATATGTTTGTATGTTTTCTGGAACATGATGCTCCGAGATGTGGCCTCAAGCTCAGAGGCAAGAAGACACAAGACCCTGAACATTTGACTGAGGTATGCTTGATTCAAAGCGTTTTGAGTTCAGAAGGTTCAAAATGCATTGGAATTTAGGGCATTGTCCCGGGATTAACTGGAAATTCACCAACATCTAAAATTCACACACATTTAATTTAAATCTAGATTCTATCTAGACGCTAACGAAGTTACAAAAAGTTATCTAATCTAACATATGGTAAACCGTAGAAATCAGAATAGTTTAGTTTTTCTCGTACATGTCGCTGAGTTATATAACCCTCAATCCACTCAGCACGCTAATAAGCGCAACGTTGTTTTCATCTCAGCTTTAAGGAGTTGGAAAATACTATAGTTCAAAAATACTTTCAATGAAAGTTATTTGGTACAACGTCGAAGTCGGCGGCGAATTCATCGTACCGAGAGCAACATAGCCATTCACAATTGGCCCAGGAACTTTGTGCAACACAATAGTCAAGCCTGACGCTTCGCTCTTGTAAATCACCACTGGGAGCCGCCCATCAATTTCTCCTCTGTATCTGAGCCTAAAATTACCGAAAGCCTCCCCGAGTCGGTCCATGCCGTTCGCGCGGAAAGGAACAGAGCCTCGCCTGCAGGAAAACGTTGTTTTATCACACTCCCGTGTTACGAAGACGGAAACGTACATGTATCCCCGATCACACATTGAAAATAGGGTTTCCCAAGCGGAATGAAAGCGCGCAGCGGGCTTCGTAAGGCACCAATATATCCAACTAGCTTCTTGTGATTCTGATCGGAAAGGTCTCCGTGATCACGTGATCGTCTTTCAACAGAATGACGAGATTCACTTCGAATTCTGTAAATAAATAGAAAACACATTCATGATCAACAACTGGGTGAAGTCCGCTTCGTTTCATTTGGAAATTTGGTGCCCCAAACTCGGATGATACTCTCAGAAAAGCACACAGGTGTCGCCTGAATATCCACTAAGGTCTCACATGAGAGTCCTGCATCATCAGTTGAAATAGAAAATTATTCACAGCATTCACAGCATTTTCTATAAAACAGATTTTCTCATTCAGATCAGGAATGTTCATTTGACGGAAGAATGTTGATTCAGACGAAACCTGTCAGATACTTCAGGAGATGAACACAATACAGGGAACACTTACCAACTTTAAAATTCGGTGCGGCAAGGGTGGGACACGAGAAAAGTCGTGGAAATATCATGTGAATTGGGATTGAAATTCCACGCATCACGTTACCTTCACCGATCCGTATATTTTGCACTTCCGTCGCTGTGGAGAGATAAAAGGGTTAAACGTCATCATTGAGCGTAAAATACGATACAAAATAATCGAGAAAATCAATAAACCCGGATTCCAGGCTGTATGCAGTGTAGATTTCAAAGAAAGCGAACCTTCTTTGGCGTATCCCTCCGCACATCCGCAAGTTTCCACGCGAACTAATTGTACTTCGATGGATTTGATCTGGATGTCACACCTTTCGATAGTCAACTGTCAGAAGAAACGAAGTTATAGTCCGATATTGGCGCATTAGAGTGGTTCGGTACAAGGTTTGTCCGGTTTACAAGCGAAGAAAGTGACAGCCCGTACACTAGAATACTTTCCGGGAAACAGTGATTTTTCGAATGATGAGTTCGGGCGATTTTCTTTAGAACTTTACATTGCTCGATCATTGTGTTCTTCATGGGCTGATCGATTAATGGACGACGTACCATCCCCGGGGATTTTTCGGGGGTCTAGAATCAATTGGCAATTCTCCGAAGCCTTGCATTAATAGGTTCAGGCGACATCTGTCTGATATTCAAGGAGGCAGTGACAAGCTTCATGATGAATTTTTTCAAGTGGTTGAGGAAACCATTGGAAATACAGTACATTACGGGCTGAGTACAAGGTGAAAACGTCAGTTCTAAAATATTCTACGATGTCTCAATATTACCGGATGCTTCAGAAGTATAAAGAAATACTGTGATGTACAATCTTTCGCGATGATGATCGCATGCGTGATTTCTTTTTATTCATGGATAAAGTTATAAAACCAATGATTGATCTTCTCTTTTTGTACTCTTCTTTTTTTCACGACTCAGCGTGGTTACCAGATATCCCTCCCACGATTTTCATTACTCGTACTTCTCCAGTGAACGGCTGAGTAATCGCACAGACTGTGCTGTCCAGACGGCCTTTGATGTGAAAGTTCGGCATTCGATCGCGATCCTTCATGTTTCGCACCGATTCCGGGGTCACTGTGAAAGCCAGCGGCTTCAACACGGCCCTATCGGCTTCTTGATCCTACAAAAGCATTCGATGAGGATCATTTGCTGATTTTCGATCTATAGACGTTATATGTGTTCTCGTCTACCCTAAAGAAATTTTTTTTTAAATATGGAATCAAGCGAAAAAAAACTACGTCACCCGATGCAACAAAACGCTTACAGCTGTAAGTTCAAGTAAACGTTCATTATTCATTGATTTTATTGGACAATCGCAATGCAATAAAGACAAAAATACCACAGAATTTCCAACGTGGATTAAAATATACAGTACCTGTATCTACATAAATTTGTGATAGATTGAGTAATCGAAGACGAGATCATCAGTCTAATGCGACAAATTCAGTAAATTTTTAAATGAGAAGTTACATGGAAATGAAAAAAAAGATGTTGACACAAAAAACATCATTAGTTTTCCCAAATTGCCTTAATTCATTTCGTAAAATTACGTCCAACCGACGTAAAATGCCTCAAATCCATTCAAATGTGCTTCCCAAGAAGTTAAGTATGAATTATACACGACGTTCTCGAACATGAAATATCGCCAATCACAAATATTATCTAAAACTGCTTTTAGATGTCACTGAACTGTTACACGGTACTCGTATTTTTATTTAGCATCAAGTCAACATAGATTCAATCTGGATTCTTTCTCTGTATGCATAAAAATCGCATCAGTTACAGACGGAGAATCAGATTTTCCAATGGGAAGTTTTTTGAAGCTTGGAAAAATTTCTTCCCAACTTTCAGGCAATTCACCCGAAATTTTATAACACAGAAATTGCTGCCTTTTTGCAACTAACTTCCTGGATAAACTATGGCAACTGCGTCGATAATTCGCACTACTTATAACTACTGTACCGTGTCATTGTTGAATGACTCACCCGGTATTGGACAATGAACTCGATGCTTTTTTGCAAATCTTTAGACAACATCCCACGCTTCATTTCGCATCTGACGGAGTATTGTACGTTAACGAAGACTCCGTGATAAGTTTCGTACAGTTTCTTCGAAGCTCCGTTAGGCACCACGTGAAATTCGAATGGAATTTCAACTACACCAGCAGGAATCCTCCCCGGCTTTGCGACGTCCGTCTGATAGCTCATCAAAGTGATTGGCTGCATGGAAGCATCAGAAAATTGCTCGAATTGACGAGTTCGATTTTCTTTCATGAATTTTCAACGTAACTTGAAGCAAAATTAAAAAAGAACACCAACCAAGCATACTACGATTTTTTCTTACTCAGTGTAATTATTTCGTGCTTCGACTTCACATTACGGATGTGTCACCGAAATTCCATCACATTTCATTTGTTAAATCTGTGCCAGGTGAGATGACGTTGGGTTTTGCTACGTGACAATGCTCGCGTTCAAGACCGTGGCGACATTCGCGTGGAACGTTCGGAGACGTTGAATGTACAGTACTGTAATTGGTTTTGTTATGTCAGGTGAGCGATTGAGGCGACACCTACATGATGTTCTATTCAGCCTAAGTCAAGAACCATTTTCCAACGATTCGGAGAAAAGTTTAGCTGTACGCGGAGTATCACATTTGTTCACAGGAACCTTTGCTCAAAATTATGGAACGTTCACATACTATATGCTCACGCAGTGTTGCCTGGTGTGACGCAACGACGTGCTGTTCAGTGTATACTAGCCTTCAACCCACCTTCACGCTGTTGTAGAAGGCTTCAAACAGACCAAAAGTTTTTGAGCTCAGTTGCAGGTTGACAGTTCCATCGAGAAATAATGTAATTCCTTCGTGTCTGAAGTCGGATTTGCAGCTCAAAACCAGCAAGCCAGTCATCACCTCCTAAAATCGCAAGATCGTTACAAAAAGAACCAAGACACGGCGGTAAAATAAAAGAATGAATTTCGAATAGGAATATCTCGAACGGCTGCGGCTAATATATAAATAAATTGTACTCATCCGATAGAAAACTTTTTTTTTTCTTCTCAAAAACAGATTTCAAGGAAGTTTTCAGGACTTATTTCAGGAGAGGACTGATTCTCGAGGTAAGGTCAAAAGTCAGTGAAGCATTATCTTTCTCAGAAACGCTCCAGTTTTCCTTTATTCGCAAATTTTCACAAAAACTTCGTTTCAAAAACTGTTCAGCTTTCAACTCACGCCTTGGTGGTAGATTTTTGAGCTCCTCTTGAGTCGCACATCCACGGACGCAGCCATTTTGCTCTCGAGTCCGCTCCTGAAGTAAGCAGGAAGAAAACAAAAAAACACTCGGTGCAGTTTCGATATGATGCAAGCGATAAAAAAAAAAAGCAGCAAGTTCATCTCGGCCAGAGCACCGACGGCACAGCAAAAATAAATTAAACGAGAACCTTAGCTGACTGAAATATTATTTCGATTCTTTCAGCTCATCTGACAAAAATCAGCTATTTCCAAATCGGGAGAACAAGCGGCATAAAATCTGAATTTTCTATAAAAGAAGCCAGAAGGGACTGCATCCAGTCGGTCGAAATTTCTTACAATCTTCAACGGCACTGATCCCATTTCAGAATGGAAATTGACAAGAAACCCGTCCTGAACTGGCCAGAAATGAACTTACTTGAGCGAGGAATTCACGCATGGAACGAAACCCGCCTTAGGCTCTGCTTCCAGAACATCCACGGTTAGACCTAAGCTGTATTTCCATCCGGAAAGTTGCGACAAGGAACGGGAAAACAACACGACAAGCAGCGAGAGCAGCGGCTTCAATTGTCCTCGGCGGCTTCCAAAATGGCGCCACTGTAGGCGAGGTCCCAATAGTGCTCTACTCCGCGTTTCTTAAAAAACTCTCTCGCGTAACTCTCCGTAGGGCAAAACTTGAACGTGATTTCACCAAACGAACGCTCCGACATCGTCCCTTCCCACACGAGGACACACTTGTTCATGTCCACCTCTTCGTCGGCTTCCTCGGCGTCTTTAGATTCCTTCTTCAATTTCTCCTCGCCCCACTTGATTCGCTGGAGCATCAGGCGTTTGAACTTCTTTTGCTGGTTGGGGCCGCCTTCAACCACCACCACGTTGGTGTCCTTGTGAAGAACGACGCAGCCAGTCATCAGCAGTTGCTTGCAATTCATTTCGATCTTGAATTTCTTTGCTGCGTTCGTCAAGGACTTCACTCTGTCGAAAATCAAATTGAATGTACTGTAGTATAATATACGTACTAGTTTGTAAGTTTGTTGGTTTTTTAAATAATTTCCTTTCAACTTCAAAACGCGATAGTCGAATCGCCGATCTGAAGAACAATAACCAATTACAGTTGAATCTTCCCAAATCAAATGCCTTCCTATTCCGATTTTTTCCAAGTCCTTGTCTGAATTCTTTGGGAAATGATGCTTTAAAAATAATAAAAAATTTCCATATCCCCCTCAAACCTCCTCGATTCGAACTTTCTGGAGGCCTTTTGGCTAATATTTTATTGACACAGGAAAGAGAATAGCAACAAAAATGTAACAGATTTCTTTTGAAATGAAGTGGAAGACTAATTTGGCAAATGAACCCTTGCATCCGAAGTCAGCATCGTCCGTAAACTCTTTTAAAAGCAATCAAAGGCCTGAAATATCAATCACAATTTCCTGTAAATCTGCTTACTCACAAATTGAATTTGTTGTACTGTACTGTATTCGGTGAGTTTTGAGTTTGAGGTGAAACTTCTCCCACAATTCAGAAAACGTTAATGCAGTAGTACCTAACCAGGGTTTCATCAAAGAAGCACAGAATGAAAAAAAACATCGAATATAAACCAAAAAAATTTACACAGCCCTGCGGAAGCTTACTGACTATAGAGCAACCTGATTCAAACTAAAATAAGCTTAATTAACTTAGACCAACGACACCTTGACACACAGCGAAATAAAAGCAAAAACAATCCAACTAAATCTGCGTCGGTGCATAGGCGAGAAGAACTGGGAAATTCCAAACAAAAATATGGCACTATGGAAGAAGATATACTGTACTGCACTTACCTATACACAGAAACACGAACGCCAGTTGAAACATCTTCCTTAGTTTTCCGGATTTTCTTCTCACGTTTTTGGTCTTTCGTGAGTTTCCTAGCAGCGTTAGCTTCTTGGTGCATGCGCTGTCGCTTTGCCATTTGCTCCCGTACGTGAGCTTCGACTTTCGTGGGATCTTGGACGGCATCAGTGCCAAGTACCCGCATTAAATTGGATATTGTCATCTGGAAATGAAAGCAGGATTCCAGACGTGACAGGGGTTTTTTTTTTAATACAGCAAGATTTTCAAAGGTTTTGAAATTTAACAATATCTGAAAGGCTACACAGGCTGGAATATACGAGACCTCAGATTTTTTTTCAAATGGCATCGTGAAAGCCAATCGGTCACCCAAAAATCAGCCAACATTCTCGTTCGAAACAATTTCCCGCACAATTCAACGCGACTGAAATTTCTTCCAAAAGCTGGTTCGTAAATTGTATTTCTACCGCATTTTTTCACCCGAGTATGAACCATTGCAATTCCATTAATTTTGTTCTGTTTGTTAAAAATAAAGCGAATAACCACCTTGGGTTCCGGAGCGGGTTCCAGTCCGAGACGTATTTTTTCCTGTTTCTCTTTCCAGGTTTCCCGTCGATTTTGACGCCGTTTCTTCTTTTGTTCCTTTTTAGTGAGGAATACCGGAAGCACGCCATCATCATTGGCTTCTCCTAATTCCAAGATAAAAAAAAATAATATTCAAAAGTATTCAGAGGTCTGATGGTCCAGAACTATTCTTCCCCAGAACAACAAAGAGACCTCTTTCTTCTCTTGAAATCACACCACAGCTGCTCCGCAGTGGGCATTTCAATCAATTTCTAGAATACACCCTTATTAAAAAAAGGGGCGCTTTGAATATAAAAATTTGGAAATGCATCAGGAGTCGTCACAGATTCGTGATTCATTTTTATCAACACAATCTTCGCGATAAAAATTTAGGTTGAAATTCAAGAACACGTGTCTCGACACTATATTACTTTCCCAGGCAAAAAGTATACAGTACCGTAATCCCGATTCCGTTGAAAACTTTTCAGGTGGTTAGTCTGGTACATGAAGCATGAATACAATAAACTGGCTTCTCTAATTATATTTTTGAAAATAATGAACATTTTACAGTAAATCCAGAAAATAAGAGTATTCTTGGTTGACGGAAGGGCAGTGAAGCAATATCGGTTCAAGTGGGGGTGAACTGGGGACACGAACAAAAGATTACAGTACCTGGATTGGAAACGTGCGTCGGATGTTCAATTAGATTTGTAATTCGGGTTTCGTTCACGTTTGCTTTTACTTCTTCTTCTGTCTCTCCGTACCTAAACAAAAAAACAGCGTAATACAAACTCAGAGTTTCAAGAAATTCATCACCAGAAAAACTCACGATTTTCCTTTCAAAACGATGACATCCCACCACTCGACATCGGGGATATCTTCAGTTCCAGCCAGTTTGTCCACTTTCTGAATCGACGACGTCGCCAAAGCTAGCTTCGTAACACTGCTAATTCCGGTCTTCTTTGCCAACTGATTAATCTCACTCTGTACTTTCTCCAGTTGCGCCTAAATTTCGCAGAATCAAGAATCTTGCATCACGTCATAAAAATCACTTGGAAAAAAGGTACCTTCATTCTTAGCTGATTCCCGAGCTTGACGAATTTCCCCAGTTCGTGAAACTGCATCCGCCTCGAAGTTCTAACAGAGTTTTTCATGTTTACCCTGGGATCGAAAAATAGAGAAGTGGACAATTCCTGAGGGATTTCCGCAGGTTCCACCAACGTAGGTTCCAACGACGCAACGCTTTGAATTCCGGTCTCATTTTCACGTTTTTCTCGTCTTTTGATCGCCCGCAAGTTCGCCTAAATATCAAAATATACCAGGTAATAAATCCCTTTGATTCCACATAAATGTCAGAAGAAGAAAAAAAACCAGTTCCATTAAAGTTGTGACATTAAGTGGAAGAGAATAGAATGGCTTTGCTTTCGTCGAAAAAATATCATCATTAGCTCCGATATGTGATCTCATTGATAAGTGTGGGAAGATCAGCCCTGGGGTATTGACTGATGCACACAATTTGATGAACACGGTGTCACAATACAGGTTGATTTGAATAAAATCTCAAGGACCAGTTGAAACACAGTCGATGATGAAATTAGGTTACAAAAACTGATATCAGGAGAAAGGGGAATTCATATTGGTTAAATTCTAATACAAACTTTTCAATTTAAAGAGAAGTAAGATAAAGGTTAGGGCCTTTCGCGGTGAAAAAGAGGTTCTCATAGTAAGAATTGCGTAGGCCTTTTCTTCGTGAATTACTCCATCTTTGATTCAGTCTTTCAGAGAACCTCGCACGGAATACTCAGTAACTTATAAATTTGTTTTTCAGGAAATCTGGACCTTTCATTCAGGGTCTCCTGAAATTTAAAATTAATGTAGATTGTCCCTCAGTATCTTACTCTTGTCTTCGTCTTATACTTTGCACATTATTTCACCAAGTGTAACGTTTTTAAAGAGGTGGGTCAACTTTTATTTTTAAAATCTCGTCAAGTTTACAAACCTTCAACTCAGGCAAGGGTTGGTGGATGACGATTTCGTTACCAGATGCATCCACCATTCGTCCCCGTTCGTCCAGTTTTAAAGAACCGGGTTGCGGTGCAGACGGAGCACGATTGACTTCAATCGTAGGACCAACGTCGAACATGGATCTCTTCCGCACAACCGCGTCTACATCAGGCCGTTTGGCCTCCTTCTCAGCATTCGTGGTCACAACGATTCCCGCTGCTCCCAACTTCATTTTGATCTCATTCTGTAAATGACAGTTCAACTTTATAAGTCGGCACATCCCTGAAGTGAAGGAAAGCCTTCAAACATAGTTGCTCAGGAGCAAAAAATGAATCTTCATGAGTTTTAGAACGTATACTATATCCTAAAAAACTCTCGATTCTAAGAAAGAAACGATCGTTCAGTTTATTCTCCCCAGTCCCAAACGTGTCTTCGAAATAGGTAGGCACTCGAATGACCCATCACTGAATGCCAGCAGTCAACTACCAACCAGTTCAATGACATTCTAGCAGCAGAGCGATGAATTATTTTAATTCGCTTTAGGAGAAAATATGAAGACTTTCATGAAATATTCCCATCTCAAGATGGATTGGCTATGAATGCAGATGATGAAGACAACTGAGCAAAATCTTGGAACATACTTCCAGCCCAAATGGGAATATCATAAAAATCGAAAGAATGCTGATTTGATTTTTTTCAATTTATCCCTCATGCTACATCTTAGATCTACATTATAGGTCCCTCAAAGTAATTTTCCATTTAATTCGTCGAGAGATGAATTCGCTTACTGAAGAGTGGAAAGTAAAATTGACGTAGTAGATTACTTCCGCGTGCAATTAAACGCTGTTTAGGACTAGCAGTATTTCCTAAAAATCCCTCGTCTGTGGATTGAGAGTATCACCTGCAATTCGATCCTCCGCCGCTCCGCCTCCTCCTTCGTGTCGATGGCACTCTGATGGACCGCATTCATCCGAAAATTGGCAACGGACGGAACCCGCGGAAATTGGTTGAACCTCTGGGGTCCCGGCTGCTGTGGAGATGCAAATGCCGGCAACCCCGGCCGCATCAACGGCGGCGCCCCGGGCGCCAATGACAACTGCGCCTCTAGTGCTTGTTTCCGTTGCATGATGACGCGCTGGGCATTTTCCATCATCTCCTTGATTTGTTGCGCGTTGAGCTGAGGCGCCGCCACCGTCTCCTCGACAGGCTCTGGCGGTTTCGGGGCATCGTTAGCAATTTCAGTCACTGGGGCTGGCTCGGTTTTAGCGGCGGCTGGCGGCGTTTCGTCGGTATTTTCTTCCTGAAACTTGGCTCTTTTCGACTTGATACCGTCTGTAACGTCCCCATTTTTCGACCGCTTCCTGGATTTGGATTCGAACTCGTAAATGATGTCGTCCAACTTCGAAGCGAGTTTACTCGCCTTCGAGCCGTCCAGGTACGCTGACAATTTCTCTGCAGAATGAAACAATTTTCAACGATTATAACTTCAGAATTCCCGATACCTTTCATTTTAACCCGTTCTTCAAATTTTGAAGGTCAAGCAGGTGTTGCCGAAACCTTAGCCTGACTTGAATTAAGACAACTCATTTAAAGTGCCTCTTTTCTCCAAAACTCCGACTTAAACTTCGAGTAAATCCTAACATCATACTCAGAATACTCTGAGTACATCAGAATGCTAAGAAAATACTGTACCTCAAGCCATACCAGAATATAACTTTTTCTCCATAATCCATAAAAAAAATTTTCAATGATCTGCGGTTGTCTTCTAGTTTCAATGCTTTATTCCCGAATCCGAAATAGTGTCGCTCTTTCCATCTAAAATTAAACTTATTCAGACAATAAAACCTAGTCCTAATAACATAAGCCAATTCTCATTTCCGAAAAAAAACCACAAAATCATGAATACCTGGATTTTGTTCAAATTAAACCTAAAATAACGTAAAAAATTGCAGCAAACCCCCGTAACAACGGTCAACAGACGTTTTAGTTCCCCGAACTGCTTTTTAATTCGATGACGAGAAGTCGATTCTACTTACCAACCATTTTCCGCTTCTCCAACTTGTTCATCACACATTTTACGGCACACTTCATAACGGAATCGCGCGATGATCCATACTTCAACACAACTTTCTCTACTTCCGGTTTCAAGTCTTCCAATTCTGTCCCCGCGAGCGACATTTTTCGCGGTCATGCGATCACAATCGTAACACTGTTTCTAAACTAAAGGCAATAAGCGTAACTTGAAATTTCCGTTCAATCAATCCAGATGGAAGTCAAGGACACGCGTGGACGCCAATGTATAAAGAAACTATATTAAAATTATACCCGCAACAAGATTTTTCAGAGAAACGCTAATTAAAAAAAAAAAAAACCCGGATCGAACTGATTGATCTAAGTAAAAAATTTGTAAACCTAAGCAAAGATCGGCATCGTTGAGCAAGGTACTCGCTGAAATGAACAATTCAAATCTTCACAGGCATTTTAGTGCTTTCCAGATCTTTCAACTTTTGACCATATTTCCAAATAGATCGGGAAAACGGAATCGTACAGTTCCTTCAGCTGTTGCTTCATGACGTCGGGATTACACGTCGTCATCAGCAGTTCCTTGATATCTTTGTTGGAGGTGGCGTTGAATTTCAATGCTCGAGAATTTTCCTGTGAAAAATGTTGTTAATGAAACGTTTCGCAAGCATCACGTTTTTTTTAAAGGGTGAATGACAGCAAAAACGTGTAGATTCTCTCTCTACAGCACTCAGGAAGTCAGGATACCTACCATCAATTTCCGGACGAGAATTTTTTGTAAAGCAGTCTCAAAAGCATTAATAGATGGCCTGAAGAGTTTCTCACAGGCGCCAATTCTTTGAAATACGGGCACATCTTAAAGGCAACAAAATATCAGTACAGTAACCTCTTTTTAATTATTTTTCGGCAATGATCTAGAAATGAAAACAAATCCAAAACCCTGCATTTTGCAGCGAAGCGACATACCGAACTTGACAGAATCTACAGTACAGTCATGTACAGTACTGTACATATGCAGTAGAATCTCGTTGAAACGAATTCATTGCTCACAAGGGATGTTTATCAGGTCCCTGCCCAATAGCACAATGTTATCCAACTCGCTTTATAACGAATTTACGAAAAAGCTTTTTTCAGGTATCAACAGCGTTGTCGTGACGAGATTTTCACAGTACAATATACACCGTATACTTTTTATAATCGAACATCATTCAAATAAAAAATAAACAAATAAAACAGAACAAACCTTGTTCATAGAAAAGAGCCTCTTCTTGATGTCGAGTCTATATTCCTTCAAATCCGCTGGATCTTGTAGATTTGTCACCCCCAGGCGCAGAATCTCGTATACGCGACGGACTTGTTTCTGTGAGATATCCACTCAAAATTAGACATGGAATGGAACCAGAAGTCTTTTCCGGAAAATGCAAATCAGCGTTACGGAAGCGAAAAATTGAACAAGAATGCATGAGTTGGCTACTTATGCAAAATGCATCTCTTCACATTTTCAAGAATAGAACGTATTACCACCGGAAAAAAAGCTACTAACCGGATTCAACTTGAAATTTTCATTCGCTTGCAGGCACATTTCTTTTGTGAAACCTTTCTTCAAGAGAGCAGGCTGGAAGGCCGGCAATTCGCGGCACATGGACGAGTCCACGTAATGCCTGAGCATCTGAAACTCATCACTTGGATCTTCTACTGTAATGTCTACGATGAGCGGCGAGCATTGGTAGTAACGGTATACGGAACGCAACAATTCGGTCCCTAATCCGAACCGTTGAAACGGCGGTAGAATAAGGAACTGAGAAATCCTAGGACGCCGTTTGTCGGGATACGCGTAATACTCGTAGATCGTTGAATACCCTGCAACAGCATATCGAGGGACTCCCGTTTCATCCTTATACTTTTCGTACCTAGAAAGCGGAATAACCAGTCTTTAGTATGAAAAATCGAAAGGAATGTCATCAAATTCTGAAGGGATTTGAACTAATGTATTTGTGTTCTACTGTACTGCATGAATGCGTAACGAGTAATTTTAAAAAGTTTCCAATTACCGCCATGCTTCCCTAGATTTTAGTAGAACCTAATCATAAAAAAGTACGAGCGAGAAATGTATGCGATTTTAACAAACTGGAACATAAACCCAAAATAAAGCTCACGTCAATGCCAATGAAATGTATTTTAAATTCGAATCTATCAGATTCGAAATTTCAACTCAGTGCGAGTGATTTTTTGAAACCAGTTGTGCTGCAGAATTTAAAACATCCACAACCCTGGGCATAATAAATTTCGCGGTTTTGAAAATCCAGCCGAACTTGATCCTTATCTCGAAGCTTTAACCCTGAAAATGAACCTTATTCATTGTCCAATTTCCTTGTCCGATTTCACGAGGCAAGACTTCAACGGAGTTCAGAATGGAATCTTTGTGGTTGGATTCTTTCATCACATGTATTATCAAGGAGTCCATGGGAAACAAAACTGAAATGAAGCTTACAGAAGAACTTTCCATTCAACAGTAATCGTAACACTGGCCCATGTCAAACATACATACTGTAAATATACCAAAAATAGAAGGCGTATTCACACAAAAAACTGAGCAAACATGACAAAACGGACAGAAAATTTCAATGCAGTAGAAGGAAATCATTCAAAATTTTGGACGATACTGTACTCTCTCTCTGTAGCATTTTTGCCCGGATAATGAATGAGGAAAACTAATGCGACACTATTCAGGAGTGAACGAAATGAACTCCAGGAATCTTCATAGAAATACAGCATTAAACTTACAGGATGAAAAACTGCCACTTGTCGTCGTCAGTATCGATATAACTCCCGCCGTCGATGAAGAGAAGCACAAACGTTTGCAACCTTTCGTGAAATTCTAGAAAACCAGGTGACGTGATCAAGTCACAACGGTAAATTTCGTAAGATCCATCGTTGTCTTCTCCTGAAAAAATAATTGAAACATGTGATGCGACACCATTCCTTTTTAAACAAGAAATATGATTTTTCCTCACTTGTGAAAGAGTGGACCTTAGATCCGAACGGTTTGAACTTGTGCTCCTCATCCAGCAGTTTCAAAAAATCGTCTGGATTCGTCATTATTCCTTCTTTCGGTAAGATCATTCGCAGAGGCTTCTCTAAATCGTCTTGCTGGTGGATAATAAATCAATACAGACCATTAGATACCCGAAGGAAAAAATGAGCCAGTCTACTAACCACGGAAGGCAGAGCTTTACCACTGCTGTCTTTGATAGGGTCGCTTGCTTTAATTTTCAGAAACATTCTCAAATTTGCAGCGGTGAAGAAAAGCTTGATGTCCACCGTTTTGAACCCGAAAATTTCCTCACTGTGTGACAATCAATTCATTTAGCTTCAAGCGATATAGAAAACAGCAAGATAGACTCACTCTGCTCCGTAGATTTGATGCGTCATCCCAGGATTGAATTCCTTCTCTTCGTCTTCAAAATCGGCAGCATTCCGAACTATAAAAAAACGAATAATATTTCAAGATAGTCTCGAAGAGTTTCATTTAAAAAATCGAATTTCATAGGCAACAAAGGGTGTCCATGAAATTACTGAGCAGAAAGAAATTTCTCTTCCGTCATTAAATTAATTATCCTTGATTGCTCATCGCAATAACGGAGCGTTCATGAGAGCAGAAATCTTCGGCAGTCGCAGTAAGATTTAAGCCAAGTCATCCCAAGTTCTATCCCCTCTTGGGTTTGTGATTTTAGAACGTTTCCTTCTATGAGAAATTCAAAAATTACGGGACTATCATTACCGGTTGCTAAGCATATCTCATTCGAAATTTGTAATAAACATAGAACACTGAGTTCCACTTTGAAGAGATTCTGGAGGACCCAGCGAAATAAATTACGGAATGGAGTTCCGTACCGAGATTCAGCATTTCCGGGTGCCGAGCGGAAATTCGTGAAATTTTAGACAAACTTTTTAGAGAATAACGCTGCTTCTTACCCAATTTCAAATGGACTACATCGTTGCTGCTGTGCGTGTACGCATCTACAGCGACATCTGTACTCCGTGATGGAAGACGCTCATCGCTAAAAGTAACCGATGGCATCTTTAAATAACGCGCACACTTTTTCGACCTAAAAGTACAAAAGCAAAACCATCAAAAATCGCCACAAGAACCTCTCGGAAAATCATCCGAATACGACGCTTAACACAATTTCATCTTCCAGAATAGCACACAAAGATAATGACGAGAACACTTGGATTTAGAGCGAGTATTTTATCACAGTGCAAACCGTTTCCCAGAATCTTTCGTATGACCGGCTTTCAGCTCGGAAGCCAACTGCCGCCTTCGCTTGATTTTATCTTCCTGGAACCATTTATAAATAAGATCACAGAAATCAATTATGAATGGGTATCACTTACTTGCGATAAAACTTTCCGTGGACTTGGCTTTGGAGGTGCGTTCCCTGACTTAATCGGACTTGATACGTCGTTTATTGCACTTTTTTCCGCAGGTTTTGTAAGCTGACTACCACCGGGATTCGAGAAATACTTCGAACACCTCTCATCCAAAGAAATACCATTTTGCGTGAAAAGCTTTACCAAAGGATCTTCAAAGGCATTTTCCAAACGAAAACCATCCACAAATGTTTTCTTGTCAAATGCCAACGTTTTGAGCTTCTCTATCGAGAAAAAAAGAAACTTCTTTTACTCATAAACGTGGGGGTTGGCTTTTTTCGCATACTGCAGGAAAATTAAAGGTTTTATTATTTTCATATGTTATAAATGCCTGATTTAGACTTGTTCCCATAATAAAATCTAAGATTCGATTCTCATGAAATGTGTTCGATTATCGAACGAAACTTAATACTTATAAGCGGAGGTTACAAAAGAAACAAACAAAAAAACGTTAAAAACTTTCCATAGGAAGAGAAAAACTGCAATCAAGACAAGTTCAGAAGACAGCTCATAAGTATCAACAATCGCCAAAGGAAGAAACTCACTCGACGATAATTTACCACCCGACGACTCCAATTCGTGAATCTGCACATCTTTTGCTTCTAGCAAACGGAATAATTCTTCACGCTGTTCCAAGAGATCCAACACAAGTCTCACTGGCGGCTCCATCACATACTTGAGAAACTGATGAAAACAAGTCACCAAAAAAATAATACCAATCCTGTACTGTAGAAAAAGGTTAAAATTAGAATAATGTACGGTACTTGATTTCCGCGGGCGACTGGCACCAGAAACTCCCATTTGAACTCCCGGTGCAAGTACTCGCAACCGAAGTTCAAACGTACTTCTCGGTCTCCAATTGCGCAAACCGAAAAATTATCCCCAGGAGACTGCTTCAAAGTGTCGTACAACCAATCAAGTATAACGTCTTCGCGAAACTCGCACTCGTTGAATCTCTACACGGAATGAGGCAATTAAAGTGCTGACATCATTCGGAAATCTAAAACAACTACTCACTGGGTTATCACGGATCAAATCCTTCCGGGAGTAATCAGTTGTGTATAAATTACTAAAATCCGAGACGGAAACGACCAAGCGCATGTCGTCACTTTCACAAGCACACGTAAACGCGACGATATACTCATTTCCTTTTATTCTTTTCCACTTCATGTTCCTGAAGCTAAACCCAACATGAAAGAAAATTAATGGGCCTATTAAATTAAATAGGTAATAGCATGATCACATCGGAGAATATAGGGCAACATTTCTAACAATAAATTTCCACTAAAAATAACAGCAAATGATGTGAAACATCAGTTCATTCCCAGCCATCGCGTCCTTTGAGCTTGACTAGTCGTTCTTCGTAGGAAACGGGCTCAAGGAACTTGATCTTTTGCAAGGTCTCGATCTCCTTGTCATTCGGCACAAAAAGCGTGGTTGCGTATTTATCTGCAATGATATCTTCTTCCTGCAACAAAAAAAAAAGAAGAGGTAGAATGCGACATTTTAATGATATGAGAGGATGCTGAATATGCTACTCACAGCAGATAAATAAGGACGCTTCAGATACTCGACGTTCTGAACTTCCATCGCAATTCTTTCCCGGAGATTCTGAATTTTGAAGAAGTTCAGAGGTTCTACATAACGAGAGGCGGGTTTCAAGTGGCGTTTGAAGCAGCGAGGACCCAAGCGACGGGCAGCTTTGCACAGCACTTCCGTCAAGTGCATCACTAATCACTTCAACTGCACACAAAAAATTAAAATCTCGTGCAGTTAGTATCTCTAAGTAGAACTGAATTTCAAATTCTGGAAAAAACTTCGATAACGCACTTTTTACGAACCTCATATTCGCCGTTAAACAAAAAGGCAGATTTCGTGAGTTATTAAGGCGTACCCGAAACCGCGAATAAACAAATGACCTCAAGATCTGTTTTCGATCACAATGGAGATGCATTCTTTCTCTGAAAAGCGAGAAAGGAGAATGAAAAAAAAAATTGCTGACGAATTCTCGCAGGTGGCATTGACGTCAGGTAGGGGAACATATGTGGGAATGATTTTGAAGGATTAAACGGCGAAAAAGGGCTCTTCATCAAGCAGCTGTTTGCGGCTCGATAGATGCAGAAGTCTCCATTTTCTTCTCGTTCTTCTCGCTCGTGCCCACCTTAAAAAAAATACAAAAAGAGATGACTTCAAGGAAAAAATTAGCACAAGGAATAAAAAATAAACTACAGCATAAATATCATAGAATTACAGTGCTATATAAGAGGTCATATTCAATAAGGGCTAAGAAACACTTCAGCTCCACGAACAAACAAAATTCTGCGCTTCAAATTCATGTCATTTAAACGTCGACGCCCTGCGTCACTTTTCAGAATTTCAAGACGCGTTAAAATCGTTGCGAGCAGATGATACACTTACATTCCATACTAAGAAAAAACTTGCATAAAACAACCTAAGTCACCATCATTTCAACCTAAAGAGACTTCAAGAAGCACTCATGTAAAATGTTTCTGACAATAGAATGAATACCATTCAAACCAAAATGTAGGAAAAATTCTTCCAATTAAATCATGAACTTACGTTATCTCCAGAGCTGTACAGCTCGAACATCTTCTGGTAGATCTTCTTATCACGGTTTTGAAGGTCTACAACGGACTTCTTGCACAGGGCTATTTGGCCCACAGCAGCCTTGTTCTCCGGGTTCAACTCGACGACTTTGTTGAAATCCTTTAAAGCTTTCTCCGGTTCGTGCATTTTCAGTAACGCTTGACCACGGCGAAAATACGCCTTTTCGTTGCTCGAATCAATATCCAATGCCTTTGAACAATGCTCGACAGATTCGCGCTCCTCGCCGAGTTTCAACGCCACTAGGCCGAGATTCAGCCTAACGGCGAGTAGCACCTCGTTGCGGGACTTCTTTTCTTCAGGCGTATCAGTTGAAGCTGGAAAAAATCCAGAAAATTATGATTTTATGTCCAGTAGTATAGTACTTTTAAATAGCGGGATTTTCCCGAAAAGAAAGAGACTAAGGGGAAGGAACTTCACAGATTACGAATTTGCGATACAAGAACTTATTATCCGAGGGGAATTACGCGGTTCACGACGCGGCGTATTCGGGACGAAACTTTCAGTTTCTGGATAACGCGGGTCGGAAACTTCCGAAATCTCTTCCGGTGCATCGCCGCCCCCCTGGAAATCCTCTTCCGCATCCTCATAAGAAGTTGTCGACGACCGATCGCGATCCAGGTCAAAAGAGTCAGACTCGGAAACGGCTGAACTCGGGAATGGGAAAATAATAACTCGGTACTCGGCGTATCGACTAGCGCAAACATATTTTTCTCTTCACGTTTTGATTCGAAGCACAAAGGGACCTTTTCTATTTTACCAACACGGGGGTTGTACCAAACTTGTAAGCAGTGTCACATTCATAGGTATCAGGTCATTATCACGCTTTCACATAAATACTCATGCCGAATCTAGATTTTGAGCGGCGATTTTCGAAAAAATTGAGAATAATTTAATCATAGACATGTCCAGTTTATGTTCCCATAACGTGAATTTCGACACATAAAATAGAAAACCGATTGCCAATAATCGTTGGCATTAACGAGATGAAGGATATGACATGACCGAAGAATCATGGAGAAAAGACTTGAAAATGTTGAATCATCCGTACTCACCGCCGTCGTCCAGAAAATCGATGGCTTTCTTATACTTCTGAAGCGCAACGTCCAACTTGCCTTTCTGGAAATAATTTGTTCCCAGAGTTTTGTACAACGAGCCTTGGTTTATTTTCTCTTCATTGGTCATCTCCCAGCGATCTTTGGCCTGAAATGATGTTAAACTTCGATGATGTAAGAGAAGCGCAACTGCTATACGGGAGTATCAATCGAGCATTCGTACTAGATCAAAAGTTTTACTTCATGCAGAAACACGGTACGGGCATCTATTGAACAAAGAAATGATTTTTATAGTTTATTCACAATGGAAGTAAAATACAGACGAGTTTCCCAGCAAATGCTGGAAGCTAAAAATATTAAAACGTCAACTGAAAAAGTTGCAGAGATGCAATCGAACGTACTGCTAGGCAGACTGTACCTCATCGTAATCGATTCAAAGAAAGAAAAAAAACTTATATCACACATGATACGGGAACTTACGATTCTCACAAAAACAGAAACAAGATGAAAATGTTGAGAAATCAAACGAACCTTTGTCAAATCAGTCAACGTGATTTCATAAACCAGGTGTGCATTGGGAGGCACCCCTAATTGGGGATTCCCCTCGGCTCCGAACCCGTACTGGGGAGATAATTTAAGAACGGATTTTTCACCCTTATGAAACTTGTACAATGCTTCTTCGACACCCCGCGGAAGCTCGTCGGCTTCACCAAGATCCAAGCGGAATTCCATATCCTTCTCGAAAAAAACCCGACCTTCGTGCTTACCAACAGCATGAACTGTTGGGAGAAGATAAAACCGACTTAGGAAAGCGAATCCACGCAACACTTCAAACTCCGTTACACGAAATTAAAAAAAAAAGTTAAGAATTGTTCCACTGATATTAGATTTCAGGTACACCAAACGGCTATTTTTTTCTCACTGTCCCAGCACAAGTTTTAGTTTTGGCTGCAGATGCATAAAATGGTCGCAAGGGTTCTGGCCTAAGGTTGCTATTACGGATATGATGATTTATCTTCCTGCTTCAATGAATTAATTTCAAGCAATCCCGAAATATCAAAGCGGATTCCCGTGCTTTTTCGCTAATAATCCAAGATTACCACTAAATGCGTATTTAATTTTTAAACGCGAAGCTACGATCACTGCGTGAATTTTCCATTCATTTACTGAAGACCATTGGTTGATCAAGACTGGCACAAGTTAAATAAGGTATGCTTTAACTCACTATTGACTACGGCGCCCTCGTTCGGAGTAACAAACCCGGACGATGCAACCATCGTTGATCTCAGAATGCCACCATCGCCATCTTTTGTCAGATCCTCTCCTTTCCATGAAATTAGTTCCACCTGAAGCATTTTGAAATTAATTTCATCCGTTCTGTTCAACATGTTATCCACAAGAACAGTCAGCTCACATCAAAAATAAGATCAGCATCCGGTGGGATTTGCGGAGGACTGCCTCGGGAACCATACGCGAATTCAGAATCGCATGTCAACCTAGCAACTTCACCCTTCTTCATTGAAGCAACACCGATGTCCCATGCTTTGATCACTTCACCTGCATAAGAAAATATTAAATAATTGCAAATAATATACGTGAAGATTTCTTCAAACTCGCGTTCGAAATAAGACCCATTCGAGAAAGCAGGAAAACGCCAATCTTTAAAATTTTCTGCGTTTATAATAGATGAACTCTGCAAGAGCACATTTTTCATTCGAAAGGTCAGGTTTAGTCACGGGAAATAAAAGTCGCTGAAGATACGCATAAACGTTCATACAAAAAAATGAATGAATAAATGTAATGAAAATATCAGTGTCACTACAGCAGTTACCACCAGAGACATCCCCCATGAACAGGCAACAAATAGGGAACTTCGACTGAAAAATCATGAAGGTGGACTCTCTCTACAACGATTTTCTCTGCATGAAGAATTATTTTCGATCCAATAGGCCAAGGGTTCTTCACCCAACTTGAGGGGTATGGGCAACGAAATAATCTTAATAACAATTTTTTCCTGTACCCCTTAATTTCTTTGTGGAGAGTACGCCAGTACAGTATCAGCACGGAACGGAACCTGTTAGAAAAAGCCAAGCATGGAAAAGTTTCGTTTAGTTTCACATACATACGGCTCTTGATGGTTAAAGCGGCCCATGTAAAGCAATGAATCGCGATTATTTTATCAACAGACAAAATATTTCAAGACTTCAGTCGCTGAAGGAGCATTTCAACCCAACGAGTTCCCTCTAGCGCGCTTACGCCAATCCGTCGACAGAAAAGTAGTCAAAACTTGATAAGCCGCCACCATTAGTTCGCGAGGTTCGTGGGGGTATACAGTAACCGGGTTGATGGTTTAAAGGGTGTTAAAGGAAATAAAATCCTTATTCCAGAAAAGAATCAAAATAACCCTGGGATGCGTAAATTATAACTTGGCGATATTCTCACGAAGTTAACTACGCACTTTTCTGTATTTTTAAAATTGAAAATCCCTCACGGAAACTAGAATCCTCTTCGCGGGCTATCGAAAATAAAATTAACTGGCAGGAGCATATTTGACCTTTTCATAGTGCTGGCGGATGGCGTCTTAACGAGGTTTTCAATGTTTTCACCAACGGAAATATTTGTTTTTCAAAATAAATTACCGAGGGTGGCGACGTAACGGTTTGACTGTAGTACTAGCGACCTGCACTCGCAAAAAAAAACAAAACATCAACACCGACCTTTCCCAAGCGTGAACTGAAACGGTGGTCCATGATGGTCCTTGCTTGAGTCGAACTTGGCCCCTGTGCTGCGCAAGCGCCCAGTATAGTGCACCGTGATGCGATCCCCTGTACCCGGCTGATCATCTCCTACACCAGCAGTGAGCACCTCTTTGATAATTCCGCCAGGGGTTTCCGCCACGAGCTCAACAGCATCAGATCCAGGTTGATACGGAACATCGAACGGAATGACATCCGGAGTTGATCTACCAACGATGTCGTTTTCCGAAATGTCGGCGAAATCCTCATCTTTTCCCAGCATGATTCACGAACTGCGACACAGGCTCACGAGCGATGAATTTGCGAAAATTCTCGATAACACGTTCACTGAAGACTTTCAAAAAGCTTTAAACACGAAGCGATTTAAACTTTTCACGGTTTTCAACGTAAAATCACGCGGACAATTACCTAGCATCAACAAAAGAGAACCCAACGATTAAAACACCTTCATATGAGTTGACGATAAAACGCGCAGAAAAAAAAAAAGGACGAACAGCCAGCACAAACATTCATTTATAAATGGAACCGTCGCCTACTGGTATCCATTTCTCCACGTCTGTGAATCCATTCATACTCTCCGTGTTTTGTATCAAAAGTACCTCTCTGCAGCCATCTCAACTTGAGCGTGAATCTCGGCCCGAGTTCACGAAGAGCAACTTTCTGTCCACTTTTGAATTCATACCTAGAGAACATGGATTTACGCATCTAGTACCGGATGAAGACTACTCAATTTTCAACTAACCTATGCTGTCGGAAAAATATGAAATCGCGCTGATTATGAAAGGTGACAACACGCCGGCCTTTGAACTCCGGATCGTAATGGAATAACGACGCCAACATTCTTGCAACTCGGTGTCCAAGTTTGGTGGAGAAATTATTCAATATGATTTCGGGTCTTTCGTTGCCAATCGACTCCCAATGATGCCTCAACATATTCGTTGTTTTCATTGAACTCATCTTGAAATGCGCAGTTGGACCGTTCGGAAGATGAATCAGCACAAAACCATCTGAAAAGCAAATGCATTCACACACTCGTCGGCATTGAAAAAATGTACACAAAAACATACCACACTTCTTATGACTTTCGTGGACAATCATGACGTCCGTGTATCCTCTCAACTTCGCTTTTTCTACGGTTCCTTTAATGGAAGTCTTCTTTCGGAAGAAGAACTCGGCGTTTGGGATCAGCCGAGACAAATCCTTCGCTATGCGCACACCAGGCTGGTAAAAATAATGGAAAAGGACGATTGAATTAAACCAAAAGATGCCTAGAACAAAATTTAAAGAGTTCCTCCATGTAAAAACTTCCTTCTATATATATATATATATATATACAGTACTGTATATATAAAATTATGCAGTATATATTTACCGTTGAACATCAATAACTCAAAATTTTCCAATGTCAATTTTTATTTCAAGCACCTGTCCGGACACAATGTATTAAATGCTTCTCGAACTCAAGAGTCTTTCCCCCTCAAACCTCCTCGACAATACTTTTCTGAAAGCATTATGGCTATTATTTTTGTGACACAAGAAAAAAAAATGCAATATACTGTAAATGTAACCTGATGCTCCTTGAACGGACGTGGACGAAGATTGGGGAAATTCCCAAATTCTTTACAAGGCAGTTTTGAGCCACAAATCCCACAATAGATCACTGATTTCATCATCCTAGAAGTTTTCTCGCTTTTTCAAGGAAAAAATTTTAGTTTTTCGAACAGAAACCTCATTAAAGACTGATTTTTCTTCTGGTCCCTTGGAATTCGACTTAGAAATGTTTAACCGTAAAGTATTTGTATGCGCCACTGCGACAAATAAACTGAATGAGACAATCTGATACATTCATCTGACCTTCCGGTCAACGTAAACCGTTATATAGTACTGTACATGAATAAAAAAGCACAATGAGACGGCTTCAACAGTTACAACCCTCGATTAAAATCCAGCACGATGAATTTCACTTACGGAAGAAGCTCCTTCCGAAGTGGTGACAAGAACTTTCGGTTCTGCTTCTTTCTGAAAATACGAAGCCATTTCGTCCGCTTCTTCGTCGAGCAACACTTCGGCATCTTCTTCCGCATCGCCCGTCAAAACAGTGTGGTCTGTTTCACGAGTAGATTCAATAGTGCGGGGCACTAGTTTCGGGGGAGCTTTCTTCCCTAAACGCTCCCGTTCTTCTCTTCGTTCTTTTTGTCTTTCTTTTTTGTCCTGATTGACACGAAAATGATTTAAAAAACGGTTTAAATTAAACGCATCCCAGAATTTGAATTTTCGATACTCACTTTTCGCTTCTCCAACTTTAGATTTGCCATAACTTTGCGACGTGAATGGATAGTTCTGAAAACGCGGGTTTTGGAAACCACGGCTCGCTGAGTGTCTGGAACCACGTCGGGCTGAGCGTCTTCCTCTTTGATCTCCACAACACATTCATCTTTAGAGAGGCTTTCTTCGTCGCACACATTTTTCTTCGATTTTCCGCTTTTACGAATACGCGGCGAAATTTCTTCTCCCATCACTATAAACGGACGGTTACAATCACCTGAAAATTAATTTTTTTGTGAACACAATTAAACGCTGACCGAACAACAACCAGTTAAAGTCACCCAATCTTAATCGACTTCAGGCATAAGTTTTTCACTCTATTTCCACTCATTAGATTTCTTATCCATTACTATCACTACATAGTTATGGAAATACTGTTAGTTGAACTTGAAACTCACATTTTGTGCATAAGGATTGCTCTGGATGATGAACACGGATAACCGACAATACAGTTTAACCTCTCCAAGACAAAATCATCCCTTATACTCCAGTGAATCCCGGGTAAATCACCTTAAAACACCCCAAGTCAAAACATTTCGGCTCTATCTCTCATGGTCGAATTTCCCATTGCCTTGAAGCTAATAAAATGTGGCAACATTTTAGAACACTTGATCCAAAACAGACGCAAATTATGCTTCACGGAAGGCATTAGGAAACGTCCTGCAGGTAGGAGACCACCAAATGATGCATCCTCAATAATTGGGCCATAGAATTTTTTTCATTGGTTGAACTACACAGATCATGCCATATTCCCAACCTCGAGGCCTCCATCAGCCACATTTTTCTGGAGTCCCTCCAACTTTTGCTTAGAGAGGTTCAACTTCCCATTTAAAAAGCACCAGGTACAAAAGTTAACATCGCTAAGCCCCGCAGTAAGAAACGTACAATACATGTTCAAACACAGAGCATTCCGAATGTTCAAGTTCGTTTCAATTGATTCCCAAAATGACGCCTTATAGTCCCAGATAAATCAAGAAAGATTTTCAAGAAGAACAAATCCATCCCATAAACGATTGGTCCTCGCGTGATTTTAGCTGGTTCCTTGCTGCCGGAGGGATTTTCAATGCAATAATACTGTACAGATAAAATAAGCACCAGGATTGTCTCAATTCACTTCTGACATGAATGCGTGAAGATGAAATATCACTGCACTTGCGAAGAATTCACAGGAGGATCACTGGTTACAGCTTCATTCAGCTGTTTTAGCATTTCCCCAATGCAAGCTTTCAAAATAGAAGCTATTACAGTCGATTGGCAAATACTTTCCGGTGGAACGTGAATGAAGCAAACTCGTTTACGGTCCACGCACAAGGAAGTGAAATAGATGAATTCGCATAAGTATCTGTAAAACACGACGCGGTTTCGGTCAGCATGTCGTTCGTTTATCGAATTCCACGTTACCTTCCAGCATTTTCTGAAGTTGCTACATGACAAGGCAATCCGAGTTTGTTGACATTTGACGCAACTAACGATAAGTCGAGCCCAGACAAGATGAACGCATCCTCATCCAGTTCTCGCTTGCACTTTCCATCAATGGGAACACACCCTTTGACATCTAATCCTTTGTAGCCGGCGCAATTCGCTTTCGTCTCTAACTGGACATCAGTCGCCTTTGAGCTAACTCCCACATGTACTACCAACTATACGATAATTCCAGATTAGGCTTGGTTCGAGTGCACACTCCATTGATCCGCCGTTTGACTCTTACGTGGGGTGATAATGCTCGCCACCGTTCGCAAGTTTCATTCGAAACATGATCGTACGCCACGGGAACTTCTTCGATCACCAATCTGATATTAAGTTCGGTTTCAATGCCGGTTTCGGGTAAGAGTCGAACAGCAGCCCAACTAGCATTTTCCGTCACGTCCCGAAAAGGCCCGAACCCAGTCACATAAACAACTCGACGGTCGGCATTGGACATCACGTAAGTAAATCTCAAACTGAGGAGATATTTTGATCTAAAACCGAAGGATAAATCAATGATAACGGCCAGGCAAACGCATTAGTGCCGTTGATGCGAAGTACGGATAAAAAGTCGTATGACGGCCATCTGCCGATCAAGGTATTTACGTATATGCGCCGCGCGCGAGTAGGGGCCACAAACATGATCGGAACGAAAAATGCGGACGAAAAATGCGGCCAACTCGACCGCGTATTGTCAAGATGTCACCAAAGGGTTCTCATTGAAGGTAGCTGGTTTCCACATTCAAAGTGGGTCACCTCTCGTGTACAAGTGCCAAGTGCTCTGATCTCCTTCAAGACTTCAGCACAATAATAACTGACTCAACTGTGAAATTTAAAAAAGGAAAAATCGGCGATGAATTCTCAAACGTGGTCCGAATTCAAATCCAGGTGGTCCAGACACGACGTTCTCACATAAAAACAGCACCCACATTTTAGCAACGGAAAAGCCGACCTTCCAATGCAACTCCTGAAAATCTGACCCCAAAATCAAACCAGATCTCCAAGCCATTCGAAAAGACGCAGATAACATTCATATGCACCAAAAAAACTATTTCACGGGACGTAAAAATGCTTAGTCAACATAGGCCAGAATGTCACACACTTGAAATTCCGACAGATTCACTTATCACTCGAGATCTTCTCTTCTGAGAAGAGCGGGAGATATGCCGACGATTAAAACGCCATCTGTAACCGGGTCGTGTACTAATGCCGCTTACGATGCCCACAGCAAGTACAGTACAGTATAATGCAGGTTACCAAGAATGCTTTATTCAACGCATCTCACAATGAAAGATTAATCTAAAAATGAATAAATTCCGGTATGTCGTAAAGGACATCATTTTTCCAAGTGGAATTTCAAGGCAATGAATGGGATACTCCAACCACTGGTGAAAAAGGCCAAAAAGTAAAGGGACAGCTTGTACTTGGCGCCAAGGTCAAAAGGGAGGTTCTGTAAGACAGATCAGATCAATGCAGTTGCACCAATTACAATACTGAAAATTAATGCTCACATCTCCCGGAATCCCACCATGACCATGGCGCAGAAGTCTTGCAGTAGCAAATCCGCGGCGTGGTCCAACGACAAACCCCCGAGAAATTCTCTGCAGCTGCGACGCGATCATCTTCTTCCAACAAGAAATAAAACGAATACAGATTTATTACAGAGTAAGTTTATTTCCTCCTCCATGAATTCTAAGAAACTTCACACAAAAATGATAACCCTTCACAATGATCAAGTTTGAAAGCAGTTATTCGGCCGATTTGTATTAGCACAGTTCTCCGGCTATTATTTTCTATACGCGAACGTCAATCGTATACTTCCAGGCCTGAATATTAACTAGCCTTTTTTTTTTTGAGTGTATCCCAATCATCTGCACAAATTCTCCCTCAGTCACGGTTCAATCCAACACTTAAAAGAGGCGCATCTCATTTCTTAGGGGTACCATAAGCGATTAAAAATCGTCCATAAATCATTTGTTTAAAAGGAACATTCAGATGCATGAATTTCGAGACAGAACTCAATTTTTCAGCCCTTAAAAAAAACGAAAAATTCCCAGCGAATGAAGGACACGCATTCTTATACCGCTCTTAGCAACACGAGCAAAATGAAATGCTGTCAAAAACGGCACACACTCTTCGGAATTTCTATTTAAGTTGAAATTAAGTTCGCAGAAAAAATAACGGATACAGTGTCGCCTTGGAAAAACGATTTCGGAGTCGCTGGATTTCTCGCATTCGCACTTCGAGTCGTTAATTCTTTTTACTTGAGTCAGACTACTTTGAACGTGTTCTCAGCTATGGAAAAATTTTCAGTGAGTCGAATGTAACATTGATTATTAGATCGGGAGAACATCTTAGAGATTAGGACCACCCCATTAACCTTGATTCTAAATGTGAGTCCACCAAAAATACTCGAGCGTCCGCGGGATTTATTTCTTTTTTCTTGTTCAGAGAGAAACGCATCAAAAGTTAATCCAACATAAGACGACGATATTCTCAACAGATTTTCGCTATCAAGAATTCCTCGGAGAAGTAAATCTGGCCTCGATTATGCATCCGGATCCCATCCCGACAATGGAAATCATGCAAATTATAAAAAAAAAAAAGAGAATGAAGATATCTTCGCTTCACGATGAACATTTCACGGGTCAAATTTCCGAATAAAAAAAGAAAAAAACAATATCACGTTGAACGAGACGTGACCTGCAATGCATAAGCATTCGAAAAAAAACGCACGATTTTCAACACCGAAGATTATTATGGGTTTTCCGACAACGCCTTCAAATGACTACAACGATACGGATGAACTCACAGAATTTTGTAATAAGAAATGGGATGTGACCGGAATTCGTTCAGCAAGACATTTTTCAAAACGCACAATTCCACTTCTTAAAAAAAAAAATTCGGCACTTCTCTGTTATAACCCCTTTTCAATTGTTGAACTCGTTAAACTCACTTGACTGCACTCATTAAATTCAATAAGTCAGACTGAATTCAACACCTGGCCTTCGCACTGACGATCGCCTTCAATTTAGCTCTGTTCAAGTTTAAATGATATCACATGATTTTCTGAAATCGTATGCGACCCATCTAAACGTTGGGGTGTCTCATCTTGTTACATGAATCGTGATCAAGCTGCTCAGTCCAACAATATGAAGATCGAAAGAAAATCCGAGGAAAAATGAAAGGAATTCAACGTGTTCTTTGAAGAAACTATTACATTTAACGTAGCCAGAGGAACAATAAAAATCGGCCAGGTGTTCGAATGAAAAGAACCGAAGCCTAACCAAACCCAGTTCGACAACCAACAATTCTAAACCTGACATGGCTTCAAGAGAATACGATTCAAGATGCGAGAGATAACAGAATCACGGACTCGGGGCCAGGGGGGATATAACAGAGAAGGACCGAAAAATGTCTCATGAATGAGGACGCATCGTCTCGCGTTGCTCGTTCAACGCAAACGAGCTCCACGAGATTTTATTTTTCAGCAACGCGAAAAATTTCCTGGGCACCAGTTTGGGTTCTACGGCATCGAACCGCCAACCCAGATGCTCGGTGCACGCGGGGCACTCTCCAATCCGCCACGCGTAACCCGGGAACCACGAAAACATTTCCTCTCTCTCCCCAACCAGTTGCATATTGACGAGAAGCTTGGAGAACGTCAACAGATCGTGGATGTAACCACCGGCATTGATGAATACTCCTTGCGGACCTTCGTCCGACATGGAGATGACATCACCTTGCTTCGCGATCTCCTTTCCACACACGTAGCAGCCCAGAGTGCGGAATTTGTCAATGGCAGTCAAGCTCAGCTCGTACCGCAGTCGTTGGGCCGCCGAGTTGAAGCGCAGCAACGCGATTCTGTCTGACTCTGGAATAGGTAAACTCCTCGCTACCCAATGACTCAATTCCACTGGACACATAGGCATGTTCTCCGAGGTCTGCAGGAACTTCTTTCGATTCTGCGCGACATAGGATGTGACGGGGATGGATTCCCGTACCCGCTTCGCGAGCCGTCGCTCGTCGTACATGTCGTGGACCCACATCGGAAATGGGGAGCAGGCGTAATCAAACTGACGAGGGATGCTGGTCGAAATTGGGGGGTGATACAACTCGGGTTTATCGTCGGAGTCGCAGGAATCGTCGTTCGTCGAAACATCTGAACTCGAGGTTTCCTCCACTTCATCTTCAACCCGGCTCACAGGTTTAGGAATAGGAGGAAGTCGTAACTTGTTCAGCGACGAAAATCTACAAAGAATTAAACTCTTCATTTCTAGTCAAAGTCTCATCTGATAATTCATTTAAGAAAAACGGAGACATAAGGGCAATGCGGAGCGAGAGATTCGTAATTTGAATTAAATATTCTTGACCATTTCCATGAAGAATTCTGAAAATCCCCCTCCTTCTGATCAGAATCCCCTTCTGGGTTTCATTCATAGTTGTAGTGTTCGAACATTTCATGCTCAATAAACTTGTACAATATACTGTATAATAATTGGCGTAATACAATTTTTCTTTTTCCAAATCACTCGACAGCGACTAAGTGTCACTGGCAGTCTCCTTTACTGTTACAATACTGTACTGCGATCAACACATCGCGATTCATCCACAATCGAAAAACACGGATACTGAACTTTTGAAATGCACATCAAACCCTTGACCACCAACTCAAGCAGAAAAAAGCTTCTTTGCTGAAGCTGCCCTCCATATTTTCTTTCAGCGTTGCATTTCGAAAATATTAACCAAACTAACTTCATCGAATGTAGCGAAGTCATAAAAAGCCTCGTCAAATATGGAATAATTAGTGTATTTACTCAAATACCACGCGCAATTTTTTAAAGTGAGAAAATAGAGGATTCGCGTTATAGGTGGGGATGGAATTTTCAAAAAATTTTGGAAGTTTAGGTGTGCATCACACTTGAATATCATGGGAAATTTTTCACACGACCTTTATTAAATGGAAACAATGGCAAACTAATTGAATTCAGGTTGAATTCATGTTTAACTTTTAATTCTGTTGTCTCTTGTTTTTTAAATATTGCAGTTCACAAAAACTGGAGGGTGCGTACACTTCGGTAGAGGATTTCATCAACACTTTAATGTGAAAAAATCAGGTTCGTGCCTTGCTTGTTAGCAAATGGAACTAGGTGAAATTGGATACGCTAACATCATCTAATGCGTGATAAGAGCTTTAAACCTCAGATATGCGTTGACAAATTGGGAAATTAAAGCAGGTGCCGCTCAGGCAAGAAAAAGGTCGATTAAACAATAATACAACACGCGCATTGAAATACGTCTGGGTACCTCGCATTCAACATGCAGTCCTGCAACCGGACTTCGGGCTGTATCAAGACCTTGGCATATCTAAGTCCATTGGGGCAAGTACGAATGCTCTTGATCAGAAATCGGCGCCGACCGCGTGCTTTGACACACACCGATGGCATACTGTCCTCATCCTTGACGGAGTATTCGTAGATTTGGGCCATTGTCCCCCATTCCGTTTCTTCATTGAAGCGAACACCGAATTCCTTCCGGTCCCGGATAAGTCCCATGAAAAGGGACACTCCAGCAGGATCGTACATGGAGAAGGGGAATACCTGAATGAAACAGAACAAAAATCGCTTGATCACCCATCCAAGCTGAGACACCCGAGTCGGCAATTATTTCTTATTCAAGCATGGAAATTGCAGAGAATATACAGAGGTAGAAAACTTCGTTAAATATTACAGCACTATTACGAGCATCAGTTATTTACACTTTACAGTACTTCAAAAGCACATCCTTCCACCTTGAATCACACACAGGTGTCTATTTAATTCAACACAAATTGACGCAACCAGCCTTCGGATGAGGTAACCCGCCGAACCTAAAATCAATCAACTGGACAAAATTAAGCCTACCACACCCAGCCAAAGCTAAATCCTAAAAATCAACAAAATCCATTTGACAGGAAAGAAAATCTATAAGCCAGGAATTTCGCCCATTTAAACATCATAACTCGAACACGAGGTTTATTGAAGCTTTTGAAAGAAAAAAACCAAGAATCGCGTCTTTAAAATAGCTATTCAAAATTTAATTCTTAAAGTAGATGTGCGTGGAAAGTGTGGACTGCACGCAGAAATTGGAACCCTCGCATTCGAAGACTCGAGAAAAGGGCCAGGCCAGAAACGCAACAATTGAATAAAAAAAACAACGATTTATTAGCACGAGAGAAAACTTCACCACACACCTGGCCGGGAACTAAGGCGAAGTTTCGCTCAGGAATCAAGGGGATTTCCACTTCCTCGAATTCATCAGGTTCGATTCCGTAGCCCTTCAGCTCCTCCAAATTCTCGCCCAAATACAAATGCTTCGCCGGCAAGCCTTTGTCGAAGGTTTCCAGCGGGGAACTTTCTTCTTCTTCCTCCTCCACTCCATCAGTCTCTTCTATCTCCATACTGACGTTAACCGGAGGCGATTCGAGATTTTCTGCATTCGAATTACGTCGCGGGATCAGCTGAGGCATTTTGAGTTCAACGACAGCGACTCGATTTTCCCTTTCTCCATCTTTCACAATTCTTTCCCTTGTGATTCACTTTTCATTCTGTGGAATTTAGAATGTGTTCCCATGTTAAATGAACGCAACATCCATTCGAAGGTTCATCAATTCCTATTGATACTTAATCCGAAGTTCCCAGGCGAATTTCAAAGTTGACTGAATTGCGCCATCCAATTTTGTTTTAGTGGACTTTTTTTTCAGCTATACCGAAGATGTATGGCTCAAGGACTTTCTACTAAGATTAAATATTCCAATTAAATCAGAAGCCATTGTGTACGAGCATTCCTACATCGAATCAGAAGGTGACTCATGTATCATTTGTTCGCTCATTAAATCATTCAAGATGAAGCACCTGAGTGGGGTAGGAAGATGACAAATACAGTAGTTTATTGGCTTACGCCATTTTTAAGACTTTTCCTTAATCGAATGTTTGGAATCTTGCGTTCTTAAATTTTTTCTGCTTCGAGCAATTCTCAAATCTTCTCAATGCGTTGAACAAAGCTATATATTAAATGGGTCCTTATTAATATTTAAAAGAAATAAGTTCGAGCAACCTTCTCTCAGCTCAAAATACTACCCACTCGTCTTCGGCGCTTCATCTCAGAAGAAGATGGGAAAAACCTCCAAAAAGGTGTTTTTTTTTAGATCTCATGTTAGATAATTATCATAAATGGAAAACTTTCACGGCCCATTCAAACCTTATCAATAACTCGTACACCGCTGCAAAAACACGCCTGGGAACCATTCAGAAGAGGTTTTCAAATGTATAACGGCACACCAGCACTGTACAAAGTAGAAAGTTCATTTTCAACGTGAAAACGTGCGTGAAAATGAATCACCGAAAAAGCAGCTTTGCAAAATAAAGAAATTCGATCAACACTGGGAGTTTTGCGAGCTCAAGACGGCAGCGGTTTCTTCCGATATGTTTTCGGCGAGCTGAGCGTTTGAAATGGAACTCGTTTCTTTTGCTGGCTGTTGGGAGCGGAAGGCAAAGCGCCGTCAGGTTTCGACGGCGAAACTTGCTCCACGGTTTCAGGGCTTTTCCCGGTCCCTTCAACCTCCATGATGTCTTGAGGCTCTTCTTCGACAACTGTTTTCTGCGGAATTTCAACAAAGGAATTCTCCTCTCCTTTTTGGGTAGATATGATGGAAATTTGCCGCGATCTGAAATATTTAAAAAATGCGACATAGTATGAAGATCTATCGACATCAATATGATATGGAGCCCAGGTTCTGCGAAGTTTACACTACCGCACAGCACAGCTTTCTGAAATGGACAGTTGTCGCCTGAACCCCCAACAAGAAGTAAAATTGACCTATACCAATGGAGCAAAAACCAGTTCGAAAAACAAAACCTTAAAATTGCTATCAATAACGACACGGTGTCACTCAAGCACAAAGAACCATAGTTATTTCAGACAGTTTTCCGGCAGTGAATGAAGATATCGTGTTTTCCGCCAAAGCATGAACTTAGGGGATCTAATATGTGCCAGCCTTTCTGGTTTTTCCCACCATGCTACATTATTAGGAAAAAAATGCTTGTGTGGGGGAGAAAAGATTTAAAATCTCCGACTGAACTCGATGTAGGCCAAATTTCATGAAGTAGATCCATGGAAGCAATTATGAAGTGACGAAAAAAGTCAGAAAAAAATGTATAATCTACTTCCACGGGAATTTCTCAGTTCAGATTCTGTACTTCAAAAAAATTGCAGGAGGCGCTTCCAAAAAAAATTCCGCTTCCATCATTTCCTGCGTCATGTGCTAATATATCAACGCTGCTAATGATCGAGCAAGGAGAGAATCAATCGTGAATCAGAAGAAATTTCAACTTTGTTAGCAAGAAATGGATCAAACGATCAGCAAAAACAATCACCCATGCTTTGCGCTCCTGGCCCGAATAACGAATGGCATTTTAGATTTCTGCTCTCCGCCTTGACTTTCATTCGCCGGAGCCTCGTGCACAGAAAGACTAACAAGACTCGGAACTTCTTCTTTTGCTTGCTCGTCAGATTTCTCTATTTTTCCTGGGGTCTTCTCAACCGAACTTTTCGGAATTTCGGATGGCGTCGTATCAAGAGTTTCTCCGGGAACGTACAATTCACCGAGTTCGTCAGGCTTAAAAGTGACAAAAGAGCAGAATCCATCCGTCGAAGATACCATCAGAAGTCTACCATCGGATGACCTTACAAAAAAAATCATAAGACGAATAAACTCACCAGTAAAAAAATGGAATCAACTTGGCAAAACTACTTGGTTGCAGAGGTTGACAAAAATGCACCGATGAAACAATGAAAATTAAAATACTAGCTGTTCGCAAGCGAATCTATAGAATAATCAGTACCACATTTCTCTAAATCGTAAAATGTACGTCGCGAATAAACGATATTTTCTATGAAAAATTGCTTCACGAACCATGCCAAGTCGGACAGTCGGGTGTAATGGATATTGGCGATTTTCCCGAAAGGCAACGACGACTGTGTATCGTACAAAATCAAAGCGTCTTCCGTGATGACTGCAAACACGATCCGATATGGCAACGCGAACAATGGCGGTGACTCGCCTCTCAGTTTGAAAAGAACAGGACAACAACGCACAGCCAACGCACTGGTCTTTCGGCCCATGGGATAAACCACGGCGGGGCTGAAACGAATAACTTTATCACCAAAGCATTCTATTACGATGACATGGGACACTTACGTAGTGAGATTAACGCGTGAGAATGCGTAAAAGGTGTTCAAGCAAGATGAGCCAAGTTCAAGGAAACCCGTCGGTGTGAAGAGAATTTCTCCATCTGGTGAGAAGTCCATGCGTCGTGAAAACGTTTTTAAGGTATCGTCGTGGAACAATCGCACGCTTTTAGGCACATTTCCGTCTTCTGAGTTGTCCAGCACGCATGTAAGCTTCTGAGGCAAAGCTTGAACTTGTACTTTGCCGATTCTATGTATCACTTTCTTCGTTGATGCGTTGTAGATTCTCAAGTCTCTATAAAAATCGGGAAATTTCCGATCTAGGCAAAGTCGTCGGCAGAATTACATCAGTCAACGAACCTATCGGTACTCAAAGTAGCTATCAGTTGAGCCTTCGGATCAAACGCCACACCTTGGACGAAGCCCTTGTGCTCACCAAGAATTCCAATTTGACAGCCTTTTCCGATGTCCCAGATGATCGCGGAATTATCAATGGATCCAGAAACGAGATAATTCGAGTCTTTCGACCAACACAGGTCTTGGATATCTTCAAGATGACCACGCAATGTCTTGTGTACAATCCATTTGTCGCGGTTCATTTCGCTTTCATCAAGATCTCCGACGTCTTTATGAAAATCATCATCTCTATCCGACATCTTCCAGATGAACAGCGTCGACTCTGAAAACATTAAGATATCGTTATATCGCCCCTTACTTCACACTATTTTTCTCCATACCATCATCACCAGAAGCAAGGAATACACCACACGGTGAGAAACGAACGATGTTCACGGCTCGATTGTGACGCTTCAGATCGGAAACACATTCAACCCTAACTGAGCCATCAGGAAGTTCTTCAACGAACCATACCTGCAGATAAGATGAAATTCTTGATTGTCCAAAACTGCTGTATACATACTTAACTAATTACTGTAACTGAAAAACTCACTTCGACATGCCCATCCGTACCACCGGTCGCAATTCGATACGTCCTACGATCCTCCTCTTTTGCATTCCCGCCACACTGAACATCAATACTCAACACAGGGTCACGATTGTGCCAAGAAATTTCCGGCACAATACACTTCATCTTCAAGAGTAAAAAATATCTGTGAATGACAATTTTTACTTACACAGTACCTGTACAGCATCAGAAACTTCCACATGCATCACGAAAACACTTCAGCACATTCACAATCGCGGTGCAACAGGGGATTGGGATTACGCGGAGTCCGCGCGTGATCCCAGAGTTACCAGCAGGGATGGGCTCGCGATCATTTAACCCAACGCATTAACAATAATACAAAATGTAATGATATGACTAAGTCGTAATTAAAGTCACTTCAAATAACGTCTTTCTCGCAAGCATAAACGTTGTAGGCTTGTTATTTTTGGTCTTTTATGAATTACTGTTAAAAAGCATTAATGTTTTTTTCTTCTATTTTCATGCGACATCTGGTGTACTGTACGTCCCCAAGCAGTTTGCCTTTTGCAAGCAGCAGAAAGTTAAAAAGTAGGGGGCACTCACAAGAATGTAAAATACTGTGAAGTACCTTTGAGGCCAACTCCAATTGCACCTTACCAGTACTGTACTCCAAAATACAGAGACCCCCACATGCAGACAATTCAACATAGGGACACAATTTCTCATAAAAATTCAACAGAAAGGCCAAACTTTGAGGACACTGACTCAATATGAGGACATTTTGTGATAAAATTGCAAATACATTTCTGGCCAAATTACAAGAAACAGATATTTATAACCCTAAAATTGACATAAGAAAAGTTCTTGGGCATTTCTCTCACCAATTTACCACCCATTTAGCTAATCTAAAAAAATTACCTCCCACATAGCGGGTCTTTCTTCTCTCTTTTTCACTTGAAGGTTATTTTTTTTACAGAGAATGCCAGCATTTTTATGTACTGTACAGAGGTATCAGAATTCAATTCCCCAAATGTCCACATTGTGTTCAGTAACATTGATTGAATCAGTTTCAATTAGAATAAATTTTTTATTTTCATGGATTTATGGTATTTTGAACACAAAACACCAATGAAAAATTATGTAACACAAGTCTTTGAGAGTAAATGAGACTTGACTTGGGGACACTCTTCATGCACCAATTTATGCCTGCATCTTTGGGTCTCTCTGTTGCTACCTTAATCCCAAGAAAGATGGATACCAGTTTCAGGGTTGGTCCACTGGATTCACAAAAATAGGGCACAAGTATTTCAGTACCCCATGAAATAGAAGGTGGTACACCAAGAGTAAAAATCTCCCAGAGAATATCCTGTGAAATGTATCTCCGCAACTAAGGCTTCCAAAAAAATGATCAATCAGCTGTTCCATGAGAATTGTTTTATAAGAAAGCGCCACAACATACAATGTGGGGGTTATTCCTGAGCACTTAGTTTGAAGATGCAGCAATAACTTTCACGATGATCAATTAAGCAACGATGAAGAATGAAGGCAACCGCAACCCGTTCCACCACGATAAATGCTTTTATTTTCCTTTCAATGAAATAAATCTCTTCAACCCCTCCCACTAGGAACAAGTGGAATGAATCTACTCTGAATTCCACACGCATTTTGTCTCCTTGCATTAGAAAAAATAAAATCAGAACTTCCTCCCCCGCTCCACAGAATCCACGCATCTAGGTTTTGCTCGGAATGTCCACACATTGATCCAATTTTAGCATAGATGACCAGAAAGAAGGTGCTTTCGTTCGCTAAAGTCGCAAAACATGATATCCACATTCCACGCAGAAATTAAGTGATTCCAGCCAACAAAGACAGGATTAAGAGCACAAAGCAATGCCTAACTCGCACACAAATCGATTCCTAATCAATACTTGACCAAACGAATTGCGCATTAAAAGTGAGCTTAACAGAATAAAACCCCTCCAAAAAGAAAAGAATCCCAAGGAAAAAAATTTCACAAGATCATGTCACACGACAACTGAGCACCAAAATCGTCAGACAACCCGCACCCTGGCACTGTACAATAAAATTAAATCTTCAGTACTGAAATCCAAAAAAACGTTCTCCCAGATTCAAGCGGATACAGTATAAACAAGGATTTTCTCATGACCCCAGCGCAATTACATTGAATCAAACGATGCCAAGATGAAGAATAATGGTCCGGGTAACAATAACTCGAGTGGCACCAATCTCCCAGACAATCTTCACGACTTTTGATGGTCAGAATCGAGCACTAGTATCACAGACATACAAGGAAAGCAAGATTATCTTCAAAATATAGATCTGAATGCGATTCGAAAGCTTCCGTCAGGGCGAAATCCAATAAGAGGGAAAATAAATGTCCAACCTTTCAACACCCACACATCGCTACTCCGAGTAATTGCGAATTGAAAAACAGCCTACGAGAGTTTACTTATTGCCACTAAATAACGAGAAAACGATTGAAATTACCGTGCTTCCCCAAAAAATAGCACAGTAAAACGAAAAGGGGGTACGAATTTCCAATCCACATCAAACTAACCCTTAAGAAACTTGCCATCAGCATTCATGTTATCAATCCAATGGTGTGCACAAAAGCATTTTACCGAATTTTAACCAGATTAATGAAAAACACAAGAACGTTAAAGAGTTGAAGTCGGGCTCAATTTCGGGAAAAGAATTTAGGTTCCACGCCTCTACGTCCACATGCTTAGTCCAGAAACCATTCTTCCGAATACACGATACTCAACTTTTTAATTTATTGAAAGCGTGATCCAAGTTTCTCGACTTTCACTGGAAAGTGGGAAATTAGCGGATATGAAGCTGAGCTACGACTCAAACGAAGATCACCATTCTGCAACATTGGAATTATACCAAGAAAAAATATAAAAAAACATGAACATAATTCCAAATATAAACCCTATGTTCCATTTGAAAATTGCTGATTGAATTATTTTTGAGGAAACACGATACAATCGAAATATTGTTCGAAGCGACCATAATTCAATGCGAGTCCAACAAAAAGGAATGTATCGACAAATTACCGGTCAGGCATTTCTTGAAAAAAAAAAAAGGAATAAAATGAACACTACACCAAAATGAAACTTGTAGCGACTGGGTCAAGCACAGATCAGCAGGACGATTCATTGGTGCGAAAATTTCTTTTCCGAACCAGGGAGAGCGGGTCGAAAACGAAAAACAAGACGATTAGAACAATAGGGGGAGGAAAAACGCAACGGGTCGGGATAAAACCAACTATCCAGTTCAAACTCCGACAAACCCGATACGCCAACTAGTCGTTCAAGTATTCTCGACCCCGCGATCTTCATCAATCCTTGCGCGCAGCTTGACCCTGAAACAACGGAGAGACGAATGCCACACATCAGTCACTAAAACCGGGGATCTCCATTTTACCCCAACACCAATTTGAAAAATACCGGCTGCCACCCAGAGTTCACACTATGAACTTCTAAAGACCGAAATTATGCTTCATGCAAATACAGTATGAATCAAGACATTCCAAACACGGCAAGAATCGCGATTAGTGGGAACTTTCGGATTATTTCCGTTGCGCCCCTCAAAAAAATTTCAACAGTAGGAAAACTTCGTCTCAATCTTCATCCTGATTAATCGTTAAGTAACTAATCTTTTAAAAACAAACGTATTAAAATTAAATTTAGAAGACACACTGCTAATGGAAGGGGTACAACAGAAAATAACCGAAAATTTGTCCACGGAACCAGAAACCATGCGACCGCAGCACCCAAAAAAAAAAACCCCACTCGGTGCAACCCTGAAGCAGAAAAAAAAAAGATGAAGTCTACGGACTGTCCCTCTGCTTGAAAAGCATGGCGTCGATCAAAGCGAGTCCCAATTTCTGTGAGTTGTGAGAGGAAAACATGGCAGATGTGAAATAGAAGCTTTCTGAAGAGAAGACCCATCCGGATTTGCAGAAAAACTTCGTCATTACCTAAACGTCCTAGAAACGTCAATTCTGTCCTTTATCCTTGCTGGACAACAAACCCAATAACTGCGGGGATGGAAACAAAAACAAGATTCGTCACAATTTTCGCAATTATCACGCACGAAAAATATCACTAGCGATGACTGCTTGAACAGATTTTCTTCAACAATCACCGGCGAATTCACGAACTAGTGGGAACTGTTGCTGCATGTGATCAAGTGATTCAAAACTTATTGAATGGTAACATGCTTTCAAAGAGCGCCTGAAGCGAATTCAATCAAAGCCTTCAACTTTCGTATTGAATGATCAATCTTACTTCCACAAAAATTCATCATTCAACAATAAAACTTAGGTTCACGAATACAATGAAAAACGGTCACTCTACGGTGCACTAACCGGTTCAATATTAGCCCGAGGAAGACGAAACAATGCTATAACTGCAAACAAAAATAAATCACAATAAAAAAGCATTTCAATATTCTGCAAGTACTGTTGATCAACTAAGTTCCCGAGGCACTCATTCTTTCGTCTGAAAAACGAACAGCTCTTGAACTAAAAACTGAACTGGATAAAATGTAATCAAAATTTTTCGATAGCAGAATAATGCGGTCTTTACAACCAGTTACTCCATCGAAGTCTTCCTCACTTCGAAGACATGAGATTCGAATCATATTCACGATTTTAAAACCAAAATCAGAAAATCAAATGCTGGAAGCACTCCAGTGGAGTACAGGCAGGGGGTAATACTGTACCATAGTGTACTACTATTTCCCCGACTAGGGTACAATTTCAAAAATATTACCGGTATACTATAACCTGAAGAATACTGTATTTACGACTTCTTCCGTTACTTCGGTAGAATCCGAGATTAACTAAATAATTTTCTCAGCAGCGGAATTTACACCGAACATACAGTACTTTCTCGGGGGAATACATCAAGTTTCGGCGTTCTGGTGGATAAAACTATCTTTCGAATGCAGTAGTCCATTTTTTTCAAAGCATAAATTGTATCAAATTATACCGCCGATTCGGAATCTAAAATGGCGACTAAACTCAAATGGACTACCACCACTCGCACATTCAGTGGATTGGAATGAACTCGCTTCGTCGCTATCACAGGATCACAGACAAAATTTGAAGTGAGCAACAAGACCATACGATGAAAACGGAACAACAAAAACCGACGTGAGGACTACATGAACAAAAAAAAAGGTGCGTCACAAGGGGTGCCCTTTAGTAGGAGGGCGCATGTTCCGCACCACGTCGCTAAGAATTTTAAAGCACAAGGGATGCTCGGTGCGCATCCGGTCGTCAACAACGACGACTGAACCGGGGCTTACCCGTCGCTTCTTTTTCTTTTTCTCCCCGTCGGGAGTGGTCACGTCTTCGCCCAGCGACACTTCGCTGTTCAGCGACTTAGCAGAAGGGGATGGCGATGCTTGGCCTACGGGGGAGGGAGCGGTGGGGACCTGCTTTAACGGAGTCTCCGACTGGTTCAGCTGCAAAAACCGAAATCAATGCCCCCTTTGCGTCACTAACCCGACCAACACCTTCACAACCAAGGTACATTAAGGACGAAACATACGCTTCATGAAGCACTGCAAGACTCAATCGCAAAATCAACAGCTTACGATTTCCCCTAAAAACCTCCAGGCATTGGTAATCAAATCCCGCGCACTTCACACAGGAACTATTTAGAGGCGAGCAAACAAATGAAAATCGTCTTCGAGTTTTCCGAATCCCCAATAAATTCATCACTTTAACAAATCTTGGTTCCAAATAAATTAGGACGATTACATTTAAAAATAAAATCGAGCTGAACAAACTCAACGGCATTTTCACGGTGAATGCACCAAAAAATACTGCAGATAAAAAAACTCGGAGCAAATTTTACTGTGTTGCAGCATATAAGTACTGTACTTCACAACGGGTCTCACGACGGATTCGTCAAAAATTAGAATTGCGGGGAAACTTAAGGACCACCAAACTCAAAAGCGTGCTACACTCAACCACCAAAGGTTAAGTAGCCGCTGATTATTAAAGCAAAACTTAAGGACATTCTCATTCCATACGTTTCATCAAGATATCAGCCCGCACGCTGAAATGAATTGTGCTTCAACAGGATCAAAAGCTTTACCACAACCTACACCAACATGAGCTATCCTGCTTACATATATGATTTCACTACACCATCACAGAGATATGCAGTATGCTAATTTGCGTGAGAACATGTCTGAAGTGGGGCAGGGGCCAGACGATTTTCTCGAGAAAAGAAGAAAAACCCGCTTCCATCGAACAACAGAAGTCGAAGATAGGAGTCAGAATGTGTGTGTGTATGCGAAGACCTCACGAACACTGAGGAAAACGAGAAAAAAACAAAAACAAAACAAAAATAAATGCACACCCCTACTTAGGCGGCGTGAGAAAATAAAAGTTCAAACCTTAGAAAAAGTTTCACTTCCTGATCAAAGAACTGGTTTGAACAAGGACCCTCAACTGCGAAATGAACCAGACGGAAAAGAATAATTTGACAGACGGGAGATGAAACGAACCGTCAGGGTTAGTAATAGAAAGAAAAAAGTCACGAACAACAGCATTGTTACACGATGGCACAATAATCAGTTTGAAGGTCATTTTTAGACAGCCAAAATTCTAATGAACTTACTTGACCATCACCCGCGTGGTCCCCGAAGCCGTTCGGTTGAGCCTTCTGTCCCTGAATTAAATGAAACGCACTGGGTCAGAAAGAAAATGTCTGCGAAAATTTGAACAGAGTTTTCACTAAAATTTATTTTCAATCTGAAACGCTCCGACTTCGATGAACGGCATCATTCATAAAAAAATAAAAACTTGGCCTGAATTCCATTGCTCGTTGTTAAGCATAGAATATGGCTTTTATTCGCTGGATCAGCCTTGCATCAGTTCAGCTTCTTTGTATTTGTTTGCGAATCAGGCAAAACTAATTTCAAATGCACGAGTATGCGTTTGCACGTAGACTAAAAACTAGACTGATGTGTAGAGTCATGTAGAAAGATAATCGGTGTTCAGTCACTCACTTGATAATCCTTCAGCTGCTCCTTAAGCTCTTCGGCGATTCGTTGATGCTGTTGGCCAGTCTCGCGTTCAGACTGCAGATTCTTTTCCATATTATGGAATTCTTCTGCTTTGGCGGCAAGATCTGTATTCAACTTTTCCACAAGCTGAAAAAATAAGGTTTGAACGTCATTTGGGCTTCCAACTTTTTCCCAAATAATGTCATGAACCGCCTACTGTGTTTTCCGGAAAAGAAAAATCTCAGATTTCCCACGATCCTCAAGATTCTATTACACAAGAAACTAAATGCTTCAAGTTTGCATCTAGACTAATCCGGGAATGTTGGGCCTACAATTTTAAACAAATTTGAAATTTTACTTCCCATGAAACAAGCCATGTTTCGGTCTTGTAGCTGTTCTCAAAATGTTAACACCGATTTGGTTTACGACACATGCCATGAATGAATACTGCATTTCGAGAGATCACGGTAGGTAGGCAAAAACCAAACCAACTTTACGCAAAAATTAACCCTCACTTTACTAACCTCGGATTTGGTTTTCAAATCGACCTGAAGTCCGGCAACCTGCTCCTTCAAAGAACTTAGTTCACGACTCAACGTTTCAATTTCAGCATTCGCCTTTTCGGCAGATTCAACATCCGTCAAACGCGCATTCGCTGCATCGAGTTCCTTCTGAACATCAGCCATGTTCTGGAAAGTTTCCTCGTACTTAGCTTGGAAACTCGAACGCTGCTCTTCCTCCATCTGAAGTTTGCTTTGCAGATCCCTGAGCTTTTCCTGGAGCTGTAGTAGAAGCAAGCAAACTCAAATGAATGCGAGCAAGCGGAACAGATCTGATTGAAACTAATTCCTAAACATACAAGAACATCAAAGAACTATTTCCTTAAAGAAAGAAATCTTCAGAATTCTAAAAAGAGGCGCATCGAACGAATAAATGCTTGAAACCTCGGATCGAAAATTTAAGACGGTTCCGACATCCTGAGAATACTCCATATATGCAGGAAAACATCAAAATGAACCAGAAAACTAATTCAAGAAAAAGCTCCGGAAGAAGAACTGCCCTCCGAAAGAATCTCGACATCAAGAATTACAATTAAAATTTTTCCCATCATACTACAGTAATACCAACAATACTTCTGCTTTTACAGATCAGAGATTTTTACAACCCCAATAGTGAAACAGTACAGCCTTAATTGAACGATTTCGATTGAATTTTCAAGTCACACAAGTTTTGTTACACAGAGATTCAACATTCATAAAATCTTGAAATGAAAATAATAATTCAATCAGACTACCGAACGATCGCGGGAACAGAATACCAAGCAATGAGAACCAAGGACACATACCGACATGCTGGTGTCAACCTTCCTACACGACCGTTAAGATCAAGCATTTTACCTCCCCCAAAATCGATGGCACAGTTCGCATGAGCGATTCCAACATCTGCATATCACGTACCTCGTTCGCCACCTAGCGTAAATCAAGAGATCCAAGCAAATTTTTTTCAAAAACTCGTGCTAGGTGCGTGCGGATTATGAGATAGAAAAAAAACTACCAATACACTCTCGAGAAAAATGAAGCAACAGCATGGAATTTGTGAATATGGATAAGTATGGTGCTACACAATCTCCAGTGATTCTCTCCAAAATTGAAAGCATGAGTAAATTGGCACACTCACATCCTCCGCAGATTTGAGTCCGCTCAGGGCAGCATTCAGTTTCACGTTTTCGTCCTCTACCTGGAGCATTTTCTCGTCTTTCGCCTCGATCTCTTTCCTCCAAGCAGCTTCTTTTTGTTCAGCATCTCTCTCAATTTCCACCACTGCTTTCTCCTGAGGATGGTTACCGAAAACGCGACGATTTGGTCAAATGCCACCTTCTAATTTCCATTTCACGAATTATTATGTGTTTAGTCGGAAATACTACAAAAAAAAAAATTACGCCGAAAATGAACTCGCCATAAATACAAATAATACCAAAGAAAGATCTACACTACGCGCTATTTCGAATTAATTTTAAATGCCGAAGGGCGAAAAACAATGTATTTCAACATGAAATGATGGAAACTCAGCAGCCCTATTAATTTACTCTACTGTACTCCTGGACAGAACAAGAAAAATTAAAGAAGGCGAAGAGGTACTTTCTGTATATGATAATGGACCAAAAATTCCGAAACTAGGAAATCTTAAGACAGCAGGTTCAAGACTGGAGGCGACGATGAGTTGAACTAATGTACTCATACTTTAGCTCGACGGATTCTACATTCCATAGTATTTTACGAATAGCAACTAAGCACCTAGAAATTCGGGCGAACTTTCAGTTAATTTAAATCCTGTGCTTTCATCAGTCTTGCACATTCGAATATTCAAATGCTATCCAAAATGCTGGCCTCGACGAACATAAGAATCGGTAAGATTAAAAAAAATAAAAATTCACCGAGAACAAAGCAGTACTCGAAATTTCATGGGCACAACGGGATCACAGAATACATTTTCTGAAATGCTTCAACGGGCCATCAAATTCATGAACATGCCGGAAAACTTGAATTTCAACAGAATTCGCAAGTTTTTATCCGTCTTATAACAATTTCAACCAGGGCGTGAACTGAAAACCATGGTCAGGAAAACTTAATGAAAAAAATAGAAACACAGTACAGTACTTCCATCTCCTTTCTTCAGCAGTAGAGGGGCACAACTTCCAAGAACCACTGGTAAACCCTACTACTGAATCTAGTTCTGCTCTTAGCAAAACTAAATAAATAAATATATATATATTATAATATACTGTAGGTATATATACCGCTATATATACTGTAGGATGAACCATCACAGTATATATATATATATATATATATATATATATATATATATATGTATTTAAACAGTACTGCCAAACCTATGATGGTTGCGAGTCCAGAAACAGTACGAGGGAACTCTTACAGTGACAAGAGTACGAATGCGAATTATCTCACATATTCAGCGAGGATCTGGTTCATCTTCTCCAAATCTTTGGTTTTCGCCTCGGCCTCGTGCAATTTCGCTTCCAGTTCGGAAATGCGAGAAAGCTCAGACTCCGCTTCTTGAACACGGGCTTGCGCAGAAAGGAGCTCCTTGACCCGGACTTCAGAGTCACTCAACTCTTTCCGCAAAGCAGATATATCGCCTGCCTCGTGCGCAGACCGTTTCAGGTCATTTTCTAACTCTTCAATTTTCCCCAACTTAGCCTCGATTTCAATCTTCAAGTTGTCTCGCTGACCTAGAGACTCCTTCAAATCTTGCTCTAGTCGAGCGATTCTCTCGTTCGCTCTAGAAAGATCTTCAGCATTCACGGAAATCTCGGCACGCTTTTCAGCAACCTCTAATTTGGTCTTCAAATCGATCTTTTCTCGATTCACTCCTTCTAAATCTTGCTTGACGACATTGAGCTCATTCTTCACCTTCACCAGTTCATCAGCCCGATTTTGAATCACTTTAAGGAGCTTTCCGCAGTCCTGAAAACAGGTGGATTGATCTTGAACAATTGGAACTCGAACCAAAAAAGGATTTTTGTACAGTATTTTCATCAATGCTTGTCACTAACGCCTTGATTTCATTTACGTCAAAATACTGTACATGATACAGAGTTTTACTGAAATTTTCGAAGTCAAAGTCAGATCCGAGGATGAACGGCTGCAATAATTTCATCCAGCCGGCGCGTCAAATGACATTCTTCAACAAAGTTTCAATGAGCTTTCTCGCAGATCAACAAGAGTGAAATAACTCACTTCCTCCTCCTTGGGCAGATCGGGGAAAATATGGCGCAGCTTCTCAGTGGTCACAGAGGCCTACGCAAAATCGAACAGAAACTCTTCTCAAACAGACTAATGAATCGCCAATTAAAAGATGAGAGATTATCAACACAAGAGTCGTGGAAGCGCTAAGGAAAAATGATATCGTGCCACGAAAATCATTCACAAAAGATACAGAATCCTCCTTGTCCCGAAATCAGGGAGGCATTGAGAGCAGGCAGAGAACTCACAGTTACCGGGAGTTGTTGGTGGTTTACAGTATTGCTAGTGGCGAGTGACTCAACGCTCCGGAGGTATTCCATGATTTTCCAACTCCGTTTTCGCAGCGCCTGACACGGAATGCGCCCATGTCCGAGTGATAGGAACGGGGCATAAGGGCGATAAATAGTATTGATCGTTCCCATCAAATACCCGAACGCATTTCGCGAAGGAGATGTGATCAAGGAAAACATTTTCTCGTTTTGAGTGTGATTTCAAAAAATTTACATCCTTTCTCGACGAAACGATCGTAAAGTTAGAGATGAGGAATTTGTTTGCGAAAAAGGCTTCTCATTTAAAAGCGTCTAGCTTATTTCGTTCGGGACATTGCACGGAAACGATCATAGGGCGAAACATACTGAAAAAAAAAAAACTCACATCTGCTTTAGCTTCCGCTTGTTGCAACTTGGTTCTGAGTTCATCAGCAGTACGCTCTGAAGACTGAGACTCTTGCAGCCGAGACGTCCGTTCATCCTCCAAAGCCTTTTCCAGTTCTTTGATTCTGCAAACGCGAACCATTTCTTTTAATGATAGAACAGAATGTCGATCGGAAATAAGATAGAGAAACAGTTCAAGTTTCTCTATTCTCTCTACCTAGTTGAAGCAACCTAACCGAATGGAATATAAACCGCCACCCTTGGCAACCGAAAATTTATTTCGAAAAATATCTTCCCCCAATGATATTTGCATTCGAAACACCGTTAAAACTCCATTCGCTAAAATTATCGACAACTCAAAAATATGCTCCTGTCAATTATCTTTGTTTTCGATAATCCGCAAACAAGCTTCAAGTTTCCGTGAGACTTACTTCTTGCGAACATTATTCAGGTATAATTTACGCAGCTCAGTTATTTCGATTGTTTTTTAAAATACCGGTACTTGATTTTTATAGTATATTTAGCTTTTCTGGTAAACAACCAACACCGTCAGAACGCCCACAAACAAATGGTGGCGGCTCATCGAGGTTTGACCGTATAACAAACAAACGTAGAACACACGAATGGGCGCTGAAGCGAAAAGAACCAATTCAAGTAAGAGAATTGATATAGGTCAGTCAGTTGATCCCATCAACATCTTGACCCCCACCAAGTGAACTATAGAAATGTATTTACCTCTCAGCAGAAGAGCTCGACTGGTCAGTCGTGTCTTCATTTTTCACGGCTTCCGAAGCCTTGGCTTCGTTTTGTGCCACAATGAGACGAGCGTTTACTTCACCCAACTCGTGTTCAAGACGCGAAACTTCCAGAGTTTTCGATTCCTCCACAGCCCGAAGCGATTGCTTCAACGTTTCGCATTCTTCTCGAGCACTACGGAGATTGGCCTCCACTTCCGCTTTGTCCGCGAGAACCTTCGCGGAATTATCACCTGATTTTTGGGACTCGCTAAGTTTCTCTTCAACCTTCTGAAGGGCAGCTTGAGCTGCATCCCTCTCTTGTTGCACCCGACTAATCTCATGATGATGATTTTCTAGGGCAGCATCCATCTTCGATTTGCCATCGCGTGACACGCAGGCCAATTCGTCGTTCAACTTCAGTATTTCTTGTTTGACTTTCGTCAGCTCATCGACGGCAACCTACGTCACAAATACGAGTCCATCAGTACTTGAATTGAAAAAATAAACTTGCTTACTGCTTGAAAAAATTACATTCAAGTTCAATTCACGAGGCTGAAGTACGAGTGAAACAAAGTTATAAGGGTATTATATTGTATTTCGAGCATTTCAAGTGGTATAATAATTTTTTTTCTCCATCATATGAGCTGTCTTCCACTTCCAATCAGGTAATTCAAGTACCAAAATTTCTAATAATTTTTTCCAATACTGTACTACATAGGGAGTGTTCGCAAAGCAGAATATGCGTGTAGCTTCTTGAAACATTCAAAAGCACTCGGGGATTGCAGAAAATGATTGATCGATCAGGGAATAATCTGACTATGGGGCAAGAAAGTATATACTGTACAGTGGAATCTCTTTACAACGAAATTACGATTACAAATTTGTTTTTTCGTACCCTATCCAATATCCACTAATATATTTTAATTTCGTTTCAACACATTCTTGTTTATAAGGGAGTTTTTCATAAGGTCTCACGCAGTCCATCGAAAAGATATACAGTACTGTCATTCAACGAAAAGTGAAACTTTCTCTAGTAGTCTTCATGGTATTCACAGAGCGTGAAAATTCAAACTTCGAGGCTGACACATGAATCATTGTTTGATGGGTTCATTTACATATTGTACATCTATTGAGATAAAAGCTTTATGAATAAAACAGTACTGTACTAACTACTTTCGTGCGGAAACCCGACAACTCTCGCATTTTATCGATGACTGATGTTCCGGCTTTTAATACTGGCATTATGAATCCTTACAAAAGAAATCCAAAGCCATCTTAAACTCACCCGATGGGCTTCACCAACTCGGTGGAACTCTGAGGACACTTCCTCCAGATTTTCTTTGTGCTGTTGAGTTAAAGCTATCTGCGCTTCGTAATTTCGCTGCAGATCTCGAAGTTGACCGCGGAGTTCATTCAGCGCAATGGTCGCATCCTGTAAATAACGAATGCACGAAGTCGACAAAAAGCATCAGAATTTCGCATTCGCAGCTTTTTTTTCTCTTGGGCTTAAGAGCAGTCATTGTGGCTCAAATTTATGGACAGAACGCCGGATGTCAAAATGCATGTGCGTACCTGCTGAATCCTAGATTCGTAATTCGATGCTTCAGCAGCAATCCTATCGCGTTCCTTTTGGTTTTCCTTCATGAGAGCAGTTCTGTCCTGCTGCAACTTTTGAGTCTGCTCTCGAAGAACTTTCTCGGCCGTTGAGACCTTACTTTGAGCCGCAATAAGCTCATTTCGAAGCTTACGAACCGTTTCCGTCGCATCTTTGCTCAATTTCTCAGCATTAGTTAAAGCTACTTCTTTATCTTCAAGCTGCTTCTTCAACGCCGGAATGGAATCGGTTCGTCCATGCTAGAGGAAAAAAATTACACAGAAACCTTTGAAAAAAGTTCGAGCTATTTTCAGCGTACTTCAGAACTCAATTTAAATCCAAATTTCTTGAACAAATCGTTAACTGATTTCGATGAAAACTGAATCGTTTCAAACTGTTTCGGTTCGATCAGGCACGACATCTGTGTTAATTTTGGGACTAGGATATGCGGGATGAGCAGCAGCAGCAGAATTTTCCGACACCTACAGTCATAATGCTAGATTAACTAGAACTACTTGCGACTTCTTACTTTTGATTACCGATCGTAATCGAAAATGGGATGAGGTTTTTCTGTGAAGAAATAGAACTTCCAAGTGACTCGCCTCCAGAAAAATGACTCAATCCCTTAAACGTTCTTCACAGGCTTAAAAAATCACCTGTATCCATTCAGCGTCCGGTGTAGCATTTTGCTGCTTGTTCAGCAAAATCTCGATGAGCTGTTGGATACTATCATCACTAAGTGGGGCTTTTCGAAGCACAGCCGCATAGTTCACGACACCTTCACTCGGACCTGAAAGCTTCTTCAACTTCGCTTTCTTCTTGATGAGTGCCGCGGCAGATTGCGGAGAGCTAGGATCGGGAGGAGTAGGTGAGGAGGAGTCGACCGGAGTAGAAGCCGGAGTTGGGTCCAACGAAGTTTGAGCTTCACTTTCCTTGACCTCAGGAACGACGGTAGCCTCGATTTTCGGGGCGACGCGCTTCTTGCGCGCGTGGGGTTCTCCGATGTCCAGCTTCGACGGAGGAGCGGACTTCAGAGGCGCCGCCGAAGTTACGGCAGAAACAGCAATGATCGGCTGCTCCAGAACCTCGACTTCCGGTTCCGGGGCGACTTCCAAACGTTGGCTGACGGCTTTCACGACCTTTTTGGATGCAACAGGAGACTAAAATGCGGTCAATATTTGCTCGATAATAACCTATGAATGATCAAGTACTTACTTGTTCCGGCGAAGACGGGATGGCTTCACTCTGAGAATTTGGCAACGAGTGTTCCGAATCCTGCGAAGAAATGTTCCATCAACACCAGAACCATGAAAACTAGCATGAACTAACCATATCCTTTTCAACGACAGCTTCAGTGGAATCTTTCGGGGCTTTCTTCTTCTTCTTCCCTAGTTTCTTTTCTTTCAATTTGTCAGTCCTAGACTTGTCGTCCTCCTCCAATCTACGCCGTTTCTCAGCCATGATATCGTCGTAAGAATCTTGCGGGATCAATCGCACAGAAACGAAGTAAACGAATCCGGCTATGACGACCACAGCCGAAATAGCCAATAAAACGATTTCCATCGTGGCAATGTCAGACGAAGCCGCGGCGGATGAAAAACTGCCGACGTTTCCAACGCTGCCGTGGTCCACTACAAAACCACTCGCGCGCACTGTTCGGAAACTCAAGCAGGGAGGTCGACTACGGAAGGATAATCACGGAAGAACAAGAATAATGCTTTTCACATGCACTGAATGAATGAATGAATTAGTGCTGGAGCTTGAAAGTTCATTCGTAATGGACGGGCGTCACTTTCAGGGTTATTTCCTTTCAACAACCTCCGAGCAAATAAAGAAAAAATGTCTACTGCAGACATCGACCTTGACTGATGCCGTCCGCCGGTAAAATCCGATAAGCGAAGCCACCCACATAGACGCCGTAGCAGATATCGGCGAAGCCTACGTAAGTCACGAATCACGATAGATGCCATGTTGAAGTGTTGGCGAATAGAGCTCATACAGAGGGGAAGAACACGTCCAAATCAAGCTCCAATGGCATTCCACCCATGAACTGATGGTTTCATACAATAACATACTCAAATATGTCAACCCCCTCAGACCAACAACCAACTGTTCCAGCCAAAATCTGTTTGAAAAAATTTGATTTTCCCATGAACTTCACTGAAAATAAATAATCCCGTCTTTTGCTCGCGAAAGATGATAAAAATTAAGCAAAAAAATTATGATCAAATATACTTGGGATGAGTTCCGGATTCAAAATTGTGCGTATTTGTTCAGAATAAGTTCGCATCAGAATTGTATACATTTATTAATGAAAAACAAAGCAAATGTTATTCACACGCATAGTGAAACACATGCAAATGATGAGAGAAAAGTGTCACCCAAAAACGATGGTTTCTTCCTTATAGTATTACTGTATATTGCTGCAACAGCAGCACAATAAACTCGGCAGTTCAACATTTGAAAAATACAGAATGTACCTTCCAAAAAGTGCCTTTCTCAGAACACAGCAGCACCTTAATTGTTCAATTTCACATGTTGAATTGATTGCCTTCTATATAAACTTCTATCGGTAAAGCAGCACATTGGATGGTTATTGTTGGTAATACATTTTTCACTATTTCAAGGCTCATCATCATTCACATTCATGACATTCTTTTTTTTAAAGCCTGGGTTGATGCACACAATATTTAGACACCACATGCTTTTGTGTGAATGTTGTGGACAATTTCAAGAACAGAAACTTTATTTTTTGGTTGCTGTGACAATAATAAACTTTTTCAGCAGGCTTGCACAACAAATATACATATATACTGTATATGTATTGCATTTGTCTATTTACAGCAGTACCTGTATGTACATATACACGAAGTGCGTGTAAAAATATAATGAAATTGGCACAAGCAGCTCCTATATAACAAAGGATACACAATGTTTGGTCACAGCGGTTTACACCAAACAACACAAAAAGAATTTTTTCAAAGAAAGGATATTACCCATCATGCTGAAATCAAAAATACCGTAATATATATTCAAGTATGATAAGAAAGTCAAACAAGTAATAAAGCAATAATACGGTAATAACAGGCGGCATTTGCATGTGAATCCGTGCATAAACGCGCATGAATTGTTTGCGTCATATATATATAAACCTTACATTTAAATACAGTATTTTAACCAAAAAATGGATTTGTACAGTGCAGGACTTTTTACCAGAAAACATAAGTTTTCAACTGAATTTCAGGTTTTACACTACCAGTTTACCACGAACTTATGCTTGAAAAAATCTACCAATTTTTTTTACTGATACACATCAATTAAAAATATATGTTGAAAATTGTAACAGAGAATGCAAATATGGCTGAATTTATGCACAATAAATCACCCTAAATTGTTTATTTTACGGCTTCATTTGTTTGAAATGAGGATTTATTTATACATCCCTATACTGCAGCACAAATAATGTTAAACAACAACCAATTAACACATCACTGTACTGAGATGCTCTGTTTTATCAATAAGATGCGCGCGCTTGTATACACGCATCTTATGAAAACAGCTATATAAATAGAGCAGTGATGTGCTGGTTATAATCAATATATATTAATTATGTTACATATTGATAGATATATTTACATCAATAAATATTATGTATAAGTATAATCAATATATATATCCTCACATCCAATGTTGATGCTGGGTATTATTCTGTTGCTGATATTGCACTTCGACCGAGTCCAATATTTCCGCTTATTTTCACACGAATTTTGTAAAGATCAAAAGAAAATATCGGAATTCTTCGAAAACATGCTTTTGGAGCAATGATGAAGTCCAATATAACTATCCTTGGCAATAATTTATACAACCAAACACGCACTCTATATACCAGCATCTATAGATTATCTCAGAGTCTAAAAGACGGAAGTGCTCATTCAAGATAAGCCCTTGTTTTCCTTCGGCATTCCAGAAATTTCACGACCGTGTTTAACACGCGCAACGAATTACAGTGTGGTGACAAAGGTCGCATCGCACAACAAAAATAATCTAACAGCGAAAGTGCGCTGATAACCAGTCCAGCTCGCATCATATCGAGGGTGTGCTGGGACATCACAAACAGCATGAGCAAGTTCCGGATATATAAGCCATCTTCAAGCATATTAGTTCGGCTTCAATAATATTACAATACTGAACACTTCCAGACTTCTACAACCTTGACGATCTCGAGAAAAGATGAATAGGGTTGCAACCGGAAGTGACCATCCATTGAACAATAATCTGTCTATAATGGGGTTAATTGAGATGTTTCCCGCTTTCGGCGGCATTTTTATTTGACGCATTGGGATCATTATATATAGTCTCTGATGATCTCATCTTCTTTTTCGATTCCAACTAGCTTTCATAATGCCTTAGCCTTCCTCCCTTGAAATTGAAAACAGAAGAAGGAATAACAATAATAATCTGCTAATTTGTCTCCCTATATCATTGTGCTGGTGACCAATTCAGAAGTGGCCAAGGGCCACATTGAAACAGTAGAGCATTCCGCAGGCAGCATTGGAAAAAAGGTACAAGAAATGCTATACAGCAGAATATCTTGTAATTCATCCCTTTCTGGGAAATCTGAAAATATTCTATTCGTTCATCATCAAGTTCAAGTATTTCTGGAATTATAATAAATGGAGTCTTTCCTCTACAAACGTTGTTGCTGCATTTTTAATGATACAATTCAACTTGCACCTGTAACTGCATGGCTGAATTTTTCTTGCTGGAATTATATAGACATCATTCTGCAAAACTTTTCAAAAGATTTAACTGAAGTACAAAATAATAAGTGGCGCAGGAGCGACATTCTGAATGATTTTAAAAGTTGAAAAATGATTTTGGTTGAAACAAAAGTAAAAGCTTGTGTTTCAGAAAGTGGTGAACTAATTTTGAGAAAATATGGTCTACACTGTTTTCACACAATGCATAACATTTCTTAAAAATTAAAAAAATTGGTCCAAGTACAAAGAAGCATTAATTCAACCTTTCAACGCATTTAATGTTCATGGCCTTTCTAGGATGGTCAAAACCAGGATATGTGTCCAGCATCAAGTTTAGATAATAGTGGGGTATTTTTCATCAAGTTTTAGTTTGTTACTGAGCTAGTTAAATTCACATTTGGATCTAGGAAACTCACGACTGAAAATTTAAGACAGGGCCAATCTGAGCCCAAAACTTTTGGAGACAGGGACAATTTGTGACATACAATTTTGGAGACATGGCCAATTTTTGAGGCATACACTTTTGGAGATGGACTATTTAAGACTGATACATTTTGAGGCAGAGAGAATTTGAGACAGAAGCATTTTCAAAATGAATCCTGCGTTTCTCTCTAATATCTTATACTGAAGGTGTGGAAAAGAACAAAAATTGCACTGCTTGGTCAAAAGAATGAAAATACCATGAGCATAACCAAAGGTTCTTTTTTGGGTTTTTGAAAACACCAACTTTTTCTTGCTTTCCTTCCCCTCTTGATCCATTGCAGTAAATTTGTGATACACCTAAAAAGACACCAGAACACAATAAACACACAAACATATTAAAGGTATAATATGCATAACTGAGCATATTTCAAATATTTAAATTAAAAAGCATGACATATTCAAAAACATCTGCAAATGGAATCAAGCCAAAGCAACAGAAGATTAGGTGTAATATAAACAAATGCAAACAGAGTTGGGGAGGGGGGAATCTGAGGAAAGACAGAAATTTGATTCCCCAAGAATTTGAAAAAAAAACAAATTTAGAAGAAAAATAAATATTATGTGCAGAGTTGGTTTGGGAGAGCCTCAAATTGTCCTTGTCTCTAAATTTCCAAGACTCCAATTCTCTATATGTTTATAATTGTCCATGTATCCAGCTGTCCCTGTCTCAAATTGACCAGGTGTTAATTTTCTGTCTCAGTTTGTCCAGTCTTGAATTTCCTTTTCTCAATTTGTTTATATCCCTTTAAATTTGCATTTTATGTGATGATCTACAGTACTTTTCTTCATACTACATCAAAAATTAGGCTATTGTATATCTTTCCTCTATCAAGAGATGCAATTAAATTAAAAACACAATAGAAATGCTGGGGTAGGATTTAAATTCCAAGATTACAAAAACCCAGCACTTAGATTTGAAAAGCAGACCCACTGACATCCTAATGAATAACAGAAGACAAATTCTGCTAGAAACCTGCTCTCTCCTTAAGCCAATTCCCAGGCACATAACGCAGGTAGAGTCCCTCTACAATGACTTCTCTCTGTATGTTACATATTTTCTCATTGTGGTTCTCTACCCAGTACATATGATTTCTTTACAACGAAGTTCTCTCAAAAAAATTGTTTTTCAGGTCCCCTAAAATTTGTTACAGAGCGAGAGAGTCTACCTCTCTGGAGTTGTAGAACATAGGCATCGTAAATTGTTGTAAATGTTTGTGATAGTTAACATGCATAATAGTTGACTAACTACAGAACCTGTTAATACCAAGATAAATTTGTCTTTCTTAGTAACGGATGTCATACAATTAAGCCATCAAATTGATTTCCCAGAACAAGCAATGTGCATTTTCACACAAGTCCGAAATAAATACGCGGGAAAACTGTAAGAGGATTACTGTCGTAATTGATTACTTGAGAATTCTAGTAGGACATTCCCAAGAAATGAATTTCCCATTTTTCGACGGCTTTGAGGATTCCTGAACACGAAATAGAAAACAAATCAAGAATCAGAACGATCAAGGTCAACACGGAAACTCAAGAACACCACCTAATGTTAAAGAAGGAACACTAAATGGAACGAAGATCAAATCCCAATTTGAGTACAGTATAGGAAGAACGTAAAAAAGCTTTCCAGCATTTTGAAAGCCAAGATTTCTCACCCACGGGAACCCGCGTCGACGAAGAAGTACTAAATGAAAGCACATCTTGTTCCGAGCTCAATTTATATTCCCAAGGCCATGAAAACAGGTAAATGAATGCACATTTTCTCCAACACTTCGCATACTTGCTCTTCGAACAGAATCCAGGAGGGACGCCATAGATTATCACAATCATACACCATGCCTGGCGTTGAAGGCAAAGGAACCCAATAAAAAAAATCAAATTTTCTTAATCATTAGATTTGCTGTCTTCCTGGAGAAATTGCCTTTCGTCACCTAAATATTAGGTGAACTAATCTGGAACACAGAACTCCACCACGAGATCTTTGTGCTTCTCAACTTTGATGCAGCCCACAGCCTCGTCCAATTCCCAAGTCAGGTTAACCATCTTGAACATAGAGAAAAAAAACATACAGGTATTCAGACTTAATTACACACATTGAGAAAAAAGAGCGAACAATATCCAAGAGAATTCAAGACGATTTCGACTTCTGGTTCGACCGGGTGGACAGCATAATCGATGACCTCTCGGACTTGAAAGCAAAATGTGGTAAAATGATGAGCAAAGACTCAAATTATCAACGTGACTCAATTACAAATAAAATAAAAAAATACACACATGAATCAGGAGCGAAGAATTTTTTTTTTATCTGAATAATTCTTTCACCGAATCGACACGATAGTCAAAATATTGCTTACAACGTTTACTTCTCTAGGAAGATACATTACTCGTAAGCATTCAATTTCAGTTTTTTTTCCATCGCAACTCATTTGACGTGTCAAACATTCAAGTGACAGAGTAAACAAAAACACGCCGCAAGCAGTGTTTCTTTCTTCTTTTTGTTAGAACCACTATTTAATCCCTTCGAGAAGTTCGATGCGCTCAGAAATTTTCGAAAAAAAAAAACCCAGTGATATGTCGGGCCATTGTTGAATTTATTTTCCTTGCCTATCAAGTCTTCAATATAAAAGGTAGAGTATCTCTGCAACCATTCCGTCAACAACAAATTTCTCTGTACAAAGAATTTCGTTCTTTGTACAAATACGTAGGGTTCTTTTACAACAACGTTCTCTAAAAAAAAAAATTGTTTTCCAGGTCTTCTAAAATTTGTGGCAGAGAGAGAGAGAGAGTCTACCTCTATATAGTTTAAGAACATAGGCATCGTAAATTACGTAGGGGTTCTCTACCCATTCCATGAGAGTTCTCAACAACGAAATTCTCATTAAAAAAACGGAATTTTCTCCGGTCTACTGAATTTTGTTGTCAGGAGTCCACCTGTATTTAATCAATCACGTAAAAGGCACAGAGTAAAGACGGTAGTACCAATAATTGGGGGTTCTATTCTACTTAGGAAGTGGGGCATATTTTGTTCCACTCACTAAAAATGCGTCTGGCATATTGTGAAACAAGCAATAAAGCCTAGGTTTGAAGGGTTGACAGATTAACGTGCGTCACAGATTCAATGTCGTCTCATATTCCCTTGAATACGATAATCTTCCTTTTCAACCCGTCTCACCATGTTTTCATCAGCTGTAGAAATAGGCATGGCGGACAGGACTTTCTCCACAGAAGCAATATCTTCAAATGGCATATCCTGAATTTGTTTCGGTAGTGAGAGCCCTAGAACTTTTTTGCCCGGCCTAGAGGTCATAGTCAAGCCTTGTAGTTTAATTTGATACTGCTTGGAGCGCTCCATATACTCGTTCTGTTCGATAGTGTGGTTCTCCATGACTGAAACGTCAATAATGTTCCTGCGAAAAAAGGTTCATTTCAGAGGTTACCGCAGTCTTCGACACCTGCACCCAGCAGGGACTGTGATTTTAGAGAGAAGGGAATCGATACTTCAAGTTATGCGCTCACAAAATAATTTCCGTTTTACAAAATTTGAAAAGATTTTCGGAATACAGTATTTAATTTTTTGGTAAACTACTGTTCCGAAAGCGGTTCAAACAGTTTCAAAATTCTCGCAAATCGATTGAGGACATATTTCAATTTATGTCCCTCCAACATTTAAAAAAGTGAATAATTTGATAATCGATGCAAACATCAACGGAAAAATTCAGGTAGTCTAAAAATATCTGGTGATTCGATTCGCAGCAATTCGAAAAATTGAATGAAATACCATTCAAAAGTCATTCATAATCAAGAACGGACTTGAAATAAAAAGCTTCTCTGCGAAAACGAGCTCACAACCGACGGACAACAAGAATCGTACCAAAATCTGCTGATATTCAGACATGCCTTAAAATTGCAGAACAGCCGTTGTTCAACACTTGGTAGCGATACTGTATTAATGCCCGATAACTTACACAATCACTCCAGACGAAAATACTTACTTGGCTGTTTCGTCCAATATTCTATTCAGTACCGACTGCTCATCGTCACGCTTTGGTAGCGAAGTCGAATGCCTATTCGTCGTCTCCTCTCGCCTGCGAAAATAGACATAGTAACAACGCTTCAAGTATAGGAGACACGAAAATGGCGAAGAACATTCCCTCACAAAAAAGCAGAGCTCGCAGGGATGCTGTTGCTGATCGGGTTTGCTAGAAGATGCGATCTCTCACTGTACTCTGGATTCTGAAACAACAACAAATAAAAGGAAGTTTTCAATACAAATAGTGACACGCAAAAAAATGCTAGAAGATATTACTCACCGTTTCCGATGACGTATCGCTGCTGTAACAACAGCCCATAACGCAAAACACGTACAGCACCAACGTCTAATGAAACGGAGAAACGACTGATGAAATAGTGCAAACGTTCAGAACGAAAAGGCGTTGGTTTAAACGTGTTGCCCGTCATAAGGACATTTCCAAGAAGGAAGGGCTTGCGAGGGAGCGAAAAACGATTTTGCCCCGACTTGGCGGAGAGGACAATAAAAAGTACCAAAACTTGACAGAAGAAGTTATTTTTTTTCTTATCTTAAAGTGAAGCCCTGAATTCCGAGGAACTTGCAAAACTTTTAAACCAATCATCTTCTGTTAACTTGATCTCCAATCACGCAATGGAGATACGGTGAAGAACCCAGAGAATACGAAAAGACGCTAAAAAGCTCAATCATCTTTCATTGGCAAAGTCAACACACGAATGGAATCTTTCACTTTAGGAACAGTTTTCCAACGTCCTAGTCGTGTTTCTTTTCCAACTCCCGCGATCAATTTGACTCCGTCCTTCATGAACTCCAAGGCATTAACAACGCCAGGAACTTGATACTCCAACAGCTTTTCGAACCTCCGTTTCTCTTCATCTATTCGCCATAGTAAAACAGTTCCGTTCCATGATCCTGTGACATAAATCAACGGTATCAGTGAACAACAGGACCAGACTTGATTTTATCATCAAGGTTTGAAAATTTGCTGAGACACGAAACTTCCAGCTTTTTAAAACTTGTCTGGATCAGCTGCGAGCTGTTCAGACATGGCTTTTTCGTTCTTCGTCAGAGCACTCTTTTAAAATTTCAGGAAGACAGAACCAGAGAAATTTTATGCCTCATAGGTTTCAAATTTTTACGATAAAAATACAACAATAGCACATACAGTACTTCAAAAATATGTCACGAATAAAAAAAAAAGCAACAGTTATCGAAGTAAAACTTGACTTGAAACACGTAGCTCATTCAAAAACAAACCTGTCGCAAAAACATCCGAGTTGTGCACACCAGCTATTGCGGTAATCCAACAAGGATTTCCAGTGAGTTCATCGCAACCATGGGCAGCCCGCACACTGAAGCACGCCTTTTTTCGCTGTACATTCCAATATGACACTGTTCCGTGATCATCACCAGAGACAAAATGCTGGTCATTCATCAGGCAAACCACATCAACACAACTTCCTTCCTCCGCATTAAACACAAGCTGCGATTCCTCCGGAATTTTCCATATTCGGATAGTACTGTCTCGGCCTCCGGCTGTTATTGCACGTTCTTTCCGGAGAGAATCGATAGCCGAAATAGAATCCATGTGACCAAATCTGCACACGAATTAAATCGAAAGAAAAAGGAATTCTGATTCGAAATCGAAATTTTAAAAAGCTGCCGTATCACCCGTATGTAAATACTCACAGCGTTTCGATGTATGACATTTCCACCAAACTCCACACCTTGACAGTCTTGTCACTCGCGGCAGAATACAAATGCTCCCCGGTTCCTTTCCGAATAGCTAACCCATTCACCGCGCCTTTATGCCCTCGTAATACAGAGATGAATTCCAATGTTTCAGGATTCCATACTAGTATCTGCCCATCACTCGAGCCAGAGACAAGATGCTTAAAATCGTCTGACAAAGCAAGTGAAAGAACGCTCGCGGAATGTCCCGTGGGCTTCTTTTGGTCTTGTACTTTCCCGTATTTGATGATACCACGAAGAGACTTTTCATTGACATCATCTGAAAACACATAAAATTTGATATTTCAGAGCAATTCAAGCATCATTATCCGAACGACGGTTACTCTCAAGTACAGAACAAACCTCATGAAAAAAAAAAAATTTTGAAGAAAAATTCCTGCAAGCACAAGAGAAACTTTTGTTGCAACTAATTTTCCGAGAAGCGGTGTCCATAAATCCTACTTATGTTACAGATACTGCTTGAATATCCCAGACCTAGAACACATCCAACCCCAACCGGGTTTGGAATTTCAGTGTCCTTGAACGGAATATCGACCTGTTACTACGGAAATGCTCAAATGGATTTTGGACTACGATTATTTCAGAGGATTGCGTTGATCAAATACAATCACGCACTTGATAGACGTATTCAAGATGCAATTAGGTCTTCGAATCAATTCCAATATGCAAAAGAAAAGCGTCTTACACACGAAAAAAATACCTGTCCCATATCTTACATTTCACAATGCTTCCGTTCTTCGAACCGGCGAAAACAAATTTTTTGTCATTTGAAACGCAGACGCAAGTTATCGGCGATTTTTGCGCTTTGCACTTCAACTCCAACGCTTCAACGGCTCCATCTGGGTTTATCAAGTCGGCGATGGGCTTCTTTAGCTTACCGGCAAGTTCCAGTTGTTCGTCGCGCAAGCGGTGAACAATAACTTCATTTTTCGAGACTTCGTCAAGTTCCCTGTCAATATCTAAAGAGAAAAAAATTAAAATACCGTACGGCACTTGTAATCGAGCTTACTTACCTTGATCGCGCATCCGGTTGACATATTCTTGCGCGAGTCGGATTCGTTTTTCTTGCGCAGTTTCCTCGTCGCCTTCTTCTTCACTGCTTTCAACATCTTTCGCTTTATCGAACTCATCTTCCGAGTCCGATTCACTGAGAATCTCCTCGTCAAAGTTCCGCTTCTTTGCCGGCTTCTGCAATATATAATCTTTATCCTGAAATACAAAACTTACAAATGAAACTCGTCGAGTTCTCACCGGTTCAGCGGACGCCTTGCTTTTGCGTTTCATTAAAACCATAATGGCTCACTCCATACAGTCGTCAGTCACACACCAAACGGTCACCACAGGAAACGCACACGATCGTTCTAAAAGAATCCAACGGAACTAACCGGCAATCGCAAATTATCAAGAGACCGTCTTCTTCGAAGAAAATATCACAAGAAATAGGCAGCCGAACCCTGGTCACGCGAGATCCCGGCAACTATAGCTGAGAGACTATCGCTATCTATCGGGCCCCATGGATGAATGAATTCGACATTGACGACATCTACGAGTGGAGTAATTTTCGGACAGGACCATGTGGCCTGATCACATGCCGAGAGATGGTGAGATCAACTACTGTAGTACTGTTCGCAATCTCAATTGCAATACGTATTAAGCTGATTTCAACAACAGTCCGTGAAGTATAGCACAAACGCTTCAGGTACCTGTGACAGATTATCGATATTTCAGATAAACCGTTTGTCTCTCCGCATCCATATCGGAAGATGCTTCACCCTTTCCCTGCGCGCTTGACCATTATTTTCCCACAGCACTGTATCACCCTATATGCAGTACAATACATACAGTAAAGTACTGTATAGTGGAATCTCATATCCCATAGCTTGTTACAACAAAGCTAATTTACAGGTCCTAATGACTTCGTTGTAACACGATTTTACTGTGATGGTAATCATGAGATGTTCAAGACATGGCATCCATTGAATGGGGAATTCAATCCGAGTACATTCCGTTATATCCACATTTATAGAAAGGTACAGAAGTTTACAAAATATCTTGAATTATAATTTCTCAAATCCAGTTTAACAGACCTATTCGTCATCAGAAATATAAAGTAATTTGGGATTTAAAAAAAAGTTCACTTGCAATAACTTATATTTTCAACTGGTCTCAAGATTTGCAGCTTTTGCTTTTATATTCAAGATTCGTTCATCCCACACTGCGTGTTTGTACATATTGCGACAAAACTCACATGCCCATTAAGACTTCAGAACAAGTGAAGCGCCGATCTCACGTCATCATACTCTTAGATATGGAAATTCTGCAACAAAGATGGGAGTCATACCGTCATTTTGAATTTCTTTTTACGAGATGATCAAATTCACCTTCAATGGAATCGAGTCTGAACTAATTTTCTTGAAGAAATCAAACCAATATTCCCAAAGCAGATTTGGAGAACAATCCGAATTTCAACTAAATTTTGCATTTCAAACGAACACGACAGATTTCGTCATCCAAAACGCGCCGAAAAGAAAGTGAACAATCAAGGGAAAATAAATTCATGCAAACACGAAGAATCGTCATCACGTACAGACAAGACATCAACAGATACCGCCAGAAAAAAAAGGAAATATCCATGCGATCAAGCTAGCGGCATAAAGAGACTTCCTTGCGAAGATTAGAACGAAACAGCAGTTTCTTGCCCCCCGAAATTTCTTCCCTGACAAAAACAACAGCAAGCAAGATTTCAGTGAAACTGGGAGATACACGAAACGATGTTCTGCATCATCCCTGCGAAACAAATTTCTCAGTACGCATTGTATCCACCTGAACTTCCAACACCTCCAAGGCCATGGGACGAGCTGCCCATTCCTTGATGGCTCATCATTGGCCTACGGTCTCCACCAGACCACCTGTAACGTGAAAAATTCAGCTATACTTTCGTCAATTCCAAGTAAATCTAATTGAACGAACAGGGACAGAACTAGGATGCATGCACAAAAAAAAAGTTTTCGTATACGGCACAGTATAATGGAATTACATGGGATTTTAATCGGAATACAGTGAATCCATTTCAAATGCCACTTACTTCGCACTACTTCCCCCGCTTCCCTGATGCCACGGTTTATTGCTGGAACTCATTCCACTTCGATCAGACATCATCGAATTTCCGCCTGGAATGATAAGAAGTCATATTAAAATCAAAATTTTGTTACCAAGTACGCTGCTCTTTTCTCCCCGAAACCACACTTTGCAATCATAACGTTTCGTGAAACTACTGTAAAGATCTTCGATAGCTTTCCGAAATGCAAAATTAAAATCGCTCATCAACACAGAAAAGCTGAACTAGAACACTAACGCTTGCACTTCAGTAGCTCGAATACTGATCGCCGCAATCCTCCATACAGGCGCCAGGTAAATTTTCAATAGAGATTCTTATTATACAATAGTAACGATTTTTCCTGAAGCCTGTTCCTTATTTTAATATTCGTTACTATTACAGTAAATGCTGCATAAAAAGCGTCATTTCAAGGAGCATGCGATAAGCCGTCAGAAAACAAAGCGTATTTTTAAAATTAAAAGTTCAGAAAGCTGGGCGTAAGACATTTGTATCTCGACTTTGGTATCGTTTTATTTTTCAAAATAGCAAACCTTGAGTGATCAATAATAATGAGACATCATTGAATATTTACATTCGAAAACAATTCAATCGAAATTCGATTTGAGCCAAGTTCTAGCTGTTGCATTTCTTGAAATATTGTCCCATTAAAATCGCGCCGAAAATCGTTGGGCCACCATGAATATTTTTGAAGAAATACAAATATGCTGCATCATTGCATGTGTTCGAAGAAGACTCAGCGAACAGCCAAGAAAAAAATTACACAGCAGCTCCACAAAATTAAAATAAAACCCGATTCATTTCGGTAAAACACGGCAAAAAAACAAAACAATTCGAAAAATCTTACTTTCATAATGCTGATGCCGTCCTCCAGTTCCACTTCCACTGTTAGCTCCAGTAGATGAACTGTTATTATAAACTCCTCTTTTCTGACCACCTGATGCATACGTCGATCTACTGGAAGGAATAAGAAGAGAAAATAAAGAGAAGGCTAGAGTGAGTCAAGCTTTTCAAATGCACGAGGTTTAGGGTACTAACTAACAAGCAGACTTGTCAGTCGCTGATGATAAAAAATCCTTGAGGTAATCATGCAAAAAAACAAACAAAAAAACTTGGTAAATTATTCACATTTGAAAGGAATAATCGCCACTTCCGCTTCGTTCATTAAATTCTGGCTCAGTGACATTCCTCTCTCGTAAAAGTCGAAAAACCGATCGATTGAGAAATGGAAAAATTTCTTCAGATGTTATACTCGGAAATTACACAAATTCTACTTCAGCTGTAGGAATTGAAAGTAAAACCTAACATATTTTTGCTTTTGTTTCCAAACAGCCTGTCTCGATTCTCTCAACTGGGTAGTTGAGAAAGGTAATAAATTGCATAAAGGAAAAAGAGACCAGGGGATTGGAATGGTTCAAGTGACTTCAACTGAACGACTGAACCAACCTGTGATCGTCCCTTGAAGAAGCCATTCGGGACTTGTACTGATCCCCAGACACCGCCATCGGCCTGCTCGCACCTACTCCACTTGTCCTGGAGTCCACATAGCGGTCCGGTCTTCTATCATAACTGGATCCAGTGTTCGAGGTCGACGAAGGTGCGTCCCGGCGATCGTAATACCGGTCTCGGGAATCAGAAGACGACATCGCCACACGCGGCTTCTTCCTGTCGTCGTCATAGTAGCTGGATTCGAATGGCCGCTTCGATGCGGGACGCGCAGATGTCGCTGTTACAGTCGATGCCGGCGCTGGTCGAGTGCGGTTGGACAAGGACGTGTGTTGGTGATGCGTAGGCAACGGGGAGATGGTCCGCGTGCTGCTCTTGATCTGATTGCGTAGTCGACGGATTTCTTCGCGCTCTCGCTCCAAACGTTCGCGCTCCAATCGCTGCCGATCTCGCATCAGGTCCACGCGCTCTTTCTCGATCTTCTCGCGTTCCTGTCGTAGTCGTTCTTTCTCCCTAAAACGAGACGCAAAATGCGGTCAAACGTCGTAATAAAGACCAACGCAGCACCGTTCATTTTCGGCGTTTCACCGGCGATAAAAAGGAAGGGTAAAACCACATCATTCATTACGAAAAGTCGAACCATTCAACATCTGAAGAGGGTGTACATAAGAAGAACACGTCTCAGTCGGGAATTTCTTCAATAGTATACCGTATTTACTCTAGTACTACGGACCGTGGATTACGACAGGCAGCCAATTTTTTTTAGAAATTTGCCCAAAACCTATCCCATTCAAGACCCACGCCGGATTTTATGTAACTGTTTTTGAAAGTGGATCGATTTTTCTGCATTGATATTTTATTTCTTGTTTTTTACTGCCTGCAGGAGCAGTTAAAATGTGCTTGCAATTCATGTCAGCTTCCTCTATTAGATGAATATGTTTCCCTTCCAGTACTTCCTGTTGCATCTCCAATTGATACATTCCAAAAATTTTTCTCGCTCAAAATTTCCCATGGACAAGAAAACTTGGCTCCAAACATTTCCTCTTACTTTTTTATTATTTATTTTTTACACCTTTGATGTAGTTCATTGTGAGAGGCACTGGTTTTTTCCTTGGAAAATTCATCCTCGAGTAACACGCGGACCCTTCTTTTTTCCGACTTCATTTCTGAAAAAAAAAAAGGTGCGCGTGGTAATCGAGTAAATATGTTAAGTTCAGGAGTTAAACGTTGCAAGACGCTCGCAAAAACTTCACCGATAAACGTTGAATAACAGGTCATTCCTCAGGAGTGGCAGGTAAAATGAAATTATACTTTCTCATTACGAAAAAAAGACGAACTATTTGCTGAATTTATCGTACCGTTCCAAACGAACAGCTTCTTCACGTCGTCTGCGCTCTGCCTCGCGCTCTTTCATTATTTCGTTTCTTCTCCGCCGTTCTTCCTCACGGTCTGCGCGAGCCCTAGCACGTTCCCGTTGTCTATCTTGCTCCTCCTTGATGTGCCTGCGAGCCACAATAATGTTGGATTATTAGCCACAGAGTTGTACACGATGAAGTTTTGCAAATTCATTATAGAACCGATGAGGATGAAAATCAATCGTGAGAAATAGCGCTCGCAGGAATGCAGTTCAACACACTCCGACAATCATACGAAGCGTTCGACGAAAGCTGAGGTCCCAGCTTTCCTCAAACCAGAATGGAATCAAAGCTTTCCTTTCTCATTCGTTAGTGAACTATTCATATTTCGAGTATGACGAGGAGAAACTTTTTTGAATCAATATTAGTTTTTCACGAAAGAAAAAAGTAACGAATTCAAGTACAGTACTGTTGCGCGTTTGAACTACAGTACTGTCCGATTGCAAAACTCTTTATCGGGTGAATTATCGAATCTCTGGCATTGAAAAATCTCAATTTGATAGCTACTTCTTATTTAAATTTATTTAATAAAAAAGAATAATCATAATCAATTGATCAAAGTTTCCTGTTATAGCCAGAGAAAATTTGATATTTTAAGAATTGTATGTTTGCTGTTGCATATAATATCACGTTTATCAAACCTGGTCAACATCTAAATATTGTATTTTTGAATATCCCCTATCTTGTAGTACTGCACATGAAGAAAAAACAAAATAAAATGTATTGGGTAGCACGGAAAAAGTTACAATTTTATCAACTTATCTCACAGTCCCTCGCCGAAGATAATTTCTGTGCGTTGAAATTATGTTATTCAAGGGCTTGAAATCTAAATTTAATTCAAAATTTTTTCAATTCGCAGAATTCCCACGTTAGGGAAGACAACATTTTCTCCACACTGCTGTACACAAAACTTGCTAATTTTCAAGCCAATGAAAAATTTGCGCAGAGAGTTTCCTTCACCTGTAATTTAGCTGTTCCCATCGCGGCGGTCCTCCGCGCCCGCGGAAAGATCCTCTCATGCCACGCGGGCGGTATTCGCCTCGCCCACGCGACGAATAATAGTCCCCTCGACCAGCCGGCGGCGGCGGCGAACGGCGGTAGGACGACGTGCGGCGCCGATCTTCACGAGGTGAACTGCGTCTTCGTGCTGACGAGCTGCGTCGGTCAACGCTGGCACCTTTATCGCGGGATTCTTTCGTGTCTTCACCGCCGGGCTGATCGCCGGATTTCTCCCCACTGGCCTTTGCGTCTTCACCAGTAGATGTCTTGGAACCAGCCTCTGTTTTCGTTTTGCTCTCGACCGATTCCTTGCTGGCATCAGCGGTTTCCGCGCCATCTGCACCTGCAAGCGTTCAGTTAGATATAAAAATAAAATTCCATGCAGAAATTGAAATTTCACAAGCGCTTTCAAAGATTTTCTTGATTCGATTGTGATGCCGAAAAACGACCTCAAGGAGCAATAACTTGACTGAGCATTGCAAGGCTCTAGTATAAAATTTAATACAGATGGATTGGATACAACGATTTTCTCTGTAAAATGAATTTTTTATAGATCATATGGCATGGGGATTTTTTTGGTTCCTTGTAGAGTACTTCGTTGCCGAGTGCACGTGCATTTCAGCGGCGTTTCTCCAAGATTTCTCAACATGTCATGCAGTTTAAAAAAAAGGCTCGAGCATAAATAACTTGACTGAACATCGTGAGGTTCTCAAGACCGGCTTTTTTCTTGCGCACCCAACTCACACGTGATTAACATTTAAAACTCCCTATAGTGGCTCTCCGGATAACAAACGCCCCTCGAAATGGACTCGCGCTGTCATGAAATATCAGTCCATGAAGTGCATTCAGCTTCGGATAATAGGCTAAAGAAAAAAATTCAGCCTTTTTAATTATTCAGGTTCGGAGGGAAATGTGGCTGGCCGCATAGCAAAATGTTTCAGGCAAAAGAAAAACGCTTCTTCGTTACAAGCAGTTTAATCGTGTTGAGCAACGTTCGTCTGTTTTAAAGCGCTACGCCGTCATTTTATGATGGTCAAAGTTCAATAACTCCTCCTTAGTCAATAACATATGCGAAGAGAATTCATGAAGAATAATTCCGAATGCAATACAGTATAGGTACTAAAGGATTAGGCCATGTAGGGAATGGAAGAGCCATTACATAAAAATAAACATTACTCATTTCCGGGTTTCTGGAACCGATCAGCCATTTCACAAATCTAAAAAATACTCGGTTGATGGACTTCTCAGCGGAACGGATCAAGTGTTTTAATCGAGGCACCACCACAACGAAGCATTTTGGGAGAAATCGTGATTCACCTTGATTACCCTCAATCCACCTGCAAATGATGCTCAATCATGATAATAGCACCAAGAGATGAAAATTTTCCTCGAGTTTACCCGGCTCGAAATTTGAATTGCATAACCCAACAGATGAGGAATCCCTCATCCATTTTTCATTTCAGTCACAAATTAATTGCTAAATTCAATTTCCTCTTGCATGGATTTGGGGAATTCCTTTTATACGGATTATAAGAGATTACTGTATCACGCTACAGGATCAAGATTTCACGAAAAGAAAAATAGAACAGGAAATTTTGCTACGCCGCTTTCTCGGTTCTCGAAACAATGCAAGAGAACTGTAGGAGTTTTCACGAAAGTAGTGGTAATTTTACCAGTTGCGGAGCCATCATCCACTTTGGTTTTCGCAGTCTCACTCGCGGTATTCTTTGACGCATCTGCATCAGCGCCATCAGGTGCAGCAGACCCAGCTTCATCAGCTTTCTCTCCTCCACTCGACACCGCACCCGGAACACTTGGCTTTTTCGCTACAACACGGGCAGCAGCTATTTCACTAGGGCCCTTCTTGTTCAATGCCTACAGGAAAAATAGTGAAACCTGATTTTAGCCAATTGTCTGTCGACCACATTTCCACGAAGAGATTCCACTTCGGAAGAAAGGACACGATTTTCCGCGATTAAATGCTCGACGAAAGAATTTTCAAAGTTTTTTTTTTTTACCCGCATGAGGAAGTGAAAATAATTTCGAAAACGGGGATTGATTAGGAATTTTTCGCGGTAATTCCATTTCACTAAAGCGAAGACAATTTGATCACAAAATTGAACGGAAATACGACATTACGGGGATTTATTATACGAAAATAATTTAAAAACCGAACATCCACCAATAAAAAAAAAAATGAAAAAAACTGAACTAACCCGTTCGACGATGACGATTTTCCCGTGGAGTTCGGAACGATGCAGCTTTTCCACGCATCGTTCTGCTTCTTCCACAGTGGCCATAGTCACGTAACCGTAGCATTTTTGCCCGGGGATTTTTTGGTTGGTTACAACCTTCGCTCCAACAACCTGGAATTGAGAAGGATTTAATTAAAAACTTGCAGTAGGAGTGTAGGAAACTCTCGTGTCATCATTGCCTCCTCAAAATATAAATTGTAGGTCACACAGGGAAGACCTCGAATACAAAGTACTGAACACTTGGGAGGAGTAATCCACAGCTCACAACGAAATAATCAAGCGGAAGGTGTACATTCCAAAAAAAAAAAAATGTGACACACTACAATCATGAGAAAATATCGGACTAATTCAAACAATAAATGAAGACCCTTGTATAAGTGGAAATAAATGGTCATACATATTTCGAGTATGAAAGCAGTCAAATCCAAAAATTAAACCATTTTTTGAAGATTCAAGATTCTACGGCGCTCAAATTGCGAAATACTGTACTGTAATACTGTATCGCAACTCAGCATACCATAATCTTATTTTCATTCACCTTAGCAAATCCAGTTCAGCTTTCATTTTACATTTGAAAATAAAGTCTTGCCTGATCGGAGAGGCCACAAACTCGCCCTTTTGTAGTGGAGCAGAGTTACTGTTGGTCAAGTGCGTACACAATTCACCAGACGAAGTCAAAATCCAGTGAATCTTTCCTCGTACAATTGCGTTTGGAAATACTTTACAGTACTCGAAAAAGTTATGGCTCGCTCGTTATACAGTTTATATTTTCAATTCCAACAGTGACTCTCGACATTTCCTGAATATTTCCCGTAGAACAAAGTTGCATTAGATCAACTGTATATGTCAAATAGCATCGGTATCCGTCGGTCGTCAGACTACAATTCCGGTTAGCGGATAACTCATAACACAGTGTAACCTCCTACAAGTTCTTCTCGTTCTCGTGAAAGCTAATACACCAAAAAGCTCACCTTGCCGTATTTGACAAAAACTTGCTTGATGTCGGTCGCCCTCGTCGCCGGCGACAAGCCAGACACCCACAGACTCCGGCTTCCATCATCCTTCACGACGGGCCCCGGAGCCACCTTCGTTCCTCCGCCTGCAATGCAAAAAAAAAAAAAAAACATATCGAATGAGAAAATTTGATTCACGGAACTCGAATTATTACTCAGGTACTGTATTGTAATGTAATTTTTCGTTCGCGTCCGATTGCGCTTTCACAACGCGCATCCCCAATTTCACCACGCGCTGGATTTCAACTTCCTTCCCATGAAGATTTTCGGAAGATGGCCAGGAAGGCACCGTGGAAAGAAACGCAGGGTTTCCGGGCTTTCAAAAATACGACCTTATTTATTAATTTCTTCAACGAAAGGACCGGAACCGGCTTTTTCTACACCATCTTCCAATAAACTCGAAGGACCTAGGCTTAAGAAAAAAAAAAAAACCCACCAGTGTCCATTTGTGTACTGTATAAGAACACCACGCTCTTCCGCAATCCTTCAAAAAACTTTTCCACAGGAAAAAAAATTGAACCTCAACCGAACACAATATTCGACATCCCTTCACATCACAATGAACCCTGGCTTCAGACTATCAACTACAAAACTCAAGGCCTTCAAACTGGTTCCGGAAGGACGAAGTAACCGCCAAAAAAAGCCGATAGAATCTTCGAATGAATAACAGCTGGGACCGGTAATACAGCGTATAGTCCAATTTAAACGAGACTTGAGGCTTCTTTATTCGAATCTGCTCAATTTTAACGCAACCATATCCATAACACTACCCATTTACCGGTAGAATTCCGCAAAGAAGCAGCTAGAAAAAAGCATTTCGTTCTTATTCACGAATTGCGCCACAAGACACGGGCATTTTATTTTTGAGTCAGGTGTTGTGCATCCACTTCTGTTATGCGTACTACAAATAAGAACACTTATTTTGGTACTGGGTTCAGTCAAAAGATCATTTCTCCAGATTTTCACAAAAGACTGAAGTACCCGCGTCGGAAGAAAGGCACTTGAATCATCTACTGCACACGAAAAGCAATACGGCGAAAAATCTACCGCTTTAATTCTTCACATGCACGACTCTGTTCGAATGTAAATTTTCTTCACATTTCTTACAGGGGTATTGCATGGTTTCTAAATTGCAGTAGATTTAAACATATATTTCCGCGCAAAAGTTATATATATATATTTTTTTAAAATCCCTAGTTGCAAAATATTTGCGAGGAACAGCTTCGCACGATTTCTTTTTTCCAACTGCAGTACTACACAGTAGCTAGCAACAGATGTTTTTCGCATCAGTCGTGTTTGCATAATTACATGCGCATTTTAAACTTTTGATGAGCTGAAAATAATGCACATTGCTTCGAGAAAAGCTCGTTTGAATCTACTTCCGATCCCATGCAATACTCCAGACAACAGAAGATCAGTTTCGAAAGACTCAATAATCTGATGGAGCGAGTCAATTCAAAAAAGTGGATGACTCTCTCTCTGTGTTGCTCATTGTCTCGGTGCTTTTCTCTTATTGTCAACCGGCGTACCGTAGGTTGAAAGAGTGCGGAACCACAAAAAATGCATCAGTTCGCTCGCTTCCGTATCACCACATATCGCACAAGACCAGAAGAAAAATAAATAAATAAATAAACTGTTGAAAATAACTTGCGTAGTGGTGTACATCCAAAACGCCGCCGAGAACAGTTCTACGCTAAACAGTACACCAAGAAAATAAAAGAATTCGCCTCTCGGAAGACAGAAGCGGACGGAAGAGCGAACACTGACCATTAACCTGACGTTGAGTTGCGTCATAGTTTTTTTCAATCTTGACGCTTCATTACACCTCCAACACGGGTTCGCGAGTATCCAGGGTACTCGGAAGTCGACGTGAACTCTCAGCGAGGTTACGAAACGGAAATCGCAACCAAGCTTGATTTTTAAAAGCAAACCGGTCGAAAGAGACGAAACAAAAACTCGGGAGCACAAATGGAAAGCCTTTCACGCAGTGAATAGGGTTGAACTGAAGTTTGCGGTAGCATCCGTAAGTATAAGAGCACAGTACTTAAAAAAAAAGAAAAACAAAAAAACGAGCTAAAGTTGGTTCATCGATGTTGGTCAGCCTTCTCTTGCACTTTCCCGTTGAAGACTTCTGCGCCGATGAACAAGATTTTTACTGCTTTCAATCACTACCAGACCATTGACATCTTTTTTTTCTCTCTTCCAGGTTGTTATCGGGAGAAGACGGAGTTAAAAGGGCACCCGATCATTCGAAAGGAAAATATGGACTGGGTAATGAAATGGCAGGGTTCACAGGGCTATCCAACATCTTGTACTCTACATTCGAAATACGTATCGGTCACGACGTCGTAAATTTGATCATCATTTGATCATCGTATTAATGAGAGCATGGCAATTTTTGCTTCAACGATGGTAAAAGTGAAGGATGCCCTCGAAACATATTACAGGTGAACCTCAGAACATATTACAGGTAAACCTCGATAGCTCGAACCTCCTCAAGACGAATATACTCAGTCGATTTTTTTTTCAGAATATCATATTTTTCAATTTCGAGCAATTTTTCTTTTTCCCAGGACAAATGGGCTTTGCATTGTAGCTTAATTCAAAACCTCCATAAGTCGAATTTTTTCCTGGTCCCTTCAAGTTCGACTTAGAAAGGTTTGACTGCAATCGGTGAGCAAAACGTCGGAAGTAAACCAGCAATGGAAGATAACCAGCCATGAACGGCTTCAGGTATTGATACTATTTCCACAGAACTTCGGCGAGTTCTCTTCACGAATTTTGGGTACACAACGAACTTCACATCATGGCGATGACAGAAGACTAAAAAAAAATACTGTTGCTTATCATGGCTAGTTTGAGAACAGCAACTTGATCCGTGATCGAGTCACAGGGTCGCTTTACTCGAGGCATGACTTCCATTTCTGTAAAATAGCTCACCTAAATTAAATTAGCCAGGCTATTTCAGCCAAACGCTCATAACTTCAAACCCCAATTTTTTACTAAAAATTCGGACGATATCTATACAATAACGGAAAAAATCCCAGCAACAGGAATCTCACGAGATGAAGTGGAAACGAATAAAATTCCGTTTCCAGTAAAAAAAAAAAAACGAACGCAACGCTAATTTCTCAATTAAACTGAAATCAAACCTAACGTCAAGTACATAGACGCATAATCCATGTCTCCCCTTTCATTAAAATCAAAAATGTCCCCAACACTTGTTCACCTTACCAAAACTAACAAAAGAGGAGCAAAAGTAGACAAATCACGTCAACAGGAAAATGCTAAATATACCTCTTACAAAACCCTCGTTTTTCCTCTCTCTCCTCGGGGAAACGGGACTAATACTCTCATCACGTGAAAAGTTTCTCGGCAATTACTAGTAAAAAAATAATAATTATAATAGATTGGCCGGAATGGCAAAGGCAAAAGTCGGATACCCCATGTTCCGAAGACGAGTCGGGATTTCCTTGATTACTTAATTGGCAACGTTCGCAAACGTCGGCGCATTAAAGCGGAAGGAAGCTGTTTACTCCCCCCCCCCCACTCCGGTGTGCGGATGGGAAATTAATGGTCAACTACAGCTACTCATGGGCGTGACTCTCAATAAAAACAGCTCACTAAAAAACACATACACCGGAAACATATCTCTTTTTCTGCAAGTAGAAAAATAAAATGGAGCGCTGATTTTTTTCGAAAGTGCTCTTCAATCGCACTTTCTAATTCCCCTTCAAGAAAAAAATGAAGCATTTACGATTTTAAGGTACAGTACAGGGCACCATATATTCAATGACGCACGTCAATTGTTTAGCCTCGCAAAAAATAAACCGCTGGCTTGTGAATGAAAAATAAAAAGAAACCACTGCACACAGCATATCCTCAAATAAAATACATTTAATTGAAATAAAACTCAGTTCAATTTTCTTCATCGGAAATTAAAGCAACTAAACGAAGTCAAGAGAACCTTCCTTCAATACATTTTAACCGAGGATTTTCAGTTTCTACAGATTTTATTTCAATTCATGGTTGAAATTTACCCTCAAAAATAGAAGTTTGTTCCAATTACGTAATCTGACGCCGCATCGTTTATTTTGAATGAGTACGCATTTTTGGACTGCTTGAAAACTTGTTGAGATTACTTTATTCCTGTGATTAATGCATTAACCGCTTTCCAATTAGGAAATATAATTGTTAAATCCCCATGATCTTCGCATATACAGTATCTTGCGTAGATTGAGGAAGGAGGGTAAAGGTTAATTTTGGCAGAAACCCTGGACTAAACATTGCAGCATCATAATAGTCAAAATAATTGTGAACATGACAAAGATGAAAAAAAAAACCTCTGACGGCCAACACCAGGATTTTTATGTTCTCTGACAGCGAAAGCATATTCATTTAGGAAGCTACATTTTCTAATTCCCTTTCGAACAAACGCTTGATAGATATAAAAAAATTAAAAACCGAATTTTGTCAGGAGAAAAACGGCTCCACATATAAACTTCGCACCTTTTTAGGAAATAAAATAAACAAAGACCCGAAAGGTTCTAAATTCATAGGCTGTAAAACTATGAATAATTAAGTTTTTTTTAAATCACCCACAAGAACAATGAAGAATCGTGGCAAAAGTGCAAAGAAACCCAGAAAATTCTCGAACAACGATGATGAAAACATCAAGGATGAAATCGTTCTTTCCACGAAATTCTCTCAGGAAAATTTCGCAAGATTTTCCGCGGTCGAATGTCACTCGATTAAAGACAACCTTGGTGCTCACAGACAAGGAGAAACCACCAGACGGATGTCCTCATTCATTCATTCATTCTTTACAGTACTCAATCCTGATTTTCATTTTCTAATCGGAAAAATGTGGGAAACGGGGTTATGAAAGTCGTGACGCAACTGAAGGCATTTCAGCGAGCGGTTTTTCTTGCGGCAACTTTTGTTTTTTGCACTTTCCACCTGGTTTATTCTGCAATCGGCGCAGCGCTCACAGAACCCAGACGGACACGACCGCAAATTAAATAAAAGGAAATTTCACGCTTCGTACTTTCCGAAAAAAAGTTGAACGAGTTTCATAAACTCCCCAATTCACGCATTCCCCTTAACAAAAAAAAAGTCTTTCATAAATTGCCAGGACGTTGAAAGATTCGGGTAAACTTCCATTTCTCGAAATTTCAATACAGTCAGTAATTTTCCCGCGGCATTAAATTTACTCGACGTCGGTGTAACAAAATTAAATTATTGGGACGAAGCAACTCTTAAGAGCCCAAAGAACCAAATTTTAAATGATCAGGACGTTGAATTAATTGACGTGAGCTTCGAAGAACATTTTAAAGAAGGCCACGAGAATATAACTAACTATTTTAATAAACCATCTTCAACATCATTCCTCAAGATTGTCCAAAACCAGGCTAATTAATGTTGATTCTCTTCTCACTTTTAAGCC